TGTGTGTGTTGTGTGTGTTGTGTGTTGTGTGTGTGTGTGTGTTGTGTGTGTGTGTTGTGTGTGTGTGTTACATTTTGACAACGCAGTGCAGCCCTCTCGGCGTATGCACGCGAAGACATACAAATATATCAGGTCGCAGCTCAGTGCGCGGTGCAATAAAACGCTTTCGGCAAGTGCACACGCACGGTCGAAATACAATCCTTGGCCTTCTTGGCTTCTTGTGTGTGTCCAACCCCGTAACCAAGGGTTTCAACAGTCGACCTCATTTTGAGCAGGGGGCTTAGGATGATGACTTGTGCCAACGAAGCTAGTCATCCTGGGGGATACCAGACCTGATCAGTCTGGCGTACCTGCAAATGGCAGACAGGACCTAATCTGCCGATACAAATTCCTTTTTCATAGTTCTCTTCAATGTCAACACCAGTTTGAAACATCAGAGGTATTCAGGAGCAAGATGTACTTCAGTGACAGCAGGCCTAGCCTGTCTAAGCTGATGTGGCTCGCAGATCAGAGGTACCAGTATTGGCTGTCAGGAAGGTTGCTTGAGTGTGTGTGTGTGTGCATGTGTGAACCCCTGTGTGTGTGTGTGTGTCTGTTCGTGTGCGCGTGTCCATGTGTACAGAACGTACAAACCTCAGCGGAAATTACGCTTTCAACAAACTAACTCCCGGACCCTTGCCTCCAAGCAGTCTGTGGCACAAGCTCATTTGGGAAAAAAGGCCACAGCCTGCAGCCAGCACGCTTCTTCTTCTTCTACGGGGCATGAGGGGCCCAAAGACCCCCCGTGCGCACAGGCGCGCCCAGTCCACGCGGTCTGTTCGTGAGTTGAAAACTGCAGAAACGCCCACACGACCCAGCACGACTCGTTCCCCTCAAAGCCCCCAACCTTAGTGAGTCCTTAGTGGTGCTGCAATCCTCGAGGTCCCGATCGCACTGGGCATGCGTCTCGTCGCGCGCGGTGACACTGTTAACTATTTCTCCAGCATCCCCACTAAGTTAACAAGTCTATCACCAGTGCCGCATTATGTAGTGTTCAGCTGCTTTTCGTGACTGCTGCTTCCTTCCTACGGGGTGGCTCTGCAGCGACCATGGAAAACACCGAGCTACACCCCTCAGTTCTGAAAAGACTGGGAAACTTGTGACAACACGCAACATCTGCCGCCAGCACGCTTTCTTTCTCTCTTTCTAGGGGCATGGGGTCGGCGCCCCGGGCATCCAGCACGCTCTCTCCCTCTCTTTGTTCCTGTGTTTCTATTCTTCTTCTTTCTTCTTCTCAATGGGCTTAGGGGAGTTGCCCCTCCCTGGCCCCTATTAGCATGTCCACTACCTATCACAACTCTCGCACAGCCCCCCTAACGTCCTGCCTGCTTCTTTTTCCTCCACTTCTTCTTTTTCTTCTCTTCTTATTGTTTTTTTCTTCTTCTTCTTCTTCTTCTTCTTCTTCTTCTTCTTCTTCTTCTTCTTCTTCTTCGAGGGTTGTGGGCCAGTTGTGGGGCCCGGACCCCGGCGCAAGTCCTTGTGCAACTTGTCGCAAAAGCACTCTGTTTTCGGCGGTCAGCTTTCTCCCAAAGTAAGCCAACCACTCGGTGAGCGAAACTACGACCATTACAATACAGCGGAAACGACAAACGACATCGCCCCAATCTGACAGCCATGCTCGAGCTACATGGGTTCGCGAGTGAGCTCTCGCACGGCAACTACACTTTGCCCCTCTTCTTCTTATTATTATTCTTCTGCTTCATCTTCTTCTACTCATTATTTGTCTTCGTCTTCTTCTTCTTCTTCTTCTACTTCTATACTTCTTCTTCTTCTGCATGGCGACGAGGGCCCCCCTCGCTCTCTCTCTCTCTCTCTCTCTTCGTTTCTCTTCTCCTTTTTCGACCCTGTTTTTTTCTCTCTCTCTCTCTCTCTCTCTCCCTCTCTCTCTCCCTCTCTCTCTCTCTCTCTCTCTCTCTCTCTCTCTCTCTCTCTCTCTCTCTCGCTGTCTCGCTCGCAGACTCAGCTTGCTGCACTTACGAGTTGAACCTGGCAGCTCCCATACACTGAACACGTGAAACTCCAAGTCTGAGGCCCAGGCCTGGAGGAAAAGCGTCTGGACGCAGCTTTCAAGACAAAGGAACACGGAAAAGGCAGCAACTCGGAGGACAACAGTATGCCTTGTCAAGCACATGAAAATTGAAAAGTGAGATTGCAACTCTCTTCTCCGACTATGTCAACATGGCTCTTACTTTTGTACTCTGCATCCTGCCAATGCTTAAGCCGAGCCAAATGCAAAGTCACATCCGGCGGACTGACAGTGTGCGACACACTTTCTGACCATTCCCCCCCACCCTGCATCCCGCCGTTGCAATCATGGGGAGATTCGTACGACACGAAGCCGGCCATGCCGCATGCCTCGTCTCTGCTAGGTCCTGCTCATTGAGGCCTTGCCGCATGATGACTTGCAGCACTTGCAGCTGTTCTCATGTGCTGATGTGCTGATGGCCATGCACAAGGACCAGGCAGTCGAGCTCAGCCACAGCTTGTGTTGCGGGTGCATCCATTGAAAGCAGACCTGGCTGACACGTCACAGTTGTAGAGCCAGCTGTAACCCAGGCTGCTTTTATCGACTCGGCGCTGAGATCGCTTGAGCCCTACGGTTCACAAAGCGAAGCAGACATTCGGTTATTCTGCGCCGTTGCCTCGGAATCGGACTGACCAGAGACAGCCCCTGCAGGCCTCTGAGTTCGAAGATGCCGGGATTCCAGGCTCTGTTTGCCAACTCCTGATGCTCATGGATCCACTCAGCACGAACACATGCTTGGCACTCGAAGGCTAGCTGGTCCCTTCGAACTTTCTGACCTCTTTCTTACACACACAAGTCTAAGCCCTTACATACCTCGATGCAGCGGCCATGGCCATGTAAGTTACCATGAGTCAGCCTGCGCCCGGAGAGGCAATGCCCGAGCGGCCGCAGCAAGCGCTGTGGGTGCCGAAAAGGAGCTGGGCCGCGGCACTGCTGGAGGCCGAGCTGCCAAAGAGGGGACAGGCTACTGCGGCTCACATGCGCGAAGGGGAGTGGGTTTATGCCCACGTGGGTTTCCTCCAATTCGCCGGAGACGTCATCTGAGTATATCTGAGTCGTACTGAGTCGTACGTGAAAAGCCACAAGTCAGACCTCGTCGCCCAGCCTGCATTTGCCAATCCCTGTGGGACAGGCCCATTTGCAATGGCAGCCGCACGTGCCCCCACCTTGGATGCGCCGGTTGCTTCAATTGAGAACGCTTTTCAGAGCATGCTGCCTGGGAAGATGCAGTTCCATGCCGACTCTCACACTGGCACATGCCGACAAGGCTGCTGGCACGAGTTCGATGAAATAAGCAACTATCAAGAGAAACAGCATACGCCAGGGATAACTACTACAACACAGCAAAAGGTGCCCCCGGCAGGCGCCTCCTCCAACGCAAGCTGGCTGGTCTACTTGGGCGTCCTGTACGTCTGCACCGTGTTCGACGAATCCTGTGCAGAAAGGCGGCGGAATGCGATCTTGTAGAGCACTCCCAACCAAGCCCGGGCCTGCTCACCAGGCTACCTGACCTTAGGCAGGGCCGCCTCGCAGGGATTCGAGATCGGCTTGACTCTTGGAGGGGAGGGCACCGATTCTCATCTGTTTCTTCTGCAGCTGCACTTCTGCACTGACCGTCACTCACCTTTGCAACAGTGAAGGCGCAGGTGTCTGTCTCTGAGAACAACGCTCTCCAAGCCGAATCAAGGAGGGGCATTGCTGAAACAGACCTGGAAAGCAGGTCAGCTGTGCGACTGCGGGCAGTACCAATCTTCTATGCCTGCGGCAACGGCGAGCTTCTCAGACGCAGCACTTGCAGATAGTATCGGAAATCATGCTGATGCAGCTCATCCGAGGTTGAAAGTTCCAGTCCAGGGATATATGTATGTCTCGAACCTACGAGTAGCAAATCCGAAGAGTCGTCGAAGAGGCTCAGCACTGGACATCTTCGCAGCGGACCAAATGATAGTGGACAAACCTGGCACAACACCTCACTGCCCCCTGCATGCGCCGTCACGTTCCGTGTATAGACCCCCAATGTTCATATGTTGACACTTCACTTCGGAGGACAAGAGTTGCCAGAGAATTGCGAGATATTGCGAGTGACACCTACAGGCTTCGCCATGTGTCCCAAACGAAGGGCACGCTGCAGTACCATGGCCAATCCACGCCAGCAGGGTGCAGCGCAGGAGCCTCGTGGGTCTGAGACGTTGCTCTCAGCAGCCTGCCATGATGTGAAGCTGCACTGCTGCACTGCTGCCCTGCTGCGCTGCCCTGCTTGCACTCTGCACGACTCATAGTACAAAGAAAACCACGTGATGACTTTGACTGGTGGCCACATTCTGAGCGCTTGCCAACATCATAAGATCTTCCGTGGGCAAACCCTCAAAACTCACAAGGCCAGCGCCAGCAGGCTACAGGCCACAGCCTCGATGGCTAGCTTGATGAGCACCTGCACTACTCTCAAGAACCTGCACTTCAAAATCTTGCAAGCGTTGGAGGGCATGTTACGTGGAAAGCTGCAAAGGCCAATCGCACCAGCGAAACACCAAGTTGATTTTTCTGAGGCATAATTTGTGAGGCATAATTTGTGAGGCATAATCCCCTTTCTCCCTGAGCCGTCCTGGAAGGCCGGCTCCAACTCCGCGACTTATCTCGCATCCTCGGGACAGCAACTGCGCGGCTTTCAACCCTTTTTCAGCTCGGATAGTGTGTGTGTGTGTGGCCGTGACTCCCAAACAATTTCGGGCGTAGAGCGGTGCAGAGATGAGACCCTGCCCTCGACACCCTTAACAGTTGTGTTGAAAGGCTACGGAGGCTCAACGATGTTCGTGACATGCTGGTCACATACCCTAACACAGCACAGCAAGAGACAACGGCAGAGAGAAATGAGCGAAAGAGAAAATATTCGGGATCGCGAGATTGGTGCTTAAAACCAAGCGCTGAGCGTGCGCCTCTGACAAGACAGTGCCCTGATGTGCCCTGCAAGCCTCGTCATGCCCGTCTTCGCGTTCGCAGGCTGGCTTCTGACTTCTTCAGTGACCGAAAATACAGACGCTTGCAAAGCTGAAATTCCGATGCGACACCCTTGAAACAGCGCAGGTCTCTTTCGACATGTGACCTACGACGCCAGAAACTTCTGAGTTCATGTCGAGGCGATGCCAGTCAGCACACTTAAGACTCACACCCGACATCACGCGAGCTTGTAGAAGACGGAGGCAATCTTCCTCTTCGACAAGGTCTCGGGTGACCTGCATCGACATGAACACGTGGACATCACGTGAAAAGCTTGCGCGCAGAGACCGTGGAGGGACATGCAATACTGCGCAAAGCACGAGTCCCGTGCCTGACAGACAGGCTTAGAAGCTCACGAGCCGATTGCGCACCAGCAAGCCTATGACATTGGAAGAAGCGAAAAAGAACCAAAGAGACTCGGAGTCGCCAATGCTCTTGCATGATCCTGTGCCTCTCTGTCTTCGAGCTTCCGCGGAAGCCAGCCTGCACTTGTCCGCAGCTGCGGGGCATGTCGTTCTGCTACCAACGGACGCTTGCTGTCAGGAATTCGAAGCCCTGAAGGGGGGCGGAGGGGACCTGCCTTGTGCGCTGCCAATCATCTCACAGCAAGCACCGCCTGCATTGTGGAGACCAAGCCTCAGACCACAGACTGCGTGGCTACAAAAATAGGAAGTTAGGAAGTTCAAAAGCGCAATCTGGCAAACCATGTGCGACTGTCCTGCACGCAGCCGCCCATGCTCCCCACTTGATCGTGCGCAGAACCTCTGTCTGGCGCAATCCAAGAGTGACATAAGTGACCTCACCCGGGAGCCCACTCTGTGACGAAACCCGCCTCGTAGGCAAGGGGGCTTTGGACCCTTCCATCCGGAGCGGAGCATGCCACATCATCCCGGCTTCCGGATGCTTGCGGGATGCACCAACTCGGCTTTTTGGCGAGTATTGCAGGGCTCCTTGAGTACGAGGGCCCTGAAAAGCTTGCTGCAGACTGCGCGCGTGTGTATCATGACTTGTACCAGGAACTGCGTGACATGCTGTTGGTGCGTCCACTTGACTCCCTACAATGTGCTACTTGCGGCAGCTTGCGCCGGAAGGAACACCTCGTAACAAAGTCGCGCAAATGGCCATGGGCGTAGCAAGCTGCAAAGGTGCCCGTGCCCTTTTTGGCGGGCGCAAATCGATTGAGCACTCCGGCGCCCTCCTCGAAAAGATCGCGCTCGCCGAAACCCTGATCTAGCATCAGCAAAAGCCGACGGATGGAACACGAAGAACACTCGAAACCAGGCCGGGGAGTCTTGTCTGTTGCCACAACCTTCTGAGTACAGAGCAGATGTTTTCACACAGAGAAACCGTGTTCCCCGCCCATGGTGTCGGCACTCCGGGGGCACTCCCCGGGGTGGAAGTTCAGGGCTTGTCTGGGCTTCGCCCCGTGCATTTTCTGCGGGCTTTCGGACTTCGCCACTCCATTTTCAGAGATGCCGAGCCTCTTGCTACGTCTTGCTTGTGCTGGCCCTGCCAGCTCGACTTTCAACCCACATTATCCACATTCCTAGTTTTCTGAGTTGCTGCTGACGGATCATGTTGGCAGCTGGCACGACCGAAGATCGGACATGCCGCTAGGCCCAAGCGGTGCGACGACAAAACAAACTTCCGAGGTCAACCCAAATGCAGATTTCTCCAGGAGTGCGGTTCTGCACATGAACCACGCCTGGTGAAACTGCCCTTGGAGCTGTTGGAAAAGCACTCGCATGCCGAAGTCTCGCTCCCTTTCTTAAGCACAAAAGGTCAGTGCTGCTTCTCTGCCTCGGTTCATGCGAGCCCGGGCAGCCCCAAATCCAGCCTACCCATTTCTGTGCGACCAGAGGATGTGCTGTGATGGTGCCGGTGCCCTTGAGAGCAGTTTCGACTGCTTCGCTCTTCTCCGTTGAATTGGCGTCTAGAATTGTTCTGGCACCTCCTCTCTAGTCGTGCTTGATGAACCCTACCACGGGCTGCGTCTGAGACGCCCCTCAATTCTGCAGCGGCTTGCCAAGCGAGGGGATATTAAATGCATGGCAAACGCATGGCCCTGCTCACGTGTGATCACTAGCGGCTGGGGCCTTAGATGCCCAAGATGATGCAAAAGAAGGCGATGGACACGGGCACCTTCAGTGAAGCTTCTTGGGAAGTCTAAGGAATCTAAGGGCGAAGCCCAGCGAGCCCCTTTGTCCTGCCGCAAATTCCAAGGATGCCTGAGCCTGTGCCCTCCACCGTGTGACATGTTGCATCTACCACAGCAAATGGAGCTGTGCAAAGCAGCGCAAAGCACTTAGACTTAGACAACAGTCCTGCGGCAGGGATGCGGACATGTGTGGCTGCGGGAACTCTCTGAAAGCTCTCCTGCGCCTCAAGCTGCCAGCTTCGTGTCAAATTGAATACCGAAAACTCCCGCATGAGACCACACGTCTCAAGACACTCATCTGCAAAGTGTCTTTATGTTTGAGATCGGCAGCTCCATTAAATCATGAAACACATGCTACTGAGTCCAAGAGTCGCAGCACGCGTGCGAGTGCAGGTGAGAGGCATGTGTGTGTGTGTGTGCGTTCGCGACATGAAGTCGCGGCCTTCGAAGAGAGGGTTTATATGATTTTCGTGTTCAGAACTTTTCTACATATCTGCTGGTTGTATGGGTATGCAAAGCCATGGGTGGATTGAGGTGCTTGTTGTCATTCCCAGCTCCCAACAATGAATGAAGAGCTTGTCACATGTTGACTCACGAATCAAGACTTTTGCAAACGCAACAGTCGGGAGACGCCTAAATGATCCTAAATGCTACAATGATTGAAGCAGGGTGCAGACCGAAGTCTGCCACCAACGCACCTGGAACGCCCGTTGACTGTCCCTTCGGTTAGGTGCGGTGACATGGTGCAGCGAGAATCAAAGAGTGCACACAGATGGCTGGATGTGGCAACAGCCAGTGAGCCCGCAATGAGAGTGAGAGCGCAACGAGAACGAGCAAACGATTTGACATGATTCCACTCATTAACTCATGTCATGGCACCATTCTCATTGTCGGCGACAACAGGTAGGGGCATGTGTGCCCACAGCTGCTGCACTAAAGTCTTTGAACGGTTTGCCTTTCTTGCCTAACCACACACTTGGAGTACTGATGTCCGTCAACAGTCCAAGTCCTTTCTCGTCTGCCAGGTGTTGGGACCCGAAGCCGGCGCCGGATTGCTGGCAGCAAGGATTCCGCAAAACACAATCACAACACGCTGCAAACGATGCTCAAGCGGCATCTGGCTCTGCCTCCGGGCCATGGAGCCCAGCAAGCCCCACTCCTCCTCGACATGTGTGTGTGTGTGCATTGAAAGAGGCCCAGAGAACAGCACTGGCCTCATTTGGGCGATCTCTACCACCACAGTGGCAACCCACCATCCTGGCCCCATGGTCACCCTTCCACCAGCCAAAGCATTCAGCCTGCAGCTCTTAGCTGTCTTAGCTCCCAGCCCAGAGAAAATACGACTCCTTGGCAGGTGTAGCGAAAATCTTCTACATGGACGAAGGCATGCGGCACGCGAACAGTCGCAGGGAGGTGCCATCTCAGCAGGGTCAGAAACGACCTCTTTTTGCCTGGCGGATCTTCTCCGCGAGTCCCCGCAAGCTGGAAACCGTCAGGTCAGGCTTTCGATCCTTCGCGGACTTCACATCATGCCACAAGCTCATGTTTCTCGTGCACCAGTTGCTTGATAGCACATGGTGCAAGTCCATCTTGATCTGCACAACTTCTGCTTCCGCTTAACTGCTTCTGCTTCCGCCAAGTGACCGCACCGGCTGCGCGGGCCGCAAGCTCCGCAGCTGAAGTCACCGAGAAGCGGTTTGCCGAGCGACCAGGCCGATTCAGCAGCACAGTCCTGCAACTGTCGTTCACGCATCGGGGGTCGTGCGGCATGTGTTATGTGTTATGTTATGTGTTCAACCTCTGCAACTCTTGTTTGTTCATCCGCGCATCTGTCCGTTGAACCCCAGCGACTTTGTTTTGACCCCCTGAACACTTCCTCACGACCCCTTGCATCATTACTTTGACTCCACGTGTCTTCTTTCCAGTGCAAGGCAGTTCCTGAGCATCAACAGCAAGATTTTTGCTTGAAGGCTGTGCAGCGCGAAACATCCAGAGTTCAAAACACTGGGGATGGAAAGTTAGAGTTCCCTGAGTTTTAATACTGCGGTTGTTGAGCAGTTTGTTGCTGGCGAAACGTTTCTGACTTCCAACCCCATCCATGGGCCAGCTGACGGTTGATTTTTCAGTTGATTTTTCAAGCGAGAATTCGAAAACCATGGGCGACGCGCTTTTGCTTTCTAGCTTTTGTCGTGTATGGCTCTGAGCAGCTGGTGGCAGTTTCTAATTCCGTGAGGTCTGCCGCGCGGTACACTCAGTAGCACCAACACTCAATGCACAGCACCTGTACCACTCAGTTAGTAACTTAGTGGGTCAGAAAACAATTTCCCCCCCCCCCCTGCTTCCACGACAAAACCGAAAAACAAGAATGGAATCGAAATTAGTAGAAATGGCCCGCAGATTGGATGAACGGCTTCGCTTGACTGTCCGAAGCCCGACACGAGCCGCCGCAGAAACATCGGTTGCTGGGTCATCGCCCACGTGCCACCAGGACCTGGAGGCTCCACAGGCTTAATCACAAGAATAAGAGCAAGACTTTAATGATCATGATACTGATACAATAATAGAATCCAACAAACAAAAACATGTTGCAGATTGCAGACCGAAGGGCTGGAGAGTGCCCTTCCACCCAAGCTCCCGAGCTCGAGCAATGGCTGCCTCAAAGATGACTGGCGAGGGCTTTCGGTGCGGGAAGATCACCTCCTGTGCGGTTCAAGTGGCCCGAGTGTCTGTGAAAGTCCCGATCCTGAACCCTCAGGTCCTCCTCACCGGAGACGCAGAAAGAAAAGAAAGCCGCCAGCTTGGCGATGTCCTGAGCTGAAACTACGCGAACAAGAAACGTCAAACATCTAGGAAGGTTCGAAGGTTCAGCAAACAGGGTTTACGAATTATGGCGCTCAGAAAGCACGCCAATTCGATGACAGGTCTCCTGAGGATTGCTGGCCCCATTGGTGATCGCCCCGATCATGGCCCCTGAAGCTGTCAGACCTTCCTGGCGCAGTGTCAGAGTGTCACGCTGGACGCTTCACTTCATGAAGATGTTCTGCTGATGCCATGTTTGGCCACTGTTGCCATCTGCTGCCCAGCATCCAGGCACTCCAGCACGTCAAGGTAAAGGAAGGAGGAGGCGGCAGCATTCCTCGCTGTGATCCATTGCTTCACAGCGCGCTCCTTAGTGCCACATAGTGCTGCCTTCTGAGACTCAGAAAGTCTAAGTCATAGCCAAGATCGACATGTGGCAGATGAGCCCCTTCAGGCACTTTCATCATGTGTCTTTCCCTCGGCATCCTCACTTGAAGGATGCAAAAACTGCATAGCCTGTGCAGCGCATGGGTTTCGCTGAACAAGCCTTGCAAAGAAGAACAAGCTTAGCTCTAGCTTAGGGTTGAGGTTTGCGTAGGGTGCAGGCTGGGGCGTAGGCAGGTCAATTTGGCCGGTGGAGGTAGTGGAACCCGTTGAGAGAGCTCGCTCAAGGTCAAACAAAGAAAACAAAGGGACGAGTGAGATGCCGACCATCTGGCCCCAACAAAGCATTGAAACACCACTCGACTCACTTCAGAGATTGAGTCACGAGACTAGCAGAATGGACACCCCAGCCGGCCACTACTAAGCCTCAACCTTCAGATTCCTGAGAGCCTGGATTGACCCGGGTTCGGGGCAGTTGACAGCTCTTTTCTCACTGTAAGGCCCAATGTAGTAAAGGGCACCAGGCTTGGAAAGGGAGTGCGTGAATCCACACCTACAGCCTCTGGGACTTTCCACATGCGGACCTTCAAACGTCTGTGTTCCCTGTCTGCCATGGCACACCGCTTGGTCCAAGTCTCGGCAGTGCGCCTGTCGCCTCCCAGACACTCCTCCCACGTGCTGCGCTGCATACATAGCGACAGGCATGCCCCTGAACATGCTCCTTGACCTGTCCATGACTATTTTCAAGCACAAATTACGAGCAACTCAATGCCAGCCCTTTGTCCCCAAATGTCCCAGCACCTTGCCCGACCTGCGCGCCCCTTTGCACAACCTCACAGCGGCGCAAGACGTGGTCCTCATAAGCCTGGCAACGTAAGCTGACGTAACTGGCATTCGCCCCCGCTGGTGTAGATCGGATGCGGCGCATTGCCTCCATCACCTTCCAGCTGACCCAGCTCTGGGCAAACAGCAAACAGTGGGCATGTTTCAGTCACTTGCGTGGGCACCTCATCTGCGGGTAGAAGCTTGTGGTCCCTGGCGATCTGTGCATTTGCCTGCGCCACTCAATTGAGTTGGTTAGAATCGGATAATCGGATTGAATCTCCGAATGGCCGATCCTGATTCACCACCTCCACGATGGGCCACAAAGTATCGTCCAGGTCGAAAGAAACAATGACTTCCTCGCTCGCCCGGCGGCAGCTCCTGTCTCGCCTCCAATGCAGAGGCGAAATAAAATTGGCAGAAACTCATCTTCGCTCTACTCGGGAAAGCGACCTGCAAACCGATGCCGGCTGCGCGCGGCGCAGGCCACAGAACAGCAGCTCCTTCGCGAGAAAGCATAAGCGCAGCACATGGCCTCTGAACCCCCAAGCTTGCTTCAACACTTACAGGGACCCTAGAGCTCCTCCGGTGGACTTGCCAACCAGGCGGCTAGCCCACCAAGCACAGCAGCAGCAGCATTTCGCAGCTTCTTCATGCCGACTCAAGCGCTGAGAATGCTCAAGGCGCGCAGAAGAAAATGCAAACTATCTGTGTGGTACCAAATATGTCGCACAACGCCTTCTTCGCTTGTCTGAATATAAAATGAAGAACTGAACAAATGGTGTGGCTCCCGAGTGAGCTGGATGTTGGATGCTGGATGCTACGAGAGTACAGTAGCCATCATATGTTGCACACACACACACACACATGTACTGCATTGCACGGCGCATGCGGCTTGGCCCTTGCAGCCGGCAAGTTCTGAGGGCATTGCGCGCATGCTCTGTCCAGCACATCTTGAACCTTGGCGTTTCTCATATGCCGAGCTCAGATGCAGCACCATGCAAGTCAAAGAGGGTAACTCGGACAAGGAGCAAGACGGTTGTCTGTGTGCTCCTGGTGGGCCGTCACCCTGCAATCACGCAGGGTAGAACCGATGGCGCGTACCGGTTCCGGGCTTGAGCTGGGCGTGAGCTGGGTTCTCTTGTTTCAACCTTTAAGGTGACGTGGTTGAAAGGTGTGGTGGGATGTGGTGCTCGAAGCTTTGAGCTCACAAGCTACATGGAAAAGCGATTGGCTGTCGACATCCAGAATCTAGAGCCAGCTGTAGGATGTGCTTACGAGTCTTACGAGTATCCTTAGCATCAGGCTGCCACTGAACATCCTCTGCTTGGCTTTAAAACTCCATTGAGGCACATTAAAGGCATATTAAAAAGGGAAACACGCAGGTTGTAGCCCAAGTGCCAGTAAGAGCCAACTGGATTTGAGCAGAGCCCAATGCAAACTTAGTCCAACCTGCGGTAAATCAACCAGGGCACAGGCCAAAGTCCAGCACGCCGCAAAGAAACTAATCCAGGTTAGTTCCCGAGCTCGGGTTGCCAAGTCTGCTGAAGAGGCTGTCGGTTCTGCTTGAGGGATTACACTGGCTCGGTTGACCCTTGCTCAAGTACCAGGATGCACAGATGTTGTATCTGGATCCTCGCGTGCTTTGGTGGCTCCAGAAGGCATTTTGTATGCCCGGCGCAGACAGTAAGGAAGAACCCAGGAAACAGCCCCCTTCCTGAATCTTCGGAAATCAGCCCCGAGTGGTGATCTCGTCGTCCCAGTCTATACTGACAGTACTTTTGTGTTCCATGAGAAGATGTGCCGCAGCCTTTGATCGAAACTTCCCTTGTGGCCTTCCTGGCTCGGCAGGAAAGCAGAAAATTGGACAGGCAATGGTGGGTGCGCCGCTGCCCTGCTGAAAGGCACGAATTGAAGCCGCCGAGCACCGAACAGCGGAACAAACAGGTGGGGGAGCAAGTGCCTGCAAGCAATAGTTTAGCCGGAGAGCCTCGAACCCAATGTTGAATGGCAGGCCCCTTGCTGGACTGAAAACTATACCATGCTAAGCTGGGCGAGCAGACTATGCAGGCTGATGCCGGTCTAACAAGAGCTATGACTCACGACAGCGCGGGCGGTGCATGAAAGAACGTGCAAGTTTCAATCCAACTCGCTGAAAAAGTTGCCTGGACTCCTTGGGAGCCCAGGTCGCTGCAATCTGATCTGCGCAGAGCCAGAGAGTCTGAGTCTGAGTCTGAGTGACCGCCTTCATTCTTCGCACAGGCTCAGCCTACATATTCGACCCACCCACGATGCAGACTCTTGCTCACGCGCAGGGAAGCCTAAAATTATGATGTTACCGCCTGCCAGGCCTTTGGCTCAAAGACATCTCAAGAGCTCGCCAAAGCAGCCTGGCGACGCTCAGCCTCCTCATAGCGCCGCCTAATTTTCTCCAGCTGTCCTGGCAGCTTTCAGAGCCATGCACCAACATATGGCAACGAAGACCGTCATCAGCCGTCATAGAGCCATGTCATGTTATGTCCGTCATGGGAGTCCCCAGCAAAGTGCACAGAACCCTGCCTTGAATGGGGCGCCGCCTCGGACAAGAAGGGATCAGCACGCCCAGTTTCATGCGTCGCACATGTGTCGCGGATGTCTCTCGCACTCAGTAGCACTCTTCCGACTCTCTCTTGACTCGGGTCTATTTGGGAGTCCTTGGGTCTTGGCGGGAGGCGCACGCTGATCCAAGCGATGATGCGAGGTACCAAGGGGAACTTGAGGATCCTCACCGCATCTTTGGGATCTTACATGAAAAGACTTGGGATGAGGCAGAGGTCAGTTAACGGGGAATAAGTAACACAATTATTGGGGTCCTGGGAATCACAGGTACCCTAAGAAGCCATCCAAGGTATCCAATGAGGACGTCAGCATTCTTTGATACCTGGCAGGCCGGTGGATGCTTTGAAAAGTCGAGCTCTCTTAGCATCACTTTGCCCGCTCCACAAAGCCTCGGGGAAGCAAGCGAAGCGCTCGATATATGGGAGCAGGTCATCCATGTATGGGAGCACGTAGGGCAGGTGCCTGCGGCAGCACCACCAAGCCGGACGAGATGGCAACTGGTTTGACTGTTGGGTTTCTGCCATCCAACCGGCCACAACAGCCACTTCAGCCACTTGGGTTTCGAGCTTAGGGCCTACTGCCGGGTTTCGCAAGCTTTCGGCAGGCGGCGGATGAGCCAAGGGCAAGTGCGGAGCCAGCTCGTCCAGGCGTGGCACCAAGTAATCAACATAGGGGAGGAGCTTGGGCAGGTAGGAGTTCTCCTGCTTCAGCACAGCTGTTGCGGCTTGAAGCATGGTCAACATTGGTCAACCATATGTCCACACGGCAGGGCCGCCCGTCCTCGACGCTTGCAGCGGCAGATCCTGCACAAGCATTGCGTGGCATCTTTTTTCATCAAGGGCCAATACTGATCGGACTCATGGTTGCAACCACAAACACAAAGCACTGCCATCAAGCCTTCCCAGCTGTCCATCAGGTTGTCTACCAGACACTCCTGCAAAGTAGCTTGGGGCAGCGTTGGCACATCAACCACTCTTCGTTCCTTTCAGGCCGTGCTATTTCAGCAGACTGCTACACATCACACGTCCTCAACCTTGTCGATCTGAGGCTCATCGAAGCACTGATCCAAGTCAACGGGAGGACGCTCGCGACCTGCAGAATGCGGCCAGATGTCAGACCCAATGAACTCAAGAGCCCTGCCCCTGTGCATCCCAAGCGCACCTAGCTCTGCGTATGGCATGAGCAGGTCAAAGTGGTCCAGTAGGGGGCCACAGTGCTTTGCCAACACATCCTGAGCTAGCTGGAGATCGCTTGAGATTCAGGCAGCGGGGGCTAGTGCCTTGAAGGTTCCAGGTGCAGCAGGATATATGGCAAGTGTGGCTCGATGCGATCCATTCGCTCCATTATCCGATCCAAATGCCTCGGTGTATTCTATGGGACAACGGCCAGAGCATGCTGAGCCAATTTTGGGCCTTTTATGTCCTTTCGATTCATGAGAGACACGGCTCCACGATGTCCAAGTACTGATCCAAAATACGAACAATACCTTGGCACTTCGCAGACTTAGGACTGTGTGCCCATGCTTCTTGCCAGCATGCAAAGCGCTCAAAAACATTCTCCAGTTCGGATCCGCAAGTCGGGCTGAGCGGCTAGGCACATGAGGCCCGAGGATTGACAACCGAGTGTAAATGGACGGCAGATGGCTCACGATGGAAGTGGAATGCCTTCAGCACGGGTAGTTGCACCGACCCTCGCATTTAGAAGGTTGCCTAGCGCAGGCATCATACCTGAGGCAACTGGCATGAAGCAACAACAGCACTGGCAAACTTCCTCCGCAAACTCAGACCACATCTTGAAGCTGAGTCTCGGAAGAATTTTCCTCGTCAGAGACGGCTCCACCACCTCACTCGGCTTGGGTCGAGAAGTTGTGAAAACGGCATCCGTGCGGAGCTGTGTTGAGATGCGGGAGTGCTCCCTTGCATTCGGGTGACGAGCCGTCCGCCGATCGAGAAACCCGCTTTGGCCTGGTCAGCTAAATACGCCCAGGGATCCGGAGCATCCTCGGACTCAGAGGTCTAAACTCGGCTCAGGTTTTGCAACTGCCAAACTGCAGTGCCCAACTGCAGTGCCAAACGGGCCAAGGCTGCAAATGTTCTGACTCTTTGCATCTCTTTGCACTGAGGGGCCGCCACCCCTTGCAGTAGGATTCGGATGGACTCGTTCGGCGCGGCATCCTCGCGAGATTTTTCTCAGAAGCCGGGGGGCCCCTTTTAAGACCGCGTGCTAGTCCCACGCTCGAGACTGTGTACAGCCCAGTATCACCAGAGCATCCCAAACATCCCAAACCAGATCCCATGCCCACGTCCTGCAGGGATCTAAAGATTCTCCTGGTGGCATCCGTTGCATCTCGAGCTGTGTGGCCCGAGAGGATCAGGTCCGCACAGGGTCGGAAGGCGGACAAAAGGCCGGCATACCTGGCATGGCATGTGCCTGTCACTTGAGTAGATCTCTCCCTGGTGCACAAATTGCAAATGGAGATGCCAGGGTCATGTCCAGCATTGTGCAGGCAAGTTGCAGCTCGATTTCGGCCAACTTGCCTGCATTGTCCCGCCCTTCTTGATCCAGCACCTGCGCATGTTGGCTGCGAAGTTGGCAGCTGGTCTTTGCACAGCGCGATTTTGGCCGTGGACGTTCATGAGGATATTCAATTTTCGGCTGGAGGTTTGCACCATGGCCACAATCCAGCCGAATTCCGTCTGTAGTTCTGGCCCACCAGCCTTGTACAAGCGGCCTGCATACAGCATATCGACCAGCGTAGAAACACCAAGGCCGTTGCCATCCTGCGTGTGAAGAGCAAGCATCTGGCTTGGTCTTGTTCCCAACACAAAAACTTGAAGCCAGCCTTTTTGCCACCTAGTGCGGCAGCCAGGAGAGAGGGGCTGCGGTTGACGAGCTCAAGGGCCTTCAGTAGGACGGCGACTGGTTCTGAACCCGAACCCCCCTGCAGATACCAGATTTGTAGCCTTCTCTCTGGAGCTGATCGCGGCAAGGCGTGCCAAGACCTCGGAGACGGCATCCGACTCTACCTCGGCTCGTGCGAACCACTGCACTCCCCATCAGAATCCCCCATTCCTCGCAGGCGTAAGGAGCGAAAGGTGAGTACCAGAGAAGTCTCATCATCTGGGAGCCAAGATGCTAGCAGAGGGGTGGCGTCCATCTCGATGATCTTCAGCGCCTGCATGCTTTCGGCTCATGTCAAGTCGCACAAAGCCTGCCACTCCAGACGACCAGTACTGCATCGCGTGCGCAAAGATGCTGCATGGTTGGCTTGGCCTGGTCTTCTGAAATGCCCAGCGTTTGCACGAAACGTGGCCATCTCTCCTTCACCTCGTCGAAACTAAAGGGTTCCCCCAGGAAGTTGTTCTCCAAGACCTCAGTCACCCCGAGTGCGCGTTGCTGCACGCGAAGCTGCGTGAGAGCATCTCTCGACTCCGAGGCCCTTTGCCACCCAAACATCTACCAAGGGGGTCGTTGGATGTTGTTGGGAAGTTTGGGAAGGTTAGGTTGCTTTTTGCATCCCATCTTACACTGCTCCACGGGAAGTGGAGGCCACTGTTGCCAAGGCTCCGCCTCGGGATGCTGTCGAAGCACTGCACGCCAGGCTTGTTGCAGATGCAGTGAATGCTTCCTCCGTCAGATAACACACAGCGACCAGCTTCCTAATCTCTGACAAGAAGAACTATAGGTGGATACACCTAGCCCTAGACGTTGAGCAACGCCGGAAACTGACACAGGCTGCCAGCCCAGACACTGCTCGGCCAATTCCCGTTCCACCTGGAGCAGGTGCACAAGATTGCCCCAGCATGGGCCCACAATGGTCCACGTGCTACAATGTGTTTGGCGTGTCCGGTTCTCTTCACCGCAAATGGGGGGCAAATGAACACAGCCCCTTTTTTGCATCCGGGCTTGGTGAACACAGCCCTTACAAGCTGAACTAAAATTGCCGAAGCAGCGTTCTGCATCCATAAGCTTGCATCGTGCAGCACAGCTACATGACTGCACTGCACTCACTCATCACTTACAACGACAACGACATGCAATGAGAACACGCAGCAACGCAGATGTCGAACACGGCTGCTCACTCTGCCTCCTTGACTTTTTCCTGGGCAGCCGTCCTTCTGGGCAGAAAGCATATAAAGCATGCAGAAGATCGAGAAAGGATGCTGCGCTCAAGCAATAGAATATGGGGTGTCTCGATGTGATCCGGTGCCTCGCAGCAATGGCGGCCACGGCAGCTACAGCGGATGCTGTAAGCACCTTGTTTTGCTTCCCGAACGCGAAACTCTACACTGCAAGACTGTGTCCTCCATGGCTGCATTGCAGCAAGGTTGCAGTCTCCGCCTCCAAGCCGGCCACGGCCACTGCAGCAGTTTCGGCACTCGCAGCAATCGGAGCCGATGCCTCATAAAACTCACACATCTCACACGCATGCCTGAGTCGCTGCCTGAGGTAACCGGGTAAAAAGGTTTGCCGCCGTTGTCCGGGGAACTGGGGGGAACTTGTCGCGTTCAAGGCGGAAAGGTTCAAGGCGAGCACCAGCAGATATCAGCAGATGCCTTTGTTCTTCCACCGGGTTGAACAGAACCCTCCCAGCCTCGGCCAGGGAGGCAGCCATAGAGCTCAACGCTCCGGCAGCGTTTTCCGAGGCGACTCCTACCTGGCACCGGGGCATCGCATCCCAGAGGTGATCTCTGATGCTCGGAAATGAACAGTGAAGAACATCGAGGATCGCAGCTACTCTCCGCCGGCCTCAGCGCGCTCCATCAGCCGCATCTCCGCTCGGTTAAGTGCATCTGCTACGGCTTCGCTCATGGACCACAGCTCCTCCTGACCGCAACAATTTCTGCTGCCAGGCTATGGTGCCAGCAGGAACAGGTAAGATGAGCAATAAACACAGAAGACCAAATGAAAACAATCATGTACTTGTTTTGCCAAGCTTCTGCTGTGGCCTGTCGTCTGGATCGAGGCTGTGTGTGAGCAGCTGTTCTGCCGGCAAAGCGTGACCGACTGCTAGTGGATGTCCTGCGTCACGTAACAGTCGTGGAATCATTTGTCCAGGTTTGGGGTCCAGGGAACCCTACAATCCCACAAATCCCTCAATGGGCTGTTTATTGGTTTTTTGGGACTTGGGAGGGTGGACTGGGGTCCTCGTTGCCAAGCACCGCAGCGGCTCCCACGCGGGTTGCTGAGTGCTGGTGGCAGACTCCCACAGTGCATGCGCGGCGCGTGCCAAGGAGTCCACCTCCTTGCAACAGACAGTGTATGCTGGATCTGGAAGTCAGAAGCAGGCAGAAGCCAGACTTAGCCAGCAAAGATCGCAACTCTCCAAAGTGTTTTGCTGTGCGTGCCTGAGGCAGTTGACGCGTCCATGGCGACTTGGGGGCAAGGCGCACAGTGTCCACCTTGCCCGCTTGGGGAGCCAAAGCACGCGACCTGAGAACGAGAAGTGCGTAAAACATGCATCAACCACGTGGTGCACGGCACGTCACGTAGACGGCCGTGGGGATTTAAGTGGGTGGAGTTGTTTTTTGGGATTGTTCTTTTCTTCTCTTTTTTTGAGGGGAGGGGGGGGTCTTTTTTGTTTTGTTGGTCCGTTTGCTTGGTTTTTCCTAGGAAAAGGCCACATTCCCTTTTTTCATAAGATTTGGTCGATTTTCCTGGTTTTCCTAAACAGCCTCCATTGCCTCTAAAATTTCATAGGAACTGGCGGCTAAAAAGCGTTTGGGGGGGGGGGGGGGGGCAGCCCCCCGCCATCTGCAAACACAATGCTCGCACAGAGGCTTTGAAAAAGTGGCCTGATGGGTTTCAATCGTTCACGGCTTACAACCAGCCGGGGCATTGGGGGGGGGGGGGGTGCAGCCCTTCCCATTTGCAAACTTCTGTCTTTCTTTCTTTCTTGGAGGCGTGGGGGCGAACCCCCTGGCTGTGCGCCTGCCCCGGTATTCGGGGACTTTCTCTCTTTCTCTCTCTCTCTCTCTCTCTCTCTCTCTCTCTCTCTCTCTCTCTCTCTTTCTTTGGGGCATGGGGCAAGCCCTGCGCCAAGGCGCGCCCCGATCCCGCGTCTCACGACCTACAGCCACTCGTCGGCCGCCGGTGTTCGGCAGCGCCACGGTCGCCACCTACGGGGCCTGCTATCGACCCGTTATCCGGCCCTCATCACAACCTCTCTTTCTTTCTTTCTAGGGGCTTGGGGCCGGAGCCCCGGGCGTCTTCGCCCGCCCCGGATTGGGGCTGTGCGTCGGTTCGGCTCCTGTATTTGGAGCGGCTCGGGTGTTTGTTGGAGGTCACCCCGTGCAGCCAATTGTTTTGCCCCCAGCCCTCCCCCTTGCACGTAGCACACTTAGGTATGCCCCCATTACTGAACGCATTCAAGCTGCACCTGTAGTTGGTGACCTTGTAGGGTCTTGTGTCCCCCGGTCCGAGCACGTTAGAGAAGCGTCTTTGCGCACAAAATCAAACAGGCGGGCTGCGAGGTAAAAACATGCATTGCTGTCTGATTGGAGCGAAAGGTTTGCCCCACCCTGAATTAAAGACCCCGCCCCGTTCATCTACTCGGTTGGTAACTTGCTGGTAACATGGATGTCCTTTTCGGACCTTGCAAAAATTCCAGTCGTCTCTTCACCCCCGACCCTACTCCAACCTCCCTCTCCCCCACAACTGAACCAGTCCTCTACGAACTCCCGAAGCCTCCCGCGCCCCCTTGCCAAACCGAACCTCCCCCTCCCCACAAAACAAACCAATCCTCAAACACCCCGAAGCCTCCCCCTGAGATCGACTGTTACACTGCAACACGCTGAGTATTTTACATTGGCATATGCGTCACTTGTCAGAGTCAGTACATCTGGATGTCGACGTAGTTGCTTCACCCCATTGGCATATGCGTCACTTGTCAGAGTCAGTACATCTGGACGTCGACGTAGTTGCTTCACCCTATGCGGTGCTTTCTGCACTGCCAGCCCTGCGGTCTTCGCTCCCTCTCCAGCGCCAAGCCGTCTGACTGTCGTCGTCTTGTTTTTCTGCCAGCTTGCTTCCCCCTCCCTTTGCCATCTGTCCTCATCTGCCCACTCTATCCCCCTCCACTGCCAATCTTCCCAACTGTGCTCCTCATCGCTTTGTTCCCCCATCCATTGCCGTCCTCCCCCCTGTTCTTGTTCATCTTCGTCCCATTGCCACCACTGACGCGCATCGCTCAAACAGCCTTCCAGTCGTGAGCTCGATGACGTTGCGCCCCCCGCAGACAAACTTGGCAGGTCATGGTGGGCGCATCGCCCTGTGGATCCATGGCTGGCACTTAGGAGTATCCTATCCCCCTGGCCCTACTCTCACGCCACACAACAACATGCGCAGGACTGAAGGCCCTGGCAAGGTGGTCAAACATGTGCCCCTGAACTTACCCCCGAGCGAAGCAAGTTCACCTCAGTTGTTAACTACGACCGCGGCACACCTCAGGCTCGAGCGGGGTGCCTACAACCTCAGCACAAGTCCAGGCCCCGTGGAAACAGATGGTCACCTAAACCCCCCACAATTTGCCGCTCGATCCGTTGGAGTTTCCCCTAGGCGGTCTCGAAACTCAAATGGCTGCTCACTGGCTCAAGCCGGGGGTGGGTTCCGACTTGAGCCAAAATGGCTACAACCTCTCTCTCTCTCTCTCTCTCTCTGTCTTTCATTCTTTCTTTCTCTCTTTCTCTCTCTTTCTGTCAAAACCTGCGGAAGGGAACGATTTCCTCTCCAATCACAGGGGGAATGGAGGTTTTCCTAGGAAAGGCCAATAAATGGACCAAATTCTCTGAAAATGTGGAGGGAATGGAACTTTTCATACGAAAAGCCAAGAAAATCAACCCCCCCAAAAAAACGCACAAAAACCAACAGGCCCTCCGTTTTAAGTAGGGCCAACAAACTCTGGAAAACTACTTCGGGTTTGTACAAGATGCGCACGTGTTCGGTGGATGAGTGGCCTTCATGCATGTTCACCAAGGACATGAGCGCTTGTGACAGCACAAAAACATTGCGCAGTATGTTATGCAAAGAAGCATAAACGCCATGAATTCCAGCATTTTTTGGCATGTTCGCGACAGTCCTGAAAGAGCTCATGACACGGCGCGTCTTGTGCCAGACGCTCACAAAAGACATGAACGCCTGTGAAAGCGCGTCTTGCTCCAGAGGCTTCAAACATTCTTTTGCATTATGTGGTGACGCTGTAAATGCAAGTGTTTTTGGGCATGGCCGCCGTAGGAACGGGCCTGCACTCCCGCACCCCCCAAACCCCTCCGTAAGAAAACCAAAAGGCACGACGACCCACAAAAGGTACGACGACCCACGGCCGTCTCCGCACGCTCATGCTGCTCGCAAAGCAAATCCAGAAGCACCGGAATTTGGATGGCAAGGCGCGCTTCCGTAACGTGCTCCAGGCGCTCCTCCACGAAGTCCCGGATTGCCTCCATGTTCTCGGCTAGGGCTGTGGCGATGCGGCCTTCGACCGGCGCGACCTCAGCGACGTTGAAACTTCCGTCGGATTGGGAAATTCCATGAGCTTCAACAAAGGTCTGCGCTGGAAGAAACCAGTGTGGCTGACACTCCACTGCAAAAGTGAGACGCATCATCTCTTCTCCTGTTGGAGTAGAAAGGAGAAGCTCCACATGTTGCTGCAGCCATTGTTGATAGACTATGCTTTCTTGGGCGGCAAGCTCCTGGTTCGGCACAGCCAAGGAGGGGCTGCAGGCGCCAAACCCCCTGGTAATGCACAAAGTCCCCGCGCTCCCCCGGGACGTTCTGCATGGTGATGTCCTTCGTTGCAATTGAAATGCAAGCTTGCACAGCCACGCGCTGCACCGATGATCTGAATGCATGGGAATTCCGTTTTTGCGAAGCACGTGAAGCTGCGTCCGCTAAAATGCAAGTTGAACCGGGCTGCCCGAACCGGCACCCCGTCGGCAGCAACGGAGAACGGCCTGGATGCACACTCAAGCTGGCAATCAGCGCAAGGTGCGACTTTGCAGAATTCTGGTATAATGGAGATGCCCGCGCCTGGGAAAAACGTCGCGAATAAGCTTCTCTTTGCTGCCGTGGGCTCGGACCTGCCAAAAGCTCAGGAGTACGCAAGAGCCTCTCGATGCCTCTCGATGGACCATGCTGCTACATGCTGCTATGCTACATGCTGCTATGCTACATGCTGCTACCCAGCCTCTGAGCTCGACATGTGAGCCGCATCCATCCGCTCACCGCAAACCTGCCCGCGCGGCGGTGTGGAGGGCTTCAAGCTTCAAGGTCCGTCAAGGCTTTGCATGCATGACCCCATCAAAAGGCGCATGGGCCCGTCCCCAATGTCCGACAGTCGTCCCACCGCTTCTGAACTTCACAACTCTTGGGCAAGTGTGACTGGCCTTAATCCCGGATCTGCAGACCCCCTCGGGATGCAGTCTAACATCCAACGTCATCCCAGCTTGGAATCGGAAGGTCTTGCCACAAATCGTCCACGATGCCTGGCCTGCCAGATGCGAAGAAGAGTTTGCCATGTAGGGATCAAAACTGCTTCTACTGACAATGCACTTGTGCCATCCTTCCTGTACTGGTAGACAGACTCACCGCTGCACTTAATCCATCACACGCCACGCGCCCACACACACCCGTGAATACCCACGCATGCCCATGTCGCACGCAGGCGCACGCACAAAGCGCAAAGTCAGGCAGCGTCGACACTAGAACTACTGTTCTGTTGAGTGCGACATGTCTGGAGAAAGCGGGCCTATCTGCCACAGACGAGCACCACCATGCTCATCCTCCCCAAGGGTCCCCCCATGCTCTCTGACTCATCGCGGAGAGCATGCAAAGCTCCAGCAAACAGAACACCTACCTCACATCTGCCGACGCCAAGGGGCTGGGCCCTCCACGATGGAGTTCTCGGCCAGGTTGGGAACCACACGGGCCAAGCCCTCGTAATCCGTTAACACCTGCGCACGGCTGAAAAACGCATGATAAGGGTTGACCTGGGGTTGACGTTCGTTGAGAGTTTATCGAAGGCAGGTCTCTTTGCAATGCCTTCCAGACATCGTTGACGCTTGCACGGATGTCGATTCCAGTGTAGATCCTTCGCGCATTTCCAGGTGCATCCTCGACCCGCGTCACTGGCGCACTGCCAGGAATCAAGCAAATCCTTAGGAGCTTGGAATCAACGCGTCTGCAAAAGCTTAGCCTAAACTACATGCCCGAAAAAACAAGAGAAAAGTCTGGCCCAGGTGCGTATCTGTCAACACCGAAGGGTTTGCTGCCTCTGATCCTCTGGGTCCTGTTTGGTCCTGGTTGGCGCCATCCCCAGCATTTCTTCTTCGATTCACTTTCTTGCGGTCCCAGAAAAAAGCCACAGCAAACCCATTTCAATCAACATCTCGGTCTTGCAAAAGCGGCGGGGGCGGGCGATAATGAATATTCGGGCGAAGGGATGAAGAGCAGGTATAAGCTCGTGTCCTCTCGACCCAGCACCGTGCGGCCGCGTCGGCGCCGCGCGACGAGTGCGCCCACGAAGGCAAAGAGCTTTGCGCATCTGGGTCATTCACAAGCATCCGTGCTTCTGTGCACCTACTTCCAGATGCCGAGTTTGCAGTCCGTGTGACCCTTCCACATGACTCATCAAACTTCTGGGATCAGCTCGAGGATCTCGAACGGGCTGGGTGGCTACGGCTACGGCGGCCACTACCGTCCGCGCCTCCGCCGCAGAGCGCTGTTGCTTTCTCGCCTTGGAGCTCCACATGGAGGTCACAGAGGTCACAAAAGCTCCGCAACACCATGAAGCATCAGAACATAAGCCGTCTGAGGCCATCTGAAGCCATCTGAGGCTGAATCTGAGGGCTATCTGAGGCCACTGCAGGGCAGTACGTTGGCTTCGACTGGGCTGTGTCCCCAGACTGCTTCCCAGCCTCCGCAGGTGTGTGCCTGCCGCGGACCTGCAGGGAAGCACACCGTCACGAAACTTGCAAACAACCCCGCTTAGAGGCTTAGAGCTACGAGTGTGCAGCCTAGCCGGCGGATCATGGACGAGCAGAGGAGAAGCAGCGCCCAGCATTGCCCATCGAGAGGGCGTCAGTACATTCAAACTAAACTTGAAACTACTGAGTAAGTGGCTCTAGGCCATGCTAGCTGCTAGGACTGCTAGGACCTGCTGCAAGCGGTTGACGGGGCTAAGTTCAGACTTCGGCATGAGCAAAGGATGTGTCGCCAATAGTTCAGTCCCAGACTTCGAGCCATACAGGTGCGCAGAATGTGCTTCTTCAGACAAGAAACCAAGCAGAACCTTGAACGGAGTCTGAATTCATTGAGCTGAGCCAGTTGGCCTGTACTTGAAAGTCTTAGGGTCAGCCGCTCAGCCTCATCTTCTGCATTGTTCGGCAAAAGACGATGCAGTCTGACCTCGGAGGCAAGCAATGCAAGCTCTACGACGGACTCTACGACTGCTCTACGACGGCTCTACGACGGCTCTACGACTGCTCTACGACTGCTCTACGACTGCTCTACGACTCTACGGCAGCACTTCTTGCCAGTCTCAGGTTGAGACACGATGTCAAAGAGCGTCATGAAGGGAAACCCAACGAAAAACGCAAAGGCGGCCTTTGTGCATCAACGGTGAGCAGGCAGGAGTGCATTGGAAAGAGTTGGTGCAAGACCCCAATTGCAGGACAGCGCACATGAGCCTCATGAGCCTCATGAGCCTCATGAGCCTCATGAGCCTCATGAGCCTCATGAGCCTCATGAGCCTTTGCGCCCGGTGCAAAACTGACTTTGCAGTGTGACACTTGCATGGGCTGAATTCCTTCTCTCTCTCTCTCTCTCTCTCTCGTTATTCTTCTTCTTCTTCCTCTTCCTCTTCTTCTTCCTCTTCCTCTTCCTCTTCCTCGTCTTCTTCTTCTTCTTCTTCTTCTTCTTCTTCTTCTTCTTCTTCTTCTTCTTATTCTTTCTTCTTCTTCTTCTTCTTCTTCTTCGTCTTCTTCTTCTTCTTCTTCTTCTTCTTCTTCTTCTTCTTCTTCTTCTTCTTCTTCTTCTTCTTCTTCTTCTTCTTCTTCTTCTTCTTCTTCTTCTTCTTCTTCTCTTCTTCTTCTACAGGGCAAAGGGGCGTCACCGCCCGACGCGCACTAGGCGCGCCCAAGCACACATCCAGTCTGTCTTTCTTTCTTTCTCTGTCTCTCTCTTTCTCTCTCGCTCTCTCCGTCTCTCTCGCTCTCTCGCTCTCTCGCTCTCTCGCTCTGTCTAAGCACCTCACCCCCGAAAGGCAAAGGAGCTCCGGCTGCTGGACAAAGTTGGGACTCGGCAGAAGCTGAGCTCTCTTGCACGTACACACTCACAGAGAGAGGGAGAGAGAGAGAGACAGAAAAAATAAAAAAAGAAAGAAAGAAAGAAAGAGAGAGAGAGAGGGGGGGAGAGAGTAAGGGAGAGAGGGAGAGAGAGGGAGAGACAGAGAAATTTAGAGAGTTGGAGAGAATTGGAGAGAATTGGAGAGAATTGGAGAGAGTTGGAGAGAGTTGAGCCGTTTCATCGTCGAAAGCTCTAGGCCGCCAGCCTTGTTGGGACATTCAATGAAGGGTCAGTCTGAGACAGGACAGGCTGCGAAGCGCAGATACATTTGCTGCTGCACAACGTGCCAAGTGCTTCATGGCATCTGAGAAACAAAAAAGTCTACATGCGTGCCTTCCTTGGATTCGCATGGATTCGCAAGTTAGTCGGCTCGCACGCCATGAAATGCTACCGACCGGCCCGCGAATTTTCCAGGTACATATTTGGCTTTTCGTTGATCTTATGTTGCTTGTTTTCTTGGCTGTATTCGGCCTTCGGTACGAAGTTCGAAGCTTCCTCAAGATTTTAAAGGCAATCTGCTACTTTCTCATACGAAATCATCGCTTTCATTGGAAACCTACTAGGACCTATTCGCAATGAAGCGCCTTTCATCTCAAATAGAAAAACCCTTAAATTCCCTGATACTCTTTCCCTCTTTCACTAAAAAACGTTCCTCCAGTTCCATACGGAACTTGTAGCCGGCAAAGATTCAGCGAAATGTGACGTTTTGGGGGGCCTCTGAAACAAGACGTCCAGAATCTTCACGTCGTTGAAGCGAACCCGCCGAAACATGAGGCCGTACGAGTCTGGGGAGCAGACACGCCATCCACCCCTTTTCATCTTAAGTGTTTTGTTGCCTCCACTTCGGCTGGCCCCACCTCTACCCTTCGTACCCCCTTCCCCCCAAGACCGTGCAGCTTTCAACGTTCTTTTCTCCTCCCATTGAGCGCCCTATCGACCTTGCATTTGTCTCCTCCCTTGCTTATCCTTTCCCCCTACCCCAACTCTTATTCAGAGCGTGTAGCTTTCCATCCCCCCCCCCTTCCTTGCTCTGCCCGCAAGACACGCTGCAGCGCTGCGTGCCGCCTCACCAATGCCGTGTGCCCTGTCTCCTTCTCTCCAACGGCAACCCTCGGCTGAGGCCGGTCACGTAGCGTTAAGGAACCACGTCGCATTCCACGACATATTACCCAAAGCTTGTGATTCCAAGGAAAAGGCCTCGGATATCGGGTGGTGCTGCGCTGTTTAATTGAAGCACATTTTGGAAGTCCAACCTTTTTCTCACTTCAGACAGGAAACCATGTTTGGGAGGTTTGTTGGCGGAAACAAACAAAGACTTGTAATCTTCTTCTAGCCGCAGATGAACTCCAATTTCTTCCGTATTGGAACAACCCACAACTTCTTCGCATTCGCAAGGTGTCGAGGGCTTGTGATATCAGTCCTTCACAAGCTAATTAGCACACTTCATTGCCCTTGTTATTGCTAAAGCTTCGGGGAAAGCCGCTTGTGGGAGAAAAATGCTCATATCCGTCGAGGGCATCGCTTCGCAAGATCGATGTTTGACGGCGACTGCGGTTCCCATAACACAGGCTGCTGCTGCTTCACTGTGGAAGTTTCTGGGGTGGGCCCTCCAGGGATACTCGGATACTGTGCGTGATTCTGTGCGGGGTTCTCTGCATGATTCCTTTGGTTGGGCAGAGACCCAGGTGAGGAGCAACGACAGGAGACCCAGGCGTGGAGCATAACTGAGTGGAAACCATCCTCAAAAAATCCGGGTTCCCTTTGGCAAAGCCTGGATGGCCACAGCGACCACCACATGCCCAACCACAGCAATGAGACCTCGGTAGCTGCGGCTTCACAGCTTCACGGAAGCTTCACACAGGAGCCGGGCCTAGCCCCACAATCTGCAGCAGCCAGGAGGCGCCCGTGAGCAGCGAAAACGCCGTGGACTGCGATTGCCAGGGCGCTCACACTCGAGGCGAGGGGCACCGTCGATGAGTCAGATTGGAGCCCCATCAACCACACGTGGGACACTAACATCGTTTTGGTTAGGGGTGGGGGAGGGGCGGGAGCGGGGGGTGTTTTGGGGGGCTGCTTCGGGGTTTCATTGTCTGGGTAGCGTCATCATGTGTGCAAGAATCAGAACACTCTTGTACTCTGGAGCCTTGCCTTCCTTCCCGCTAAAGGAAAGGCGGGGCGAAGGCCCTCTGGGTGTCTTCTCCGCGCCTCCTGTGCAAGGATCTCCAAGACATGCTCGGCCGCCTTGACAAGCAGAGACTCAGCTTTCGGCGTCTGACCGAGCAAACACAGAACACTCAATAAAACTCTGAGGGTCTTCCTCGTTTCGGGGGTGAACGGGGGGGAAGGGGGGGGGAAAGGGGGGCCTCATTGAATGGCAGGGCCTGCAGGCTGACATCCAGGTAGGCATGCCTTGAAGGACTTGACTTGAAAGAGCTCGGCAATGCAAAGTCGCCAGCCGAAAGTAGACGCACTTTGCACATGTTCGCTGTTCTCTTTAGGGTGCCATAAGCTCCAGGCCGCGTCATGAGCCCGAAGCACCTCCGGGCTGGTTTCCAGCATTGTCTCCAGCTCAACAGCGGCACTCGAGCGCACAAGCCCCAAACATCGAATTTTACTGCCTGCGGTATGCCGTCAGGCAGCAGTCGCAGCAACCACCCAGGATGTAACCGACCGGGTTGTACTGGCGAAGATGGACCGACAGCTGTCAACATGATTGAGGCTCGTCGACAAGCTCTCGCCTTGGACTTGGTGGCTGAATCCAGCCAGCCCAAGGTGCAATGGAACGGTGCTGCCTCAACTTGGATGCTTGTCTCAGTGGCCTCACCCCTTGTAGCAGCACGGCTTGCAGGCGCTTAGAGCAGCACGATCATGATTTTCAAGCCACCAGAGATAATGCCTCAGTCACATGTGCAGGTCCTGCAGTTTTTTTGAAGACACGCACTGGATTCCACAGCCTGCTCCGTCTATGTCCAAGTCACTTCCCGGATGGTAGCGCACCGCGACCCAGCAAGCCCTGGCAACACATGCCCACCAGTGGCCACGGCACGATGCGACAGAGTCTGTACAACAGAGTCTGTGCAAGATTTGCTGCATTCATCGCAGCACGCTGTGGCACTTTGGAAAAGCTACGAAGGCTGCACAGGCCTGAAGAGAGCGAAGACGGGCGCAGCACCTTGGCCACCTGAGTGAAGGGCATGGACAGAACACGCACAGTACACCAGTACACTGAATCCATTTCGGCAGGGCAGCTCATGCCGCCAGAGAAGTACCACATCTGACCTGAGACCAAAAGACATGGCTACAAGGTCAAGACAGGTTACTCTGGGGTTGGGCAATCAAAGGATACTCCTACTATCCTACAAGAAGCACAACGGGACTCTCTGTGGATTCTGGGACACTCGACACTCTGTGCAGGCTGCGGGCTTCTCTGCAGGTGGGCCCTCAAGGAATACTCGGAACTCTGTGTGGCTTCGGGGTAAAAGGGGATACTCAGCGGCTACTTCTCTGCTGCTGCTACGGCTTCGGCAAGATGCCCGATTAGGCCTTCCGGGTCTCCGGCTTGTGTACACAGTCACGAACTCGCAGAATGCAGTGATGATTCCTGGCAACTCAGATCCGCAGCGTGTCCAAGACACGGGAGCATACTCCCTCTCAGTTTCTGGACAAGGCCTTGCACCCAAATATTCATCAAGATCGTGAAGAGCAGGCACCTCGGATAGCCAACCGAAGCACGTGACTGCTGGTACATAGCGAAAGCCCCAAAGCCCTGGAACATTGAGGCTCCTGTCTTTTCAACTAAGCCCAGGACATCCACTCTTTCGGCGAGAGCTGGAACTGGCGCTGCCCCGTCCAACTCGCAAAATCCTGCGGCATCCGGCAATCCAGGCTCTAGGCCCGAATTCTCACGCCACATACACAACCTGGTCCACCAGCTCATAGTTCCGAGACCACTTGTAGTTCGAGATGCCTGCTTCGATGAAGCCCAAGGCTTGATGAATGAGAGCTGAGAAAGGCCTGCTGTCACAAGGAGGGCGACCACCTAAGGAGCACGTGCATTTCGTTACTGTGAAACACCCGACGTTCTGCATTTCTGGTCTAAGGATCCGGGCATATAATCCCCAGGCAACTGTCAGACCTCTCTGAAATCTGAGACGCGACATCAGTTTGGTCTCATGGGAAATTCCTGACTCTGGCACCGGCATCCTTGCACAGGAAGCCGCTCAACAACTTGATATTGGGGGGCTGCGAAAGCTAGACAAAGAGAAGTGCGGATGCTGTCAGCGCAGCCCAACCCTGTGCAGCAGAAGATCGCAAACATGTTCCCATACCTGCTCATGCACCCTGGATCGATGATGGGAATGAGCAGCTCATACGATTGCTCTGATTGTCGCCTAGCCGTGGCAGTTGAGATTTACCCGCCACTCAACAAAGCCTGTTGAGTGTCTGCAGCGTGCTCTTGGTGTAGTGAGTCGTCACTCAAACTCTAAACACGCAGCACGAAAGAATCACTGAACCTCACGCCAAAAGCCGAATCCTAAATTAGCGGATAGGGAGCTTTGTGTTTCAGAGCCCAATGAACGATTGAGAAGCCTGCAAGGGGGGGGGGGGGGGGGGGGGGGGGGGGGGGGTCAAAAGTCAAAAGATTGGCAGACTTAAGAGGGGGGGGTGGCCACCCCTCCCCAACCCCGCAGCCCTTTAACTTATTCACTTTCATACCAGTAAGGGTCGGGGTCGCTTGTTGACCCACCTGAACACTAGAGAGAAAGGAAGAAAAGACAACCCTCGCAAGCTCCAAGGAGCTAGCTTTCGTGATTTGAGCTACGCTCCAAGAGTTAGAGCGTCCCTGAACAGCAAAGGATGGGGCGGGGGAGAAAATGTAGATTACAAATTTCACTCCCCCACCGATACGAATGTGTCAATTTTGGGATCCCACGTCTGGGTCCACGTTTTGCAGCTACCTCGTGCAGGGCAAGCCATGCATACCCCTGCTTATTTCCGTTGGACACGGACACTGGCAATTGTAGGAAGACATGTCCTACAATTATGCACCCCCCGCCACTCCTACATTTATTAAGCGCGGGGGTCAGCAAACAACTCACCCGAACCAGGGCCCCCAAAGAAAGTGAAATCGTTGCTCACGAAAAATCGTGGCTTCTCTGCACTGACGGCGAAGGGTTCGATTTGCCTGCGCTGCGCTACGACAGCAACTCCACACTCCCTAACCATTCTTATTTCGTTCATTATCTTTCTGTAGCTGTTTCTTTCTTTACGTTGCTTCATCTTGCTGTCTCTTCTTTCGGAGCTTTAGCTTTGGGTCTGTCAAAGCATGGAAGCAACACACACTCACACAACCACAAGCCATGAGGCTACCCAAGTAGCCCCTCCCCTTGCCCCTCCACAGGTCCCACCAGCGCAAAGCTTAAAGTGTAACATCTCGGGGCCTTCCATGGTCTGTGTGACAAGCTCAAATGCCTCGCGCCATGAATCTAACCGCCATTAAAAACCTCTCCCTCGCCCTCGCCCGACTTCGCCCCAAGCGCTCGGAGTGTGATATGGCCGTCTTTCGCCTTAAGCAGTGCATTCCGCACCTAACAGGACCTAACAACCCCATAACCAGCTCGCCCACCTGAGGGCCCCCGGACGGCACCCGAATCCTAAATGATCAAGAGTATGTGTAGCTTTTGGGCTTACATCTTCGGTCGGTTCCTGATGCCAAAGCAGAGGCGTAAGTAGATGTGGCCCTTGAAATTTATTGGAGAGAGGGAGAGGCGAGCGAGAGCGAATTTGTGCCTTTTCCGGAAGAAACAAAGAACGAAGGAGCTCTGCCATGAAAAAGCCTTGCGATATTTCGCAATTGCGGCTTCACTAGATCAGACTGTGACTCAGATTTCACTGCTCTGCCGGCATCGACCCCAAACAGTGCAAGACCCCCTCAGGAGCATTCCAAGAGCACCCACCGCCAACTCCAATAGCACGCCAAGACCACTCCAAGACTTGGAATGCACGAAACCTAGGCCAGAGCATCGGGGCCACCGGAAACACCGAGAGCACCATCGATTCCCACTGCCCACGTCTCGGGTGCGCGCGCGGAGCTTCTAAGCCGCTGAAAAATTTCGTGTCAGCCCAAACATGAGAGCCCCGCAGTGCAAGGACTACTTGAGAGCTACTGGCGAAGTTGACGACGAAATGCCGCACCAGATGGGCTGCCACATCGGGCATGGTATGTCCACTTGCTTGACTCTGACACAGCTCGCCTCGGCAAGCTACGATGAGTGGTGGAGCCAGGAATAGGCTGGGAGTGTGCAAGATGCACTTGCAGGACCTGCCAAGCAGCCAAGCATGCTTGGACAAGGCTCGAGGAACGCAGCTGTAGATATGCAATGTATAGCAACACAAGCAAGCTACATGTGTACTGACTCAGCTTGCAACCATTGGATCAGCTTCACTGCCTCACACGTTCGGTCAAACTTGCAGCAGCGAGAAGGCACACAGACAGACAGACAGACAGACAGACAGACAGACACACACACACACACACACACACAGAGTGCGCTCTCTCCGCCACCCCACCATAGCTCACCATTCAACAGTCGGCAACCAAGGCAAAACTTGCCCGGGGCATGTTGCTTTCATGTTGAGGATTTGGGCTTGGAGAGGGGGGAGGGATGGTGGCGGATGCTTGTCATTGCTTGGTCAGCACACACGCTCCTTATACGCGACGACGGCCGTGCAGAACTGCCAAAGCATGAGTGTGCTGTTGTTCGCAGACTTGTTGGTCTGTGTGGCGCACACTTTCTCCCCGTGGTGGCCAATCCTGCCACCATAGAGAAACATCCCGCTGGATCGCACGCGTTTCTTGCGTCTACTCACTGTTCTCTTGGCTGCCGACATTTTTCGCGATAATATAGTTGACTAAGAAGCCGGAAATTTATTCATCACGCTTGCGCAAAGCCCTCGTCCCAGTTTCTAACCAAGCCCTTGTCAGTTCTGCAGCGTGCAACAACAAACACCATTTGCAGCGAGCTCCAGCTCATGACACTCGTCCAGACATCACACGTGCCAGGTGCCAGAACACGTACCATTGCCATGGGGCATGCTGTGTACACGCAACCGGGAAGCACTGCCAGTGTCATGCTCTGATATCCGGAATTGCAAGATTGGCGATAGAAATCCGATTAAGGAGTGCTATTTTGGTTTTCTGATGCTTTGCTGTTAAGTATTCGGGCTGTCGCGCTTCAGGGCTTCTGAGCATGTGTTTCCGAGGGTTGCAGGATAACTCGCTGAAATTGCGGCCAGTCTCCCCCCCCCCCCCTCCCCTCCCTGTGCCACCCCTGGATCGCTTGGAGGAGCCGAAGACCGATGCGTGACCCTGACAAAGGTTTTTGGAATTTCTCGGGCCAGGCGGCGCAAGCGTTTACAATAAATATTCAACCTGACGAGATTCGCCTGTGCAGCCTCCAAACATAACAGATGACTGTATGAGTTTCCTGACATCCAAGTTAGAGCTCCGCCTGCCATGCTTACAGCGGGTGACACGCTGAGATGGACTGGGCAGCCAGCCGTCTCCATCCAAGCGCTCATCTGGCAGGCTAAACAAAGGAAGAATCCCCTTGGCAGGTTCGGGAACTGCACGGCAGTGTTGGCACTATGACACTATGCTGCTGCCTTCAAGTACCCACTGAGCACAAGGCCCAATCAGGAGGAGGCCGCAACCTGCAGCGAAATCCTGCGGTAAACTTTCAGAAACTTTCGGCACTGACAGGCGCACGTGAAGTGTTACTTAGTTGTCCACGCCAGCTCCCTCGTTTGGAGACTTTCAGTCAGTTTGGCTCAAGAGGTGTCCTGGTTGCTCTGCGAGCTGGAGCCTCCACATGTATCAGTCCTGCATCGTCAGGGCATGTCAGCTCAGATCTGGGCAAGGGCCACATGGACCACACAACCCACTGGACTCGGAAAGGTTGCAGTCCTGGCAGCATCCGGATTGGCGCACCTTGGGCGACAAATGCGACAACTGCGGCGGAATTGAAGCACTCTGACTGCTATGCCGCTGCAGATTGTTGCAGTGTAAGAGTCTGGCCAGAACAGATAAGCGGAAGTCGTCCCACACACGCCCTGGCCATGATGTGGTGTGCCTACTGCGCAGGGGGCACCTTTCAAGGCATGGCTAACAATAGCCACTTCGTCATGAAGAAACAGTTGGTAGAGCCACTCTGCGCACATTGCAGGAAAACTGGCCGGCTTCACAATGACCACGAGGACCCCTGTCCTCGGCAACTGTGCATTATTCATATGTCGCCGTATGCAGCCATACAGCCATAACACAGGGCGCCCTTTTTCATGAGGCAAAATTTTTGTGCTGGTCCGATTCCCTCGCCATCCTTGTAACGCGCCGACAACCCGGTGGCCCTCGTAGCATTAGCAGCTCACTTCTCCACAGGCTGGCCCATGACAAGGCCCTGCTCCCGTGATGGGAGGCACGCGGATTCTCGCTCACTGCGGTCGTGACCAGGGCGCCAGACGAACGAGACTCGGCTTCAAGTGGACTCTGCCTCGGCTGGCACAAAACCTCGTAATGATTGTAGTGCAGACAGACCATGCACCGGCTGCAACATGATAACATACTGCCGGGCACAATGTGGAACTTCCAAGCAGCGTCTTTCTCCTCAGATTGTCCAGGGAATCAGGGGCAGCACTGCATGCAACCCTATTCAGCACCAATGGATGTATTGCATAGCTGGCACCTTGCTCGAGGTCGAAGGCAAGGTCCAAGGGAATAATGAAATGGCGGAAGCAGAAGCTAACAGTCAGCAACAACCCCTTAACCAAACCATTTCTAAATTGCAAGAACGTGTGTTTCTGTCATTCCCCACACAAAAAGGTGGGGGGGGGGGGGTATTTTGCCGGCCCAACGTGCATTTGGAAGTTTTTTTCGCGAAGGTTCGGAAAGATGTCTCGGAACCCGGAGCCGGCCTCGGAACCCCGGAACCCCGAACCTGTCCCGGAACTAAATTTGACGGGGAGCAGCACTCTGAGCCCTAAACACCTCTGGCCGGGCCGGGCCGAGGCAGGCGACTCGTAGCGCGTAAAATTTAGAACGATGATGGGAAGCGGCAAGGCAACTCCCAAAAGCAACCCTCGCAATGGCAGACAAGGCTCCGTGTCTACTGGGAACAAGTTGGGAAATGGCTCGAAGAAGAACGTCAGAAAGGGCAAGCCATCCTCGGCATGAGGCCATGAAATCACCAACAAGCCGAACACGCACGCCAGCAGTGAGCTGCTGCAGCCTGGGAACTGAGCGTGGCAGGTGCAGATCCTTGGCGACCTGAATACGGCACAAGACGCAAGCCAAACATGGCGAAACATGGCAAAAAACTATGCAGTCTTCGGATCTGCCGCCGATGGGCCCATGAGCCATCCTCCAATCGGATGCAAGCTTCCAGGTAGTAGTTCCCGAGGAAGAAAGCAGTCACGGCCAGAAGAAAGCAGAGCCGCGCTGGGATGATGTAGCCTCAGAGGTCGCATTTCTACTCGCAGCTCTCTGCGTTTGGTTCATTGCTTCTTTCCTTCTCTTTCCTCTTGTGCATGTTGTTTCGTCACCTTTCTGACCCCCTCTGTCCCTCGAAAGGGGCTGTCCAGCCACACAGCAGGTTTGGACATCCAAGTGCCGTCCTAATGGTCCCTTTTCAGCCTTTTTCACCAGAGGGCCTCATGGTTCCTGGCAGACTTCGTAAAGGCCATCCCATCGCCTTGGCCAGCCTCTGTTATTGTGCCCGCGTGGCGTCCAGATGTTGGCCCCCTTCTGTGGACTGGGCTCTTTTACATGTAGTAGTTCGCCGAGTCACCGATGAGCCCGGGCGAGAACAAGCTCCTGACGTAGTTTCTGAAGAAGTGTGATCGGGGAGCATACATGTTTGGGTCCACACTTGAGAATTACGTGCAAGCGCAGCAACATAAAGTCAAGAACTTCCAAACCTTCCGTTGGCTCCTAGCTGGGCCACTCTCTTTTTTAGTCCCCACAAGCCCCTGTAAAACTGGAGATGCCAGCAAATCTCAGCGGACAACCTATGGTGTTTCAGGCCGATTTCATCTCGTGGTTGAAGCGCATGCTTCCGCAGAGTGAGGTTGACGCTGCCTTCTATCCCCTATAGCCTACAACCTTATTTAACGCATGCAAGTGACAGTTACGTGCTCAGTTGTTCTTACGGTGCAAACGAAGCTCCACTTCTTGCCTTCCTCGTGCAGGACGAAATCCTCGGACCCGATATGCACACTCGTTGTCGGCTTGAAAGGAAAAGGCAAGGTCCGAGCACTAGCACATGAAAGGTTGAAGTGTGTAGCGGGCTTATTTGCTCTACTCTTTCATCGGGGCCTAGGACGATAGGACAAACCCGTCCATTTCCGTCAATACAGCACTGGTGAAAGCTCAAACCCTAGACCACACACGTGTTTTGGATGGCTTTTGTTCGTTGAAGACAGTAGTGCAGTCGCCATCTTTCTTCTACTTAGTCGAAGACTTGACCATGTGTTCTCCTGCAGAGATGCTTGATTCATGGCGGTTTGCAGCCTGTGGTCGCTCTGGGGAAGCAACTTGTGCAGCAACACGGACTTTTTTCAGGGAGCACGCCGCACAAACGCAAGACCCAAATCACTCACCAGCATGCCTGCGAGCGAGGCTCCTGTTGCAGAGAGATCCTCTCTCGCTTTTTTGAAGGGCAGCCCTCAAGCATCTCCTGGGCACTCGAAGAATTCTTGTCGCTACTGGATCGCGAGATACGATGCGTACAACAACTTAAAGCCCCAGCAGACGCAAGCAAAGCCACAAGGATGGCTTTGGTTTGGCTAGGCAGCATCGTCATCCTGCACGGAACAATGAAGCCTAATGAAGCACTGCATTGACAAGTTCGTCACAAAAATTCGGCAAGGTCGCTCTACTCTCTCTCTCTCTCTCTCTCCATACCGATGCACGCTATACCACTCCCCAAGCCGCGGTCGTGAGCTCATCAATGTTCAAGATGAACGCAAGCGCTACGCAATTGATGATCATGTCCTCCATGCAGATGCGCCGTGACGATCCAGTGGCACTTCTAGATTGGTCACACTCGTGGTGCACATCCCTCGACGGCACACCACAAGAATCCCCGCCACTGCAAACCCACTCTTGGCAACCCCTCTCCCGGGAGTCCGCCTTGGATTGTCTCAAATCTTCCTACAGTGAAACAAGAACTTCCTCAGCTGCAGCTCCTCTATTTCAGAAGTCTCCATGAGGAAAACGATCCCGATGTCCACTGTCAGTATCCAGATGTACCTCGTGTGACCAGGGCCCTATGTGCAAGTCAGACATGTGCCTGACGAAAACGGTCTAAATTGTCGGGAGATGTTTGCGCTGCTGCAAGCCCTCAGCGACTAAAGAAGATGCTGGCAGATTCTGTAGGATCAATTGAGTGGGACTGGTGACTGCGACCCATGTCTCAGACAAGAAGCAGCTTTGGACACAGGATTACGAAGAAGTTAATCATCTTCCTGGCGATTCACATGTTGAAGTTCCCGAGTTCACCTGGTCCCCCACCTACTACTCCTGACTTGGACGATGTGTCCACTGCTGCCAGTGCTACTTCCAATGTCCCCCTGGCAGTGCTGATACTGACAAGCATCCAGTGAAGTGGAACACCTCCAACTCCTTGGCGTCGTGCAGGCTCAGAGGCACAACTGTTGCAAGAGGTTGCAAGCCTTCATGTGCTCGCCTTGTCAAGCAATGCCTGCAGAGACCTGCTTTGGCGGGCTAGGGCAAGCGTCGGAAGCGCACAAAGTTCATCCGCCAGTCATCAACGACATCCTCGCTGCCTTGCCTTCGAAGCTCCTGGCTTAAGCACAAGCCAGGCTACATAACTTGCATCACATATCATAACATCCGCCGAGGCCTCGGGCCGAAGGTGTATAGGTAGTCAGAACAGGCACCACCCTCCAAATCCTCCCAGCCCTTTTTTGGACCCCTTTTTTTGCCTCAAATGGGTACCCCCCCTAGGTGAGCAGGGTCCGCAAGCGGATGGTTCGCCAGGACCAGAGGCAGTTGCAGCCCTTCCCAGCAGGGCCCCCCCCCCGCCGCCCACCTTCAACCCCCCCCCCCCCCCACCCCCCCCCCCCCCCCCCCCCCACCCCCCCCCCCCCCCCCCCCCCCCCCCCCCCCCCTACCCCCCCCCCCCCCCCTACCCCCCCCCCTTACCCCCCCCCTACCCCCCCCCCCCACCCTTCCCGAGCGGCTGGGCTCACATGAGCGGCTGGGCTCGAGGTGCTAATGGACGCAACAAGCGGGGCTTGATGTTGTAGGTGTCGCTATAGCACACCCAATGGTTCATAACCTAGGGGTGTCGCTTTTCAAGTGTTCCCATCGTTTTACAGGGTTTTGGGCATTCGTGTCCACCCCTTGCTTAATTGAATGGCTGGGGGTTTTGGCGCTTGCTCACATAAGGTGTTTGTGAAAGGCGGAGTTTCCTGCTCCGACGCGCTGGCTTGAGGGCCGGAGGCTCAACTGGTGTGAGCACGGCCGCAAATCCGCATTTGTATAGGTTGTCAGAACAGGCACCCCCCTCCAAATCCTCCCCCACACCCAAAAGCCCTTTTTCGGACCCCTTTTTTTGGCCTCAAATGGGTACCACCCCTGGGAAACCGGGGTCCGCAAGCGGACGGTTCGCCAGGACCAGAGGCAGTCCACCCCACCCCACCCCCTCATCACCCCCCCCTCCCCCACCCCCTCCCCCCACCCCACCTCCCCCCTCCCCCCCACCCTGCCGAAGAGTCGCCTTAAACCTTAAGGGGCCTGGCTCAACCCTACGATCACTCCAAGCCGAACCCTAAACCCAAAAAAACCCTCAACCCCAAAGCGTGAACCTTGAGCCCTAAAAACCCTCAACCCTCAACCCTCAACCCAACCCTTATTGCTTGGGGTCCAGCGACTTGGGCGCTGCGGAATCACCATGCTCACGCGGATGCGCTGGGCCGGGCCGAGGCGGGTCGCGTAGCGTTAAAATTACTTTGTACGTTACATGACACATGATCACGGAGTTTTCGTGCGAGCTTCTCCTCCCAGTCTGTCTCCAGTATCCACGGCTCTGAAGCTGTGGGCACTCCGATGAGGAGCGCCATGATGTCCTGAGCTAGAAACCATCGCAGAGGTGCATTGTTCCTTGGCTGCCATTCCATGCCACTGCACGCCACCGCAATCACGCAGGCATGTGGGAAGTTAGTGCCCAGTCAGCTTGACCACCACAGGTTTGCCCATCTTTTCGAGCATGCACCGCATGTCCGTACAGAGCTGAACCGCAGCAGCTGGCTCTCAAACTTTGTCTCACGAGGAGCATTCGGTGGTGAACAACGTCAGAAACGCAAAGTGCCAATTGTAATACTCGGCCCCGACACAAAGATGGAGCCCGCGCTTCTCCTGTGAAAATCACGGCATCTTGTGGCCAGGCCAGAGAGACTCAGCGCTTAAAACGGCCTGAGCTTGCCTGAGCTCTGATTCTCTTAAACTTGCTGCGGCCATCAGCTACTTTTGCAGGGAACGGCTCGCTCAAATTCCGAGACAGGCATCACAAGTTGGCTCGCAGGACCCGTCTCCTGCATGCTGCACGACGGGATCGCGACATAAGATAAAGGCCAAGGAAAAGCAAACCAATTGCAAGCAAGATTTCTGACTTGCACCAGTAGATCCTCGATGTTTCGTTTTCTGGTCACCGTCAGAACCGGTGTGCCCACGAATCTTGCGGCTTCTTGCGGATGAGATCCTGGCAGCGCTTCTAGCGCTTCTGTAAAGGTCACCACATTCAGCCCAGCAACCAATGATTCGTATCCCCACACCTTCATACCAGGATCGCGCACCGCGCCCAACATACCGATATCGGCCGGCGGAGTATCACACATCATTGCCTCCACGGACGAGAGCAATGCAGAAAGCATACGAAGTACGTGGATGAAGTTGGGAGCGACTTGCATATGTAGCTTGATGACACCAAGCCTTGAACTCTTCGAAATCAAGGTCGCCGTCCCCATCCACGTCGTTCGTCTTCAGCACCTGCAAGTAAAGTACTTGCGCGTTCCATCTAGGCTCGTCCCTCGCACTCTGATGGGATGCCTCCTCGATTGCCGGAAACAGCTTCATGTCAATGCCAAGCTCCTCAGAATTGAGCGCCCTTTGAAGCTCTTGGCGATTTATCTTTCCATCGCCATTGGAATCAAAGATGCGGAAGACGGCCTGAGCTCTAGAGCCATAGCACAAGCTCGTCAGGACTCCCGGATACAGCATGCCCAAGCCATCTCATTGGCCAAGGTACCAGGCAACTGGAGTCGGTTGTGTAGTGCTTCCTGTCCTGTTCCAAGGCGACAAATACTAAATAGCGTTCAGATGCATTCAGGCACGACGCATAGATTTGCACTTGCGTTCCCCAATTCTCCCTAAGGCTCGGTCCAGCATGGCGGCAATGAACTCATGGTACGATATGCTGTCGCTCCCGTCTGCATCCAAGATTTCCATCAACCTACCGACAGCAGAACAGGGGTCAACTGCAAAAGACCGACTGGGACGCCAACAAACCGCCTGCTCACATCTGGTGGAATGTGGCGTCGGGCCCTGTAGCTGCCAGTTGTCATCCTCGACAGGGGCATGTGATGTGCTTGTGAACCTGGGCTGCGCTAAGCTTTATCAATGTCAGCAACTAAGTGTGAAAGCGAGGGTCAACTCTTGCATGGCGGACTTGAGCTCCGACAAGCAAACCTCACGGCAAGTGTGCCCCGCAAAAAGGCACGCAACCGCTGTGTGGATGTATGGATGTGTGGACAAGTGCTCTTGGTCCATCCCTTGCGATGCGACAATCTCTGGCCCACTGCAAGGCGCCAGCCCTGCCAATGGTGGATTCTTGAAACGCGACCCCAAGATGATGATGGATGTTGTCAGGCGGCCGTGCCGCTGTTGTCGAGGTCCAGCTTCTGGAACATCTCCTCACGTGAGCACATGTGACAGGTTTCAACAGGTCAAGGCGCCGTCCTTCATCCTCAAGACCTCGGGACCGCTCAAATGGCTTGCGGCCATGTGGATGGCCAACTTTTTGAGCTTGTTCGCTCGGCAGTAGCGGTGCCTCGGCTCTGCCACTTTGCTTTTGGGGGCTTCGGGGTGCTGAGGCCCCAGGCCCCAGTCTCGAGATGACACGCGCATGCAGCATCTTCTCGACACATGCTGAGGACTCTGATCCAGGAGCAGACCAGAGCTCCTTGCTTCAATTGCTTCAAGGGGCATGTTCTCCAGATGCTGCGCGGACATCTCCTACAAAGATCTGGCTGCGCATGTCTGCAGAATCACGGGCACAGTCTCAGCACACCCTTGGCCCCACCTCTCCAGAGGCTGCATCGTCGTTTCTGAAGAAGTCGTCAGACATGCAGTCGGATGCCGTCAATCTCGTTTCCTCTGGCGCCAGCATCCTGAGAGACTCCGGGACTCGAGAACATACGATAGACACAACAATCATGCAACACACTATATATATATATATGTATATATCAATATCTACAAAACAACCATACATGGAACTACATGGAACTAGAGGGTCTGTTTATGGGTGAGAGAGCTCTGGGCATGGCACTTCTTCATGAGCCTCCGTGCAGTGGAATCCAGCCGCTCTGACGGCAAAATCGCCTTGTCACCCTCCAGCGCCGGGGGCTCCCCAAAGAAGATGGCGCACAGGATCGCGCCACCTCGAGGTCTCCAGGGTTTTGGGAGCGCCTAGAGGCCCAGCGGGGGCCTCGAGGTCTCCCGACGCTCTTAGCAGATCAGGATAGTGGCTCCAACGACTGGCTGACGATCCTCTGTGCTAAGACTCAAGCTAAGCCTGTTAAGAGGCCTCTAGGGAGGGGACTGAGATTTTGCCACCTGCTGCTAGCGCAGCTCGGAAAAGACCAACACGAGTAGCCCCACTTCAGAACTTCAGAATTGTCAGACAGGCAGCACCAACGCACGGAGGAAAGCGTTGGGGTTCTGAGGGGATCTGCATGTGAGCTCAACTTGACACTGTAAAAGGCCGAGGTGCAAGAATACACGTCGCAGGCTTGCGTGTATGGTCTCCGCAACACCATTTCCGGTGCACTGAAGCCAGTACCCTTGTCAATAGAGGTTTCGATCTTGACGCCCTCGTGAAAGGTCCGAAGGTAGCCAAAATCTGTTATGAGGACGTGCCACTTGCTGACTGCGCGCTCCTTTGAGTGCAAGCGAATTGTATCAGGACCCAAAGTCCGATGGCAAATGTGCTTCTTGTGCATATAGTCCACTCCCTTCAGGATCTGGAAAAGTGAGGTCGAGGCAACCTCAGCTCCGCTGATGTGGGAAGCAGATATGGAAGCAGCTGTGCTACGGCTAAGGGGCCTGGGCCACCAAGGCGGCAACATGGAATAAGAATGAAGAAGTCATGGGCGCCACTTTTATTGTTTCGGCCCAGCGGCGTCTTTCAAGTGGTGCGGGTACTTGAGGCAATGCGCCTCGACGGCCTGCACGCTCTACAACAAATGCCTCCGCTCTAACAGTGACGAACAGTCAATTTACAGTAGCGCGTGGCAGCACGGTTACGACACCCCGTCCTCTAGCAATGGGCCGCCGGAACAAAGCACAAAGACAAGGTAGTAGGTCGCTTCGTCAGCACAGACCTCACTGTGACAAACCCGGCAAACTCTCGCATGGTCCGAGGCACGGTCCTCCCGCAAGGCCGCCAGGTTGGGATGGCCCAGGCTCCTCCAAAAGCCCCCCCCCCCCCCCAAAAAAAGTGGTTTTTTTTGCAGCACGTGCAGGATCAAGCTCGCCAAAAAGACGCTTCGCATTCGCATTCCTCAGGATGGCCACGTGCTTCTCCAACTCATCCTTGAAGGCAGGCGTGAGGCTAAGTTCACACACGAGCTACCAGCTACCACGCTCCCAAGGAAGAAGCTTAGCTTGTGCACCTCAATAAAGGTTAGGTCATAATCCGGGGCAGTTGGGGCCTTGACGTCAACTGAAGATGTCGTGCTCTTGAGTGGCAGTGTAAATGGTTGGGCGTGTGTGGACAGTATCTGTGAGATTCCCATGCTTCCCTCACCTCTCTAACCTATCCCACCACTGCAAGCACTAGTTACTCACGACATCCCACTCTTGCTACCACATCTACCACGACCCAAGGCAGCAGCATCATTCAGAGTACGGGCAAAGTGCTTTCCTTTCACTTTACTGGGGTGCCGCGTTGTACTTCTTTGCACATTTTTGCGGTAGTTGAAGCGGGGAGCCGTCAATCTTCCAGCCCTGCAAGCCCCCAAGCATCTGAGTTCAGGTGCGAGGAGGAGGTATGAGTCCTTTGAGCACTGTCCCGGGCCCCAAAGAAGCGTCGTGCAAGGCTCAGGCAAGCTCAGTGTTAGCCTTGTGGGCCTCTTGCGGCCGAGGGGCTTTAGTCTTCAACCGTTTGCTGATTGGCCTGGTTTGGGGCGGAGAGCTGGGGAGCAGAAAGGCGAGGGGTTCGCGCTGGGAGTATGCACATACTATGCACGTTGAAGGCCAAGCGGCTGCACAGCGCACGCGTCGCCTTTCACGCGGTGGCGGGCAACGAGGAAGCGCCCGAAGTCGCCGAGCTCCGCACCTGACGCATGTGGAACACATGCCGGAACACATGCCTGAACACATGCAAAGAGGCGCTGCAGAGGCTGAACTTCGAAAGGCTCAGCGTGACTCAAAGCTCGGATCTTGCCGGGCGCTGCGCTGAGTTCATCATCCGGTTCGTAGAACTGCAAGAAGTCCTCGCTGCCTGGACAGCACTTGCCCAAGGTGTTGCCCTCGCCCCGCACCGCCTTTGATGTTCACTCAGTTCACTCGCCTCAGGCTCAGACCAAGGTGCTTCTCGACGAAGTACCCTCCAGACAGTGAGTGGATCTTGTGCTCCGTGCGCGATACTCGGTACGAGTACCTGCCTCACCGGGTCCCATCTCCGTCTTCGCTCAAGTGTAGCATTCATGTAACATAACGGAGACAGAGAGCGGAGCATGACATGCATGACAGAGCCCTTGGCAGTCGGGCCCAGGCCTCTAACAGACGCGCCGCATCCCATGGCATCAGAGTGATCCCAGGACGGCTTCAACAAGCTTTTTTGCTTACTTTCTTGTTTACTTTTGGGTTGGCACTGCATGAAACAAGCGATTGCAAGCAGCGCTGCTTGGAGGATAAATGCAGCCAGAGCCAGTTTTTCAACTACGCGTGCGCTCTTGGCCCTCAAGCTGCAGCACACCTCCAGAATTGCTGCAAACACCCCACGCTGAGTCCATCAGGCAAGACCAGTTCTGCTCAGCCAAGCGTGACATCCATTGCAGCTTGGCTTCGGGTGTTCTGCCGCGTCAATCGGCAGGTCGTGTCAGGTGGTGTTGTGCTGTCTCGCTTGCAACGCTTGCACAGAGAACTGGTTCGGCATGACACATGGGAAAAGATTTACCATGCGAAAGCTGTAGTGCGAAGCAGCAAAAAAGACGGTGAAAGTCAACTCAGCCCAGCAAGTACCCTGTGCAAGGAGGTCTCCCAGGAGCCAGCCAGGTCTGGCCAAAGACCCAGCACGAAAATGAAGCAGCAAATCATTCGAAGATAGTAGCCTCAGCTTTGCGTCTGATAGCGGGGCATATACACGCGCGCCTGGCTGAGCACGCTGCATGATCTGCATGCACAGTCTGAAAGCACCCTAAACCTGACTAATCTTCCAAGCTCAGGCGAAAGGCTCTCAAGACCATATTCTCCAGGATCCACCATCTCCTCTACGGTGCACTTAAACCAGAACGCGTCTCAATAAGTGCCACAATAGTACAGAAAAGGAAAATGCAGGAAGAGGAATTGTGCAGATTGGGCAAAAGCGCAAGAGCGCGCACCCCCCAGCCCACCTCGATGTCATCCGTCCTGTCCTGTGAGAGTGAGTGTGCGTGAAAGTGAGAGTGAGAGTGGGAGCGAGAGTGAGAGCGAGAGCGAGAGCGAGAGTGAGAGTGAGAGTGAGAGTGAGAGGGAGGCACACCCGCGTAACCATGCGTTAGCTATGACGGCTACCATCTACAAGCCTTCGGGAAAACGCTGAATCATAGGGAAGTATACTCTGAAGTATACTGGGACCGCTTGTCCTTTGCAAACGAGGGTCTGGGAAGAGCGCCTTCAGCGAGTCGCGGACAAAGACCCGGGTAGTCCAAAGTTTCCAGTCGTACAAGCGCTCCTCAGAAATCTCTTCTGTGACTGAACTCCCTTCTCTCGAAACCCATCTCCCGAAACCCATCTCCCGAAACCCCTTCACATGCCCCACTTTTTTCACTTCTTCACCAGGCAGAGACATGACACAAAACTTTAGGGCAATAGGGCAACAATGGCAGAAGATGCTGTTCAACCTCTGGTATCTCGAGTGAGGGAGCAGATAGCAAGAGCAAAGCAGGAGGCCACATGCGGCCTCGTGTGGGGTGTGAGAGAGTTCGTAGCGTACTTTTTGGAGAGCACATGCGACTTACAGTGCATCTGGTTAGAACCCACGAGCCCCATCTGGCTGAACTGCCAATCTTTGCGTCGGCCGGAGGCGTGTTGCAACTCAAGATGCTCACGAATCACCGCATGGCTGGAATGCATGCTAACAGCGCACTCATGGTGCCTCAAGGCCTATGGCGCCACTGATTGAGGTGACTCCGTGCACTCAAGTACATGTCACGGTTCAAACTTGCATGAGGCACGTGAGCTCCGGCAATGAGAACTCAGGTTCTTCTGTTCGATTCATGCTTGAGTGCCTTGGGCTGGAATGCCCCTCCAAACTGCGCCCGGGACGAGTTACGGGCTTACGGCTTGCCACTTTCGTCCGAGACACGGGTGTGTAAGCCGTCCCACCGGGTCCGATGCAATTCGTGCCCTCGGGGCAGTCTCCAGAGTGCGCGCCTCGAGATCCGAATCATCCACAGCGTAGCCATAGGAGAGCCAGCTTCTTCTTTGAGCTTGGACTCTAGGGTGCTTTGATGTGCTTTGGGGCTTTCAGGTTTTGCTTTGGCTTACGGTTTGTTGCCACCCATCCAGCGCTCCACGGCGAGGGTTTTTGGGGTTCAGGGCTTTAGGAAACTTTAGGGCTTCAGGGCTTTCAGGGCTTTCAGGGGTTGAAACAGGGCATTCGTCCTATCGGCTCTCTCACCCTACGACTGTTTCCGGTCTTGTAGTCCAGATTAGTCCAGGTTCCGAAGTCGCAAAGGTGCATCTGCCCTCCAAACTTGTCCTTTGTTCAGAGATGGGAGATGGAAGACCAAACACCAAAAGACACTGATTGGATGCGCGGTAGACTGCGGTAGCATACCCAGTACGGGCACTGGGCACAGGACTCTCGAAGGTACTCTAAGGCTACCGGGCACCGTGCGCGCAATGTCCACACAACAATGCCACCCAAGTCCTGCAATATGGCATCAGCCCCCCTGCATTACAGCAACCGCTTATGAGCGTGCAAGAAGCAAGGCCAGCAACGCTGTGCAATATTGAACTGCGGTTGAGACTCCAGTGTTCGCAGCTCTTTCGTCAGCATGTAAAGGAGAAATCCTTGAAGGAGGACGTTCGTAAAAAGGAACATCATACCTCAGCCACGGGGCAACCAAGGGATCCGGAACTCGCCTCTTCTTGCAAACGTTTGTACGAAGGTAGACTTAACTTGTGAACATGTGCTAGAAGCGCAAAAAGCCGAATGCAACCCTGAACCCTGAGGCACCCAGGTGAAGCACCAGGTTGCTGTGGCAAGCCAGGCTGGTGTACTCCAAGCTCCACCCAGCGGTGCGAGCGATCTGTGGCAAAGCCAACGCAGCTCCATAGACGGAATCATTCCTGTCACATGCCCGCTCAAAGTACGGGGCGGGCATTTGTGACTTGTCAAAGGTTTTGTTTGTTGATCGTAACTGCATTGTAGCCCAGAAGTTCAGGGCGCAAGGCATCGGTCCACTCAGCTCTGACCTTCAATGGCCCTGTGGTCCCATGTACAGGCGCATGCTCTGCGTCGGCCAAATGTGTTCTTCAAAGGATGTGCAGGCTGCTCAAGGCGTGTGCGGCCTTTCTGCCTTCCGCGGGCGCTGAGGCAAGGAAGGGTCGGAGGCGGAGGGCGTAGGGTCTGTCGGCCTATCAAAAAGTTTACGGGCTTCAAGGCTGAAACTCGTTGGCAGCTGAGGTGCTCCACGGTAATGAGCAACCTCAGATGGCGGCCATCCCTTTCACATGTTGAACGGGTTGCCAACTAGCCAACCCTCCTACCGGCCGAAGCCCACCCAACCTGAAAGCCGCTAGGTGACCCTAGAGCCAAGCAATCGAAGCAAACGTCCAAGCTGCTTAGCTTTCTCGTTGAGTGTCCGAAGTGCCCTCCCGGCAAGGACCTGCACCTCATGGCCCGGGCACTACATGTCCGAGCAAGCGCACGTTAACAGCGTCAGCTGCAACACACGTTAACATACGTATGCAGCACTGGCGCTCACTTTGGGCTTCACTTCGGGCCTACCTTTAGGGCCCAAGCCCGCTTCTCTTCCGTGGACAGCTTCTTCCATTCCTCGGCAGCAGGCTTGCTAAACCGATCACTCTGAGACCGGGCGCACATTTCATCCGCCCTCACCAGTCTAACTCCTTTTCTTCGGTGGCCCCTTCAGCGCCCTTTTCCGTGGCCCCGGAGCCCCATGTACCTGGGAAGCTGCTCTTCGCAAATGGGGGCGCCAAGGAGCTGTCTTGACCGACTCAGAAGCCTTGACGATGGCGGGCTGCAGAGAGGCGCTGAGCGTATCTTGCAAGCCCCGGGAGCGCTCCGAGTGCTCGGAGTGCCCGGAAGAGGAGCCTGACACACTGGGGGGGGGGGGGGGGGGGGGGGGGGGAGCGGGTTTATTTTCTAGGGTTTAAGGGAAGTCGTTGAAGCCCTTCCCCGGTCGTATGTGGGCATCCCAAGGTCTTGCAGATTCTTGCATCTGAGACTCCACGATCCTCCAAGTCAGCCTTGCTCTCCTGCTCACGCACGTCCCGTGTCCCACGTCCAACAACGAGGGGAAGACTGCCAACTGAAGAAAGGATCTCCCAACTTAACATGAAGAAGAAAAGCCTTCAGCAATTGCGGCTTGGGGCCGAACACGGCAATAAGGAGGTGCCTTTCAACGTCAAGCCTCCAATGGCCTAAAAGGTTTAATAGTCCAGCTGGTCAGCGAACTGTAGGAAAGAAACAGATGCTTGCACAGATTGCATGGGTGGTTGCCTCCTCTTCGCTGTCATCGGAAGGGACCCGCTTGTAACCGATCTTCCTGGCTGAGGAGATGCGAGGCTCGGAATAGGATCACTCTCAGCTGACCTAGCGACACCAAGTGCGCAGCCGAACCAGCACGTCCGCCACACATTTGAAGACATGTGTGCAATTTGCAGCACAGTTTAAGTGGGTCGGATTCGCCACGAACAGGTTCTGCTACCAATATCTACAGCAAGTTTGCGGAATTATGCTGCACGCGAAAGGACCACGGTATTGAAGCTGGGAAGTGAGAAAGCCGTAAGCAGTAATGCGTCTATGTCCAAGAGCTTCTGAACTTGCACTGCCTGAAGCAGGAATTGGCCTACAAGCATTTGGATCGGAAGACTAGGCGAACGAACAAGGTACATGAATGACTGGAACGTTGAACTGCCAACACACCCAAGTCACAGCTCTACTTAGTACAATCACGCCAGCTCCTGCCAGCTCAACTGCATGAGACATGCTCAACTGCAGCCCTGGGTCTCGTCCGACATTCAATTTGCCGACGGCCGCTCAAGGTGGAAAACAACATTCCTACACATTTGCAGTGTCCCCAGTAACGGGATGGCGCCACCCACGCGCCTGACACCCCCTATGGCACTGACATGTCTCGTCATCGATGCGCTGAAAATCTTGCCTGTGCGACTACGTAGCTACGTTGATTGTCATGCATACCTGTCCTGCTCGCCAAGCTACTGAGACATATCGCATGTCCAGATGTCCGCTTGCGAGCCAAACCTTCACATGCATTGACTTGGTACATCTGTCCTGAGAAAAACGCAGGGGGGCAGAAGCAGGTTTAGGTACGCAGCTAGCAGATGCACGGTTCTGCAATCGACTTCAACCTCTGCTTGGACCCCGTCGGAGACTCAGACATCCGGGAGCGGGACAGGACTATGCAGTTGGCCCCGCTCCGGCTAAGGGCAGCCTGAACGAGGACAATATGCAAATCCCCGCCGACACCCCTCGCCCCCCTGACTCGTCTACCTCGCATGGTCTCAGATCGCCACGATGAAGAAATAGGATGAGATGAGGCCGGCAAGCCCCTGAGCAAGCGATCACCCGCAATTTGCACGTGCAACAAAGAGAGCGCAAGCCAGCAAGTGAAGGAAGAGAGAGAGAGAGAGGAAAAAAAAGCAATAAAAAACAATAAACGATAAAGCAAAGGCGAAAGCAAAGATGCCCAGGCCCAGCGCTGCGCAAGGACCGCGCTAAACAGCCGGCAGCTTTTTACTCACTGCGCCAGGCCATCACAACGGCCGTCAGGTTGTCCCCAGATCCAGCGGCAAATGCGTGCCGAACCTGAAACAGATTTGAAGATGACCCAAGCATTCCCATGCATGGTGGCCCTTGAGATGGTCTGAGTCGCAAACCAGGGAGTGCGAAGCCAGCTCTACCCCAGCCGCACTTGCACAAACCGCAGCTGCGTCGCTGTCCTGGTCATGTGGTTTTTGCCGAACGCACTTCAACATCAGGTGCAGCAACACACAGACTCCTGCAACACGTCCCAAACACCATCACAGGCGAGAATGAGAAAACGATCCACCTCAGCTGCCGTGGACTTGCGACACTTCGAAGCGCTTGGCAAAAAGGAAAACACCTGCGTGCAATCCCCAACAAGAAGAGCCCGCTGCTACTTGTAGCAAGCATTTGCCGTTGAATAATAGTGATGATCATGATGATGTTGATGAGAACCGGCCAGCTTCATTGACGTCCAAGTTTCACGATGCTTTCCCGGTCGTTCGCTTCAAAACACCGGTTCTTGTACATTGTATACAAATGTATACAAATGTATACAGTTGTATAGATTTGTATACATTTGTATACACTTGTATACACTTGTATACTGCTTGCCTGTCGGAGTCCCGATTCTGGAAGCACACGAGCACACGGCAGTCTCAGCCCGAAGCTGCGGGGTCCAGCTCCACCATGCGCACCTCCGGCTCGGCGGTCACCAAGCCACCTCGAACCTGAAGTGCTGTGTGTGTTGGCACCCGGCTGCCTAGCCACGCTGTGGGGGGGGGGGGGCCAAACACGAATACCAGCCCGGAGCTTGAAATCATCTGAAATCCGCGACAACCCTGCCCAGCTTATTCCCACCTGCGAGCAGCCGTACTTCTGGGGCTCCTTGAGTAGAAGGTCACCAAAGGACCGGGACACGGCAAGGCCCCAGCGAGGGATGGCGCGACCTGCACTCTCAACAGAAGCCGACCCAGCCGAATGCTCCCAGATATGATCCCCGATCATGATCCCAGGTAGTATGATCCCAAATGGACCTCCAAAGAAGACCTGCGATGGGCAGAAGACTCGCCAGACGCCGTACAGATCGACAACTCCGCCCAGGGCTTCGATGCGCTGCTTCTCATCGGGGCGGTTGGGCTTGTGGTCCTCTCACACCAAAAAACAAGCTGCCTCGTCTTCAGTCGCTCTGCGCCGGATCCGAGGTTGATCTTTTGCAAAAAAAAGCTTGCGAGAAAGGGAAACTTTGTCCGAGCAGAAAGTGGCATGATGGAAAGCATGCAAGGCTGGAAGCTCGGGCCTAAGCCGGGAGAAAAAATGCGGAGGGTTCCCAATGGATTTCCCCCCCCCCCCCTTTCCCCCCCCCTTGCAATCGGCGCCACCTCGGAGAGACGGCACGCCTGCAGCGGAGCGGGCTCTTTGGCCCCGCGGCACAGGACCGCTCGCGAGTCGCCCACATTGGCCACCAGCAACCTGACGGACGTTGCAGCTTTCTCAGCTCCCAGCAGACCGAGAGCCCGGCCTATAAGGACCAGCCGGCTCAGCATAGACCAGGGCCAAAAGCAAAGTAGATCCATCCATCGCCTCATGCTGCCGTGCCCAGCCCAGAAACCTCGGTCAAGCGTTGAATTGAACTCGGAGTCTGAAGGCCATCTGACTCCCTTGTGCCGGGCAGCTCCTCATCCACAATCGCGCACGCCTCCAGTACAGCATCTCGAAGATGCTCAGCCGTCAAATTGGGCTTGCTCGCAAGCCTCGCTTGCAGTACGGCAGGTAGCCTGTCACACCAGGAGAAAGTAAGCGTCTCCATTTGGACCGCCTACTGGCCTTCATGCACTTCCGCTAAGTCTAGAAATCACTTCCAGTACAGCTAGTCCCTGTTAAAACCGCTGCTGCTCGACCTTGATGCCTTATCTGCAGCATGGGAATTACCACGTCCTGTTGAGCTGAACCACTCTAAATGCAGGCACCAGCCTATCAGCCAAGTGCTCCACGCACCGGGGTCCAGAATGTCCATCCAGCACAAGAACGCCCGGAACTATCAACCCGTCCGCCGAGAGCAACTCCTCGCGGGCTGTCCACATCGAATGCTACGCACTTGGCGCTCGCTGCCTTCAAAGATTCACCACATAGGCGAAAATGAGTTCACAGGAGTACTTCGGCTGCTCAAGGTCGATTCTCATGCTACTCCCTAGGCTTAGCTCAGATTCACCTGCGGAGTGCAAGTGATCCTTTCTGAGGCATCCAAGGCTCAAGGTCAAGAGCGAAGCGGTCTTCGTTCGTCTCTTTACCACCTTGCCAGCACGCCTTGCGACAAAGGCCAGCAGCTCAACCGTTCAACGAAGTTCAACGAAGTTCAGCGAAGTTCAACGAAGCTCAACGAAGTTCAACGAAGTTCTACGATTCTACGAAGTTCAATCAAAGCACTTCAGCCAGCATCAGCCAGCAAACGCAAACAAGTCGTCTTGGTACTCCAGCAACTTGCAATCACCACAGCTGCGCCAAGAGAGCGGCGGCCGACTGCACACAATCTTGCCGCCCGCGGCAACCCGTGCAACCCTCTAAGCCTGACTCTGAGGTCCCGACAGCTCCCAGCTCGAGAGTCAGATGCCCTACCTTCACAGAAGCGAATTTCGATGCCTTTGCCCATTGCCCAGCAGAATTGAAGGCCTCGCCTTCAGCTCGCGGTGAAGGGGTCGCAACTTGGGCTGCTTCACGTCTGCCTGGGAACGTAGTGGCTGTGTCAGTCTTTGTGGGCCGCGCCAGCAAACGTCCGAGTCTGCTCGCAACGTCCTCACCATTCCCTCCCCCTCTCACCCTGCTCTGCATCGGAAATCCGGCAAACTTAGAACTCCGAGCACATGCGGCACAGGATGTGTGGAATGCCATTCCGTTGCCTCAATGCCACTGGCCCAGCTTTCAAGCGAGGGGACGCCGAAACATCGAATGTCTCGGAAACCTTGATGGAGCTTCGCCCGGAGGTTTGCGCTGGTGCTCGGGGATCCAGGGGAGTATGGGAAGGATGAAACATGGACAGCGCAATGGCGCAGCCGCATGCTCAGGAACTCGGCATCGCAAAGCTGGGGAGTCGAATCGATTGAAGCAAGCACTGAGCGTTGAAGGCTGGACAACCTGGGCTTTGGATGGCCGATGGGCGAGATTGTATCCGAGCCTTGCATTTTCAACTGTGCCGACCTCAATCGACGATGCAACTCGATCAATCCGTCTATCAAGCCGTGCGGTGGCCCGTGGAGATGTCGTCATGTTTCGGGGCAAGCCGGGAACAGTGATGCGACGGAATGTGAATTGTCGATCTGCCACTTTTATCGCCCACAGATAACACATTCCGAGAAAGGCGCCTGCGCGCCGCGCGCCAGGCGTGCCGGGTCCGCGCCGCGCACGGCACGGCGGTGCTCCAAGGCCTCCTGGGCCTCTCAACTTCGAGCTAAGAACTTACGAGACGATCTTACGGCTTCAGGTATTGCTCTCATGCATTTTGAATGCTTCCTCTCCTGGCCGAACTCACCCAGCTGCTGCCGCAGCTGGGTTTCCAACGCCCCGGCCCGACTGCTTGTGACCTCAGTGCTGGCCCCACTGTACTGCGACAACATCAAACAACATCAAACATGGAGGTCAAACGAACTTCGTGAATCCTGGTGCCGGGCAGGATTGGGGGAGTTCATGGCCTCTATGAGCTGCTGGCGCAGCCGATGGACGCTGCTCATCACTTCTTCTTTGTGCCTCGCGATCTCTCATGGCTCGTCACATCGCGACACCAACAAGCCCAGTCCCGTGGGCCCATGGGCCCATATTCCATGCTGAGATCTCTGCTGCTTAATGAGCTCATCCTGGCGATCGAGGTTTTGCTGGTGCAGCTGCGAGTACTGCTCCTTGGAGTAAAACCCAAACGCCGACAGCCGATCAGCACACACAGCACTCGTTCAGCGTGGTCTCGAAGGTCCGTGATGCTTTGAGAGCTTTCTTCTGTCAAACAAGCCTCCCTGCTCAAGCTTTGAACGCTACTTGCTCACGGGATGTACAGAACATCCAACGGCTTCTCCATTGGATTCGTTGGACGGCTTAACTATTGGTTGTTAGTATTCGTGCAATGATGACGCAGCTTCACAATAGCTTGGGCGGCTTGCGCAGCTGCTGTATGTCGCAAGTCTATCAGCTACCAGGCAGGGTGCACATGGCAAAAGCAGGTGTTCGCGGTTCCGGCACAGCTACACATCACGCCTTCAAGTGCTTGAGAATGTAGGTGGTTGACGAGCATACAAGAGAGCACATCTGCGGATGTGAATTGCAAGCAAGTCTCATGGGTGCTGAGTGCTGTGGCATCGGCAAACTTGCGAGTGCAGAGATAGCACACGTGCTGCGGCAGCTGTCCAGGAGGTGGGGGTGTCGCATATAGCGTGGCCATGGCCTCCCTTTCTGGCTGCACTTGACTAATGTTTACTGATGCAATCTGATACATACACGTCATGTATCTATTGACTTTTCAATGTGACAATTGGATGTTCTTCACCTTTATGCTATTATTACACCCGTGCAATAAGAGAATTTATGAGCGCCGTCTTCGTTCTCACCTTATTAATACTGCGTGCTTCACCATTTGGTCTGTCTCAGGCGCGGTCAAGCTGTCACACGCAAGACACTTGCTTCTGACTCTCTTGTCGGCTTTGTTCTGCTTTGTCCGATTTTTGCAAGAGATGTCTTAGGTAATCTAGGTGCCCGGCAGCCCACAGCCAGGTTTTCCATGCCTTGGCCGCTTCTTGCAGAATCCAACGCAAACACTTCAAATTCCTTCTGCAAGTCGATGACATCGCGGGAGTTTCCGATTGCCACGTTCGAAAGTTCGAACTCTGAGCATCTCTGAGCCAAACGACGCGGACGACAATGGAGAAGCTCGCCTTGGACCATGCACTGCATGGCCGATCATAAAATGCGGGTCAAAAAGCAAGTCGTTTTGAGTCAAAGACCACCGGCGGCGCCTGCTCCACGAAATCGGAGAACTGCACCAATCGCGACGGTTCAACATGAAACCCAAGCGCACACGCACACACGCACACACACACACACACACACACACACACACACACACACACACACACACACACACACACACATACATCCCACATGCACGCCTGACGAGAGGACAGAAGCGCAGCGCAAGAGCAGAAGCGTCGCAAATATGGGGCAACTACAACTGCAAAACGCTTTTTCAATCAGCATGGACTCTCCTTGCGGAGGCTCACGGTTTGCTGGTACCTGGCGAACGCTCAACACTGAGCCAACAGGGTCTGCGAATCTTCGTTGCACTGAAAACCGAATCTCTCGAGAAGGCAAGACAACCACCGAATTTTGGAGTTGTCAAGCTCCGCGTTCCTACCTCGGTGGCTTGGGTGCCTCGAAGAAGAAGGTTAGTAACGGTTAGCAGAACGCAGCTGTAGCTGGAAGTCTACACTCTCTACACTCGTTTGCATCTGCGGCACTTGACCACCGAAGTAAGGGCCCAGTCTCTCAAAGCTGGACACTCTGTGCATGTGTTCACTATCACGTCGGAGTTTGTCCCCGCGCTCTGTTGCAGAGACCACATGACAGTGGCTCTGGAATGGGTGACACCTCCCGAGGCGCGTGCCCATCCAACCAAACTTCCATTGGGGGATTTCTGAGGGTTTCTGATGCAACTTCTCTCTCGACATTGACTCATTGCACTTCCAAATCCGTCGGTTAAATGGGAGCAGCCAGAAAGCTACCGTACAAAGCTTGTCCGTCGTCTGCGTCCATCTACTAAGCCAGATTTGGAGAATCACAGGGTAAGCTTGGAGTGCCTGAAGATGGAGCTCGAGCTCCTTCCTGATGCCTCAGCCGACCCATTTTCGAAAGCTCGCTTGCTGTGACAAGCGACGGCAACAAGCACAACCGTTTTGACAGCAATGCGAAGCTCAATCACATCATACTTACTGGCCTGGTCTTATTGCTGCCTTACAGTGCGCAACTAAACATTCCTGACTCAAGCGCCGCGCCGGCGAAGCTTAGGACATGCTCAGTTCTGTACTTCACTGACTTCATCGCTTCTGTGTTTTCTGACATCGGCCTTCAGGATCTTGTCCATGCCAGTTTCGACACGAACGTCAGCGGGCAAGGGCATTTCATCCAACAGCAGGAGCTCCTTTGTAAGCTCCTGTTTTGACCGGCGCCCGGCTTGCCACGAAAGGGATGCAAAGGGGGAGCTGCTCAAATTGAGGGGTGCCTTTGGCTTAGAAAGCCTTCATTCTGTCGTAGGCCCTTACTAGGCCCATTGCAGTCCCCTACATACAGGTGAGCCTTTTTTGGGAACAAGTTCCCTTCAGTGTCCGAGCCAAGCGGTCCTCCTGAGCCATCGCCTCGCAGAGCCGCGCCTCCTCTGCCAGGACTCCGTTGATGTCGATATCCCTGAAGCAAGGGATTAGGGTGATTAGGGTTGAAAACAATTCCGCTTACGAACTCTTCACATGTTTAACCATGTGCTGCCAAGCCACCCCTCCATTCGAACGGACCTTGTCCGCCTCCTCGCGCAATCACTCTCTTCTTTGGCCAGCACGCGCGCACACACACACACACACTCACACACTCACACACACACACACACACACACCTTGCCCACACTGCCTCACAATGGAAGCCGCATGCATGTCCGAGTCGAAGATGTGGGAAACCGAGCCATGCATATCGATGATACCCTTGTGCGCATGAATGATCTCGCGCAAGTGGTTGTTGTCCTGAGGTTGCGCTGGGGCCGGCACACGAAAGGGATTCGCCCAAAACCAGGCATGACTTGATCAGTCCCCGTGCTGTCTCAGCATTCTTGCGTGCATTTCAGGGTAGGCTGAGCTTCTCAAAGCCCCCTTCAAGTCCCCATCTCTGCTGCTCTGAACTGCGGAGGCCGGGTGCCCTGAGCGTGACACAAAAAAACACGTACTTTATATTACTTTATGGCATCAAGTTTCGGAGTCCCTGCAGTTCTTCTTCGGGTCAACCAGCTCCGGCCACAAGCTGTACAGCGCGATTTGGATCTCCTGCGCACGTCTGCGCCCGCAAGGGATGCATCGCTTCTCTTCAGAGGATCGCGGTCACAACTTGTCACATGCATCCTCGGTGCTCACCGGCCGCTTGACCAAATGCTGGGCATTGGCCAGATGTTCACAGCCCTCGTCGTGCCACGGCCTTAGACTTGGACCAGGTTCACGTGTTCTGGTGCCTCTGTTTGCTGATGACCTTCGCGGTTGTGTTAGGACTCCTCTTGTCTTGGTCTCTTGGGTGATTACAATATGCTACCGAGTATACTAAGGATACTGCCGAGAATGCTGCCGAGAATGCTGCAGCACGCCGCATCAAGCCAAGGGGCCGATCGCTGTGTGACCGGAAGATGTTGCGCGAGGAACTGTCCTGCACGGCCCATCACGACCCGGCTTCGCAGGTCCGGTTCTTAGGGCACCCATTTGACCCCAAAGCAAGGGCTTCCTTGGAAGCGCCGAAGCTACTGGCACTGGCTTCTTTGCCGTGAAGCCCACCAACAGTTCACGTGAGGCTTTCAAGTGCTTCAAAAGAAAATCTCTGAAATCGAAATCGGCTTGATCTTCGAAAGGTGCTATGTTTCGACAAAGAATCACGCATGCACCCAGAGCCTATCCTAAACATACGCCTGTGCCGATAATGCATTCTTTCGAACGTCCTGGCGATTTTGCTGCTGTGACGTGCCATTTAAATCTTATCGCGTAAATCAATCGTTTCGTTCCTTCCGCATTGCTCGACTACTACGGGTCTCCAGCTCTGCTTCCCACGTTACAATTCCTATCTCCTGTCTTTTTCTTCGCAAGGGGAGAAAAGAGCCCCGCTTCTGCAAAAGAACCCTCTGTCTCCCTCCAGAGCATGATCAAAGACATGGCTGCCAATAGCAAGATCTTCGGTCCCCGCCCATGAGCACTTCTTTCATATAGCTCTTCCTCAGTTTGAGAGCTGATGAGCTGGCAGGCTGGAAGAGGGAGCAACAAGGCACCTTGCACGTGCAACGCGTGTGCGTGCTAGCATTCAGTCCAGTGGCGTATCGCTCCAGACGCCAGAGATCCACTTGCCCCACGTATCCCGATTCATCGCGTGCTCTTCGTTGATGATGCGCGACTTGACAGCATAGCACCTTTCTGAACCACGCGGGTACCATTTGAAGCGAAACCCTTCGGGAGCCTGCTGAAAGAACGTCACGAAAAATTTCACAAGGGCAAACCGCTTTGCAATGTGCACAGGCATAGCAGGGCGCATGGATGCCACAAGCACTCGTTCCATTTGCAGAAGGAAGGTCGGCCTCGATCCCAGGCTTCTGATTGCAATTTTTTGAATTATTGTCAATTCGTACAGCAGCAGCATGCATGTCCATGGCAGCCAAGCTTCAAGTAGATCACCTGCGGTGCCTGTCAACCGCGAGGCCACGGCGGGGGCAGGGATGTCTCGACGTTTGGTGTACCAGAATTTGTTGGTGTGCACCTGCCTCCTTGTGGACGATCTCGTGCCGCCTCAGCAGAACCTCCACGGTTTCCGTTAGGATCGTCTTCAGCATCTCACGCTCCTCTGCAAGGAATATTTCGCACTTGCAATCACATGTGACTAAGACGAGTCTTTTCGGGTCCCGTCATGGGGGCCCATCCGACTCCATCCGATCCCCCATCCGTGCCTCATCTGGTAGCGTGTGGGCACTGGACAAGCCCCAGTCCGCTGCAACGTTGCCAGCAAGACCAGACAGGCTGCCATGCTCCACGCCTGGAAAGCGAAAGTCTCCTGTAGGTCCTAAATTTCAGGCTCCACTGTTTAGGATTGCGCCATACGGGCCGCGGCCTTTGAATTCCTCACGGTCCTCATCCCCGAGGTCTAAGCCTGCCTTGGTCACAGGTTAAGAATGGGCGTCTCTGCTCTTCGGCCACCCAGACATCGCTCAGGTCGCCACAGGAGGGATGAAGGAAAAGGTCAGCCGATGGTCCAGCCTTGATCTCAGCCAATTTGGAAGCCTCGGCCCGCAGTGCAGTCACAATCCAGTGACGTTTGTGCGGCGCCGGCGCCGGCGCGAAGCTGTGCCAGGAAACATGGTGGGCGGCGACTGCAGCGGCCAAATCATCTCCCGAAGCACCAGGTATACAGCTCCTTGTCCAAACATGGGGTGGCGCAACTCACATAATGGGCTACTGTTCACTGCTGGGGTGACGAACCTGACGAAAGAAGCTCCTGGCCGCGAGTCTTCACTTCTTCATCAAAAATCATGTTTCTGCTCTTTGGCCAAGGTTCTGCATAGCAATATCATGAAATTGCAGGCTGCCGGGATGTAAAAAAATGGCGAGTAACTATCATCGATTGTGTTGTCGGTCATCTGCAACCTCCGTGGGTACTTTTGGCACACGCATTAGGCTGGATAGACCTTGTCACCCATCCGCATGTCTTTGGGCCAATCCAAGTGGCATGGTACGGAAAAGGCGTCCAAGAAGAAGCCATGTGAACGTTGCTAAAGAGTCGAACTGCAGGCGGTCGACTCCCTGGTATGCCCGATTGTCGAAGGGCAGATCTCCTTAAACACCAAGCATCGGGCCAGAAAACTGCTCTATTTGCGTGAACCTGCGTAGGAATCTCTGGATTCGGCGGGTCTCGCAGGTGCATGTAGCGGAAGTAGATGACCAAGGTCAGCAGGAGAACAGTCCTTGTCTCCGGACTGAACCAAAAGAGGTTGGCAGCAATGAGGATGTAGGTCTTTCTCCTGGGATCAAGGACGGCAGTCTGGCAGAACGATTATGACATTGCCTTCTTCAGTCAAGGCGCAACATCATCCAGGACTCGTAGTACCAAAAGTCCGGCTCGAATCCTGCATGCCGTGCAGACGGGAGTTAAGCACACATGGGCTCCCCATCTTAGCTGCAATAGCCATGCAAGCCCTCAGGTGGATCGTGATATACTCAGGTGTCCATCGTAGAGAAAGCCGAAAACACTCCACATTTCCGGGCTCTGCAACGTGTACCGCTTCGAGCGCAAGATCCTCAGTGCTCACGTTCCCCTCAGAGGAAAGGTTGAGAGAGCGTGTCCGGGATAAACACACACACACACACACACACACACACACACACACACACACACACACACACACACACACACACACACACACGCCCGCAGACAGATCCGACGAGTCTCAGTTTAGGAATGAGGTAGAGGATGAACGGGATGCCGAAGGAAAACAAGAGCAAACCAAAGGTAGTGGCCAGCTGCCACTGCATGTGAAAATCGGACTCGCAGTTGACGCCTTGGATTGCTCATGCTTGCTCTCAGCTTTCTTGCAAGAAAGCGAAGTCCGTATCTTCGTGCAGCTTTGGGCTCTCAGATCATAGGACCAGCGGCGAAAGTCCAGCATAGCGCCTCCTGCGTTTAGGCAGTGATCTACCGCCAAAGAACCGCACCACAACATGAAAGCACGGTTATGCCGGCTAGGTTCCTGCGTCTGTGGCCGAGCAGTCGAAGACCGAAAGAAGTTGCGATGTCACCATGGGCTGCAGGAAATACATCTCCAGAACGGCGAGGGAGGAGAAGGATAGTACAATACCTGGGTTTGACCCATGCTGGCTCTGCAGCTCTCCCAGATCTTGCACACATGCGCTCTCTGCATCCGCACCAGCGAGGGAACGGTTTCAAAGGGTAGTCTGGTCATGCCAGGGCAAATCGGAACACATGAACTGACAACATTCGCTCGTCTGCGAGGCCGAAGTGACAACAAGATACAACAAGAAAAAAACTTTTTACGATCGACAAACTGCATAGCACAGGGAAGGCCTGAGCAGAAACGTTGGTTCACAGGAATTCCCCTGCACTGCAAGCACTGCAAGCACTGTAGGCCAGGTTGCGAGAGGTCAGGGAATGATGGTTCCAGCGCAGCGGCTTAGGTCGCACCATGTGCCAAGTCCAACAGGACAGCACTGCCAATACCAACGTGGTGAGAAGCATGATGGGAATCAGCAACAAGGCTCCTCAGCTCGGTCTACCCGAGTTTAACCAGAGTACACTGAAAGCAAAAATGAGATAGTGCAACTGGTGACATAGGCGTGAAGCCGCTGAATATCATCCAAGCTTCCGAGAACTTTGAAGTACTGACTGTCCCGCGGACTCGTTCCACCAGCCATCATCAAGCACTCCTCAGCTTGAGCTTGGATGATGCAAGGATGGCAACTAGAGCGCCGTTCAGCAAACGTCAGTACCCAGCAGAAACAAAATCTACGCGCTGTTTGACGGGCGTCAAGCGAAAAGATTGCAGTGGAGGGATTTTCCAGGACATCCCCGATGCCCAGTGAAAATGCCACTGGTGATGTCAGAATCGCTTGACTGAAGCTCTCGTCACTGAGGGCCTGTGCTTTTTCCACAGTTCTGCAGATGCCCGTGGGCTTCTTCCGCTACTTGTTCTGGGGACTGGCACATGGCACACAAAAAAGCACGGCCTTTATCACGCCGTTCAGATCTGTTACCTGGAGTTTGCCATCCATGTCCCCCATGGAAGGATGGAAGGATGGCTTGAGGGCCCTAGCGGCTCGGGGATGCATGCGGGGACCGACACGGTGACAAAGCGCCCGACAGACTGCAAAAAACAAACACACTTCACTCTGGCTCGACGGGCCGGACACGCAGATCCCAAAGACACCGAGATGGACCTGTCGTACTGCCACATATAATATACTTCAAGCGAAACCTCAGAGAATCCCCGTTATAATTAAGCTCTCAAGACGAGGCACCTGGCCCAGGGCTTTGAGCTGCACAAAGAAGTTGCACAGGATCTTCAAGACGATGGAGTACACGCCCCGCAAGTTTCCCAAAGATGCATCCTCCAGGTCTCACGAGAATACACAGCGAAAACCTGAATCTGTGATCTCAGCACATGTCTCACAGAGCCATGCCAGAACATTTGCCCCAACTCTCAAATTGCAGAAGGACCTGAGACCAGGAGAGCAAGCAGAGGCCACCAATGCCACCGACCATGCACACGCAGATGACCAGAATAGTCAACCAGTCTGGAGGGCATCGATTGCAAGGCTCGTCTGGCGTTGACCGCTGAAAGCCTCAACAAATCTGCTGCTCGCAGGTGCTGGTGGATTGCATCTCAGTTCGCCGCCCTAGAAAGGTTACTATCGAGCACGCAACAACCATCAAAAGCGCAGCGCGGGATTCTATCTTTGACAGGACTGGAAGAGGCATATTAGTCATATATGCCGTAGTCGAAGCAAGCGGATGCTACGTCCGCTCACACCTTTCCCCTTCTTGTCCTTCTTCCTCCCCTTCCCCCTTCTTCCCCTTCTTCCCCTTCCCTTTCCCTTTCCGAGACATGGGGGAGACCCCATGCTTTGTCTCTCTCTCGCTCTCTCTGTCTCACTATGTCGCTCTCCGTCTTCCGCTTGTTACTCTTATCATGTTTTCTTCCTTTGGCAGAAGAGGCGCAATAGCTGCCTGAGGTCTTTGTGGGTCGTTTTGTTCGACATTGTTCGACACAGCGCGGAAGCGTTGCGATGTTGTCCCTGGACTCGCAAAATTGTGGCAGCTGGGCTCTTGTCACAGTGCATCTTGTTCCGGAAACTTCTAACGATTTTGGGCCGTGAAGCGCATACGATTCCACTTGGACACCTGGAAAGGACTCTTGCGACAGCACGCACTCGAAATATGAGCGAACGTCATGCCACCCCCCCCCACCCACCCTGCGGGGCACCCCGACCCCGTCGAAATCCGAAAAGAAAACCGTCAGGAAAACTAAGGCAGACTCAATTCATAACCCTCTCTGTGTCCTTCTTTTACGCGGCCAGGCAGCTTTGGAATCCGCATTCTGGAATTAAAGGGCAACACAGCAGGGCCCGTCTAACTCACTGCACGAATCCGAAACGCAACGCACCCTACCCAGCAATGTACGACAGGTCTCGAGTGCACTGGGTGAAAGTCGTCCCCCCGCGGCGTCGGAACCCTCCCCCTGACGAAGGTACCAAGCAAGCCAACACTTATCTGCTGGGAACCTCGCTCTCTCTCTCTCTCTCTCGATCTCCCTGTTTCGCCCCCCGGTGCGAGTGGCTCGCCGGAGTCTCTCTCTCTCTCTCTCTCTCTCTCTCTCTCTCTCCACACACTTAAACCCCCGGACTCTATCTCTATCTTCTTCTTCTTCTTCTTCTTCTTCTTCTTCTTCTTCTTCTTCTTCTTCTTCTTCTTCTTCTTCTTCTTCTTCTTCTTCTTCTTCTTCTTCTTCTTCTTCTTCTTCTTCTTCTTCTTCTTCTTCTTCTTCTTCTTTCTTCTTCTTCTTCTTCTTCTTCTTCTTCTTCTTCTTCTTCTTCTTCTTCTTCTTCTTCTTCTTCTTCTTCTTCTTCTTCTTCTTCTTCTTCTTCTTCTTCTTCTTCTTCTTCTTCTTCTTCTTCTTCTTCTTATTCTTCTTCTTCTTCTTCTTCTCCTTCTTCTTCTTCTTCTTCTTCTTCTTCTTCTTCTTCTTCTTCTTCTGCTTCTTCTTCTTCCTCTTCTTCTTCTTCTTATTCTTCTTCTTCTTCTTCCTCTTCTTCTTCTTCTAATTCTTATTATTCTTCTTATTGTTCTTCTTCTTCTTCTTTTTCTTCTTCTTCTTCTTCTTCTTTTTCTTCTTCTTCTTCTCAGCGAAGAGGCCCCCTCCAGAGGGTCTATCTCTATCCTCTCTCTCTCTCCCTCTCTTGCTCGCTCACTCGACACACAGCCGCCCACGCCCGCAAACCCCCAAGCCGCCACGGAGCCAGGTCGGCAGCTACCGCACAGGGGCCCGTCCATTATTGGGATGCCCTCCTCACTGCGGAAGCACCTCAGTCGTTCGCAACTTCGAACTTTCTCCTGTGAGCTTCGTTAGTATACCTCATGAAGCACAACGTGGCACAAATGCCTTGAGGTTTGGAGAGCCTTGCCAATGATCAACCAGGCACGTGTTGTTCTCAAGGCACGCGGCACTCACAGGGCACTTGAATGGACCAATGAGATCCAAAGGATCCTCCTTGTCCCAGCAGTCGAAGCAGTTCCTCAAAGGCTTGCATGGGCACGTGACAACGTCACGCCGACAGTGTCTGGGTTTCCCGATCAGTTGCATATACATAGTCTCTATTTCACCGCGTCGCAACATTTTCAGGGCGAAGGCATTCTGGATTTCGAGATCCGCATCCTTGGCGACAGCATGCGCACATCTTGTGCGCCACAGATGCTCAAGCATTCAGCAAATTCAGTTGCCATCTCAGCACGCATGTCCCAAGTACTGGTCCCGGAGAACACTCACTCGGGACAAAGATGCGATCTATATAACCAGGCCAAATGTCCCCATTGACGATCAAATGGTAGCTTGCAGCCGCGTAGAAGGAGGTGGCGCCAGTGCCGTTGGACCCGTCAGGCCCGAAGCATCTTCAGTCGAGAACGAAACGTCTTCAGCGCTCATGCGACGCTGCTGCACCGAATCGTCACACTCCATGGGTTGGTGGGAAATCTTGCACATCCGCCGAGGCCCCGGGCCTGATGGGCGTTTGGGGTAAAAGACCTACTGACAGCCCCCCGGCCCAATGCTCCAAAGTACCCTCGTTTGGTCCGGGGGCCCCATGTTAGGGGTCGCAATGGAACTGGACTCTACAAGACCTTTGAGGATTCTGAGCTGTCGGGTTCCGCGTCATCACATGCTCAGATGCTAATGTCTTAAGCTGAGGGGGGGCCGCGCCGAAGCTGGGCCGCATCAGAATTCACACTATGCGGGCACGAGAAGAAGTTGTAGACAGAAAAGCCGAGGCGTTGGCATGGCTCCTCGCGGGCAGCGGGCGCAGCGCGATTGCCGCTTCAATGGGTTGTAGCGCATTTCTGGGCAAGCCTGATCGAGCGGCCCAGCGCCAAGAAGTGCCAAGAAGACGATTGAAATGACAGTGTGACATGTGTGACACATTGCCTGGCAGGTGGGGCTTGCTGCTTCCTGTGCATATCGGCCAGGCGGGCAGTCCTGGCAGGGACTGCGCGAAAAGAACGTCCATGAGCCAGGTTGCAACAAGCAAAAAAAGGACTCGGACCTGGTCTAGGAAGGCTTTGCTTTGACAACTTAAACCCCACCTTCATAAGTTCATAGGACTGGTTTGCGAACAACATTCGGCAACAAATCTCTACCGGACAATCAGGTTAAACCTGTACACACTCGCAACCAACTGAGATCCCCGCCAAACAGGTTTCACCCAGTGCATCTGGCGCCGTTGCTGCGGGGCAGGGCTTGCAAGACATCTGATCATCGGCCGGCACTGTTCCCGCGTTCTCCTGCCCAGGGCATGTCAAGAAAAGCGGGTTTCGCCGCCGTGGTGAACTTCGAAAATGCCATGCGCTCCCCTCGCCCTCGTGCCCTCCCACCCCCCCAGCGCTCCACACTGCAGACGCGACAGCGCGAAAAGCCGGTGCTGCTGTCGAAGATGAGCGACGCATTCCTATCCCAGAAGCTGAAACAGCAAGGCATCGGCAACACCGTGATGGGCAAAACACACTTCCTACCACATCCCGCCACTGTTTGTGTCACGGCGGCATGGGTCCTGTCACACTCCAGGCGCACGCACTCGCGCACTGCAGCGTTCCAAACCTCGCGTACCATGAATGATTATCATGTGAGGGACAGCTAGAGCTCTGTTGCCTAAAGCCAGGAAAGCAAAGCAATCATCCCCACATGATCTCACACGAAAACAGATACTTGCATTGCCACCAGTCTACACGGTCGCCAATCTTCGGATTCGTCGGTGGGTTGGTGATGCACTCAGGCAAGGCCCTCTCGACAGCTTCCACCCTCGACAGGCACAAGGTGGGCAAAAACAATTCTGAAGTATTTGCAAGCTGGGTTGTTCTCCTCTAGGTTGTCAGGTTGTTTTTGCAGGGTCTAACCTCTCATTCCAGGTCTCCAACCTAACTCAACGCGTACAAAGAAACGTGCTGAAATGAAAATCAGAGCGTTGCCATCGTGCCAGGGTTCATGTTTTTGGCAAAGTAGCACGCTGTCTCTTGAGTTGTCAAGTTGCCACCTCCTTCACGGTGCATCGACAGGAGCAGGGCCATCTGCGAAGCAGGGTGAGATTTTGCAAGGAACCCTATACGAACATCCGCCACATGAGAACGGTTCCCCTACGACTGAAGGCTGCAGCACTGACAACCACTGCCCAGGTCTGCCAAGGCAATTTTGAGTAGGCAAACTTGGCTTCTTAGGCCCTACTGCCTGCTCCTGCGTCACCTGCAAGTGGTCAATCACATAAGCTGCTTCCGGCGCTCGATCCTGCAACGCAGCTCCCTGGCCCTGGCTAGCCCCCTTGCACGATAAGGCTGGTGTGTAACTTCTAAGCTCACGATGCCGCATGGATCTTTGCTGGCAAGGAGAGACTTTGGGGGCAATCAAAAAAACAGCTCAATCAACCGCCAAGCGGCTGCCAAGTCCTTTCGCCGAAGTTTGTACACAGTTGTGGCTGCCAGATCGCAGCGCCGTGCTCCACTTGGGGTCCAAGCCACATCGAGGGCACAACCGCGGTAGTAATCCGGGAAGGAAATTCGGCCGATGTGGTTTGTCAGTCCAAACTGAGCCGCTTTCTCCCATGGAACCCACCCTAGGCTCCGCTTCTTCGAATCAGCACGCAATGGAATGCTAATTCCTTCCAAGTATCCATAGAAGATGGCGGGCGTCTTGTCCTCACGAAGCTTCTCCACCAAGTCCATGTAGCGACTGCCGTAATAGGACAGAGCAATACCTGCATCAAGTGGATCTCTGCTGCCCTGCTCGGCACAGAACTTGAATGGTCGCCCCCTTGCCCCCCCCCCCCCCCAAAAAAACAAAAATGAATGGTCGTCGTTGTCACCAGAATCCGCCAGAGGCACGGCTTAAGCTTGGTTGGAAGACGCCTCTCAGCCTGTTGTGTGCCTTTGCTACGTTTTGTCGTCTTGCGTCATGCGTTGGGCCAGGTTGCTAAGGTTGTTGTTGACCACCAGCTGCTCAAAAGTGCCTCGGCTGAGTCGTGAATGTCATGACACATTGCATCTCAGCTCTGAGACTCCGCGTGCACTAAGAACCCTGCCTTGCGACCAGGATGGGTTGTTCAGGATTGCTTCTACGCAAGGAGAATCCATCCGGCAACGCTTCGGGACATATTGGTTTGCATATGGTCCTCCAGCAGGACCAGAGCTTTGCACAAACCGCCCCCTGTTCCCAGCCCTCCCAACCCTCCCAACCCAAGCTCTGGATTCCCCCAGTCCTTCACACCAAAAGCGGTCAGAATCATCTGAGCAGAAGCTGACTCCGTCCAAGATGTTGACAAGCTCCGTGTGGTTGGAGACACGGTATCCTGCCTCCCACGCGGCACTTCCTTCCTCAATTTGACGGATGGCGCAGCGGCGCAGCGCACAACTGGACATCTATATACTTTTCTTACACCCCTCCAAATCTGTCCAAGGCGCATAGAACTTGTAAAAGTCTGCAAAGGGGTTGTCCTGCACCACCTCCGGCATGACAAAAAAACCAATGCGCCCACTCCAGCCGACTTGTTCTGGAGGTTGAATGATCCCATTGCCATTCACATAGAATTGGACCAGGGGGTCGAAGATATCCACCTGCCAGCTCTCCATTTCCACGTCCATCACATTGCGCTCGAGAAGCGCTGCCCAGTCCTGATGCGTGACTTTACAGAGAGCTTACAACCTTCAGGGAATTTGCTCAGAAAGCTTGCAGCTCTCTTGAAAATCCGCGCATGCGTGACTCAAGAATACTCAAGAAAGCGCACCCAAGCCACCGCCGAAGGCTCGTGCGCAATGTCCTCTGACCGCACTGTGTAGCCCAGCTTTTCTGCAATCAAGATCTGGGTAATTTCACGCATCAAGTCGTGCGAGAGCCAATCCCGCTGGCCGAATCGAATGACCGTCTTGGAGTGATCTACCTGATCGACCTTCTGATTGTCGTAGACCGTGTCGAAGCAGTGGAAGCTTCCAGCTGCAGCGTTCGTGCAGGTCCCTGTGGCCCTGTCAAATGCGTTGTCTGCATTCCCCTCCAATATCTGCGTCATGCAATTTGGAGCCACCTGTTGAACAAGGTCTAGATGTCGTCGTACGAAACCGCAAGCAGACTCTTCGATCTGTTGACGGCTGGTGAGTTTTGAAGAACTGAGCAGTTCGCGCAGCTCGCTGTCACCCACAGAAAGCCGCCGCATCATCCAGTATGCTTCCGGAGCCTTCTGAAACAACGATGTTGCCAGCACTTTCATAAGCAAAACCTCTGGGTAGTCGACAGCATTCGTCCCATTTGGATTCCGGTCATACTCAGCAGCAACTGTGGTTGACAGAGGGTCCGGTAGAGAAATGCGGGCCGATTTGTGGTATTCGTCTCCCCAGTTCGAGGTCCAAGAATAAAACACCACCTGGGCACTTTACGGTCCTTTGCTTTGTTTGCTGTGTTTGCTTGCTTCGGCTCAAGAGGCTCAGTGGGAAGATGGAAAACGAAGAAACCAGAGACCTTGCTGAAATGAAAACAGGAGAACTTCTCCTACAGAACATAGAGGGATGAGAGGGATGCCATGCGGTTTCTTCTAAAACTCGGGGGCCTGGACCGAGGACACATCAGGATGTATATTCGCCGAACAACCTCAAGGCCTAAGCTGTCCGAGCCCCCCGTTACCTCTTGCTTATTCTTCCTTGCGTCTTTCCTGTTTAGCTTACTTGCATCCGTTCTTGCTTCACTTTTTCTTCTGGGTACAGGCTCGGGACTTTGCTGAGGCAACCTCCCTAGCCGTCCAGACCTTAAGAGGATCTTCTTTCCACGGGATCCCCCCTCTGAGGACGAAACATCTTCAGACTGCTCTGCAAGCTGGACATGTTTCTTGTGAAGGCCGTCCGCCCCAAAGTAGGCGAACACAAAGGGGAGGCCCAGGTTGGCGGCAACCTGAACGATGCGGACTGCCAGGATGGGCTACGACTCCACTCGGACACTGCATCGCACTGCATCATACACGTTCCCATCCTCCCGGCCTGCTCGAAGTAGCCCTGATCCCAGTGCGGCGGCCCCATGATCACTTGTATGCATGATGAGATGTTCTGCGTGCATTCGGGGGAAACCCAGTAGCCCTCTAATTCACGGCTGCACCAAGGGAACTGCTCCGGATCGCCTTGGCTGCAAAAGATCTGCGCGTTGGACTTAAGGAGGCCAGTTGGGCAAAGCATGGTAAACCTAAAGTTCCGAGGGGCAAGAGGGGAAGTCAGCACCCAGGACGCTTCGAAGCTCTTCTTGGTCGGGCCCGGAGAAGCCGAGAGATCGAGCATATCCAGGTCGCACGTAGAACTTCCACCAGTCTGCAAACTTGTGCTTCTCGATGGTGCTTCTCGAGATGTAGAGGCCTGTCATCAAACTCGAGCTTCAAGCACTCTCACACACATACACACAACTCCTGGCAAAAAGGGTGCAACAAGGTGGTGCAAAAAGTGCGCCTGAGCGCCCGCTGTATCCTATGGGTGCCAAAGGCTCGGAGTACTTGCTCAGTCCATCCCGGAGCTCTTGCGTTTGCACAAGGGCCCAATTTTCCACGTCGACATCCCACGCGCCTGACATTGGGACATGCAACGATCATTTGTGAAATCATGGCTTGTGGGAGGGAGCCTTTGCGCAGGGATTCTAGCGCAGCTTGATGAACATTGACATCGTGGGAGAAAGACCTTAGCTGCTTTTGGCTGCAACATGACTGAAGCCTCAGCTGGACTCGGTGAAGCCAACATCTGCAGCAAGGTGCTCGGTAAGATGTACGAGCTCCACGTGGTATCCTAACCATTCCTTCAGAATGAAGGCCGCCACGGTGGACACAAGCTCATGAGAAGTCCAGTCCTCACAGCGATCAGGGCATGGCGCCACGATGGCATAAACTGCGGCTCCGTAAAGTGCATATGCATATTTTGCATATTAGACTCATACTAGGCTCATGCTACATACGGCGTCACATAAGGTCAAGCGGCTTGAACAAGAAGTCGAATGGTCGTACTCGACCGATCCTTGTCACAACTTATCGTGGCACTTTTCGCACTCAGTACAGCTCAGTGCGGACACTGTGGGGGGGGCTGTCTGCGGAGCATGACTTCTGTTTGCCCCAGCTATCGCAGCTATCTGGGTCCGAGCATCTACGGAGCCAGCTTCGCCAGCAGAAAAGCACCTCAGAACTCCCCCCGATTCTCTCTCCGATTCTCTCCGATTCGCAGGCAGAAGTTGGTTTGTCGCAGCATGGTGCCAAGATCTGTCAAGGCACTGAGCTTCGAAATTCTGGACAGACACGTCGGCGAGGGCCACGAAACCCAGGCTCAAAATGCCTCCAAAGGCGCAGTCACAGCATTTTGATCACAGCTCCGTGTGTGCTCTCCGCGCGCTCTCCGCGCGCTCTCCGCGCGCTCTCCACATGCTCTACAGTAACGGGCTCTGCAACTCCGGGTCGCGTGCCTAATGGGCCTAGTGCGCTCCAGGCACAAAGGCGGCGAAGAGTCAGCATCCATGAACAGAACAGCGTCTCTGGACTTATAGGACCGCTGTGATCAATTTGCCCCCAGCCCTTCTTTTGCGTCATGGGAACACTGAAAACATCCAATAACAACTTTCAAAAACATCCAACAACTTCCTGAACCAAAACACTGCGGGAGGCAAGCAAAGTCAAGAGGAGTCAAGAGGAGTCAAGAGTCAAGAGGAGTCAAGAGGAGTCAAGAGAAGGTCAAGAGAAGGTCAAGAGAAGTCAAGAGAAGTCAAGAGAAGTCAAGAGAAGTCAAGAAGCCCTCCTGCTTCGGTCTACGACGCGAGGCGGCGATGCACCTTCAAATAACATGTGAAGACCCGAAGCCTGGTCGTACACAGCTTTGGTGTACACCATGGAAGGCCTACAAACCAGGCCAATGAACCTGGGGCTCGCTGGGCACTCACGAGGACGCTAAGACTCTTGAATCAACATTATCAACATTGGCTTCCGAGGGCGGCGCGGCTGGGTTGGATAGTCCTGCACCTGGCAAAGGCGAGGCATCCAAGAAAGGCATTCTTGGGCTCCGCAAAAAAAGGCGTGGAGATTTCATGTTTTGAAATCTGGCAGGCAAAGCCCACGCATAGGTTCGATTTAGTGGCAGCCAACACCTCAGGGGCACAGCGGCATGGAAGTCTCTGGGCGACTTTTGGGCGACATGGTGCCATCGCCTGTGTTCGGTGCTGAAACGTGTTGAACCAAGGCTTGGGCCGGCTGCTCGTATTGTACGTGCCGGGACATATCCTCGCAACGTGCATCCCATCGAAAGATCACATGGCTGCCTCTGGCTGCACTCAGCGTCGCTTTTTTTGAGGTTCAGGCCCAACGCATATCGGATTTGCCATGTCCAACCTGCGCTGACTGCCACACATCCTGCCTTTTGCACGGACCGCTACAAGCCGACAGCTCCCATCAACGGCCTTTTCTTGTTGCCCTCCATGATGTGCTGGCTGTCCTCAGTCCAGCGTAACAGCGCAATGCATGGCCGTGCTCCCTGACTCGCTGCCACAAAAAAGAAACGGCCTTCTGCATGCAGAAGTAGAGGAACGGCTTGCCCTACACCAGGCGCAGTCTCTTTGGAGGAGGCATGCTTGCAAGAGCAGAACTCAGCTTCAAAAAAGAAGCGCCCGCACCCGATTTAGACCACGACCACAGAGGTTCCCATGCAAATCAGGCAGAGACCTCGAAAGAGCACAGACATTCGGAAAGACAGGTTCATTGAAGAACACTGAAGAACCTCTGATACTTCCAAGGAATCTCCAGGACTCCGTGCAAGACGTTGTTCAGGTCGCCGTTCTTCCTTGCCTCTCACAAGGTGCAACTGCACTTGCACTGCATGTGACTTGTGCCAACTGAGCAGATCTCTTGAAGGCCCGGGCATAATCAACGGCGTATGCAGCTAGCCCGGCGCAAAGCAAGAAAGGGAGGATCCACAGCACATCGGTGCACCTCTGGCTTCGGGGGCTCATGGGGCTAATCCGGCTCATCTTCTCTTGGATCTGCAGGAAAGGGGAAAGGTTGGGAAAGCCAAAAAAGACGATTAGCATTCAAAATGGTCTCTCCAAATTCAGAAGAAAACACCCTCAGACAGGACCTTGGACCTTCTGCAGTGTTCTACGTTAAGTCCGTCGTGTGCCTCTGAATCACGACTAGCGAAGCCTGATGCTCCTTTCTGGCCTGCTTTGCAGGACTACAGGAGGGGTGGCTCTTGGAGCCGCCATGAGCAAACCTCAGTGAAGTTGCTCCGTCTCCAGGAAGCTGCGCCGCGGCGCATAAACGATGTCCGGCGTGCTGCTTTGCAGCTTGTCGGAACTTAGCTGCAGCCATCTCCTCCGGAGCTGACGAATCATTAACGGGGCCGAAGCCCAGAGCAAAGGCTGACACACTGGGTCACTGGACACAACCTCTGCAACAATGCTGGCAAGCAACGCGTCCGATTCAGAGGTTCGATCCACATGTGTGGTAGCACTTGCTGCAAGGTGCATTAAACGGGTCCAAAGTCGAAAGATCTGCTATGCTACTTTCCTAAAGGCGTCAGAAAGCTGGTCACCTTACGGCGAGGCAGACATCGCTGCAGCACATCTATCTTGGACTTGGGCGGTCGTTTGGGAAAAAACAGATCTGTTAATCAGTGCCCCCCCCCCCCACCCTAGGGGTCGCATCGCTTGATAAGAACATGGCAACGTCAGCTGTCCCCATTGTTCCGCTGCTACTTCACCGAGCGACACCATTGGCTCTCAGAGCGATGAGCTGGCTTGCCATGACCTCGAAAGAGTGCGGAGCAACATGCAGCAACAGTGCGATTGAGGTATCGCAGGTATTGCAGGACACGGAGCACCCAGCCTCCACCAGCACGGTTGCACTGAAGTTCACAGTAGGGAATGCCGTAGTCACAAAAGCTTTGGTCTCCTCTCTTGGAGGCTGCCTGGCTGTGACGATTGTAGAATGGCCCTCCCCATGACAAACTTTATGTCAGGAGCCTCAGGACTTGCAACAAGCACGATGTCACGATGTCCCAAAACTCATCCGAGAAGCTTCCGGATTGTTTCACCTTTCTCGCCCTTTACAGACTTGACAGCGTTCTGCCACAAGCTCTCGGCCAAGGGCTGCAACACCTCAAGCCTCCAGGCGTCAAAAGTGCCGGCTGAGTGCGTCCAGAGCCACTTGTCTATGGAGGGGTCCGAATAGGGGGGGGGGGGGGGGGGGGGGGCTACATCCTCACCAGACTGCAAGGAGCACGTCCTTCGTAAATTCATCCTCGACCCGGCTATTCTCCTCAACTCCACGTACTGATGTCGGTCCAGCCTGCCATCTGCAGAATGCTCATATGACCTTGATGCAGTTGGCTTGACAGGCTTGACTGACTTCACTGTCTTCGCTCTCTTCTATTTCGCTCAGAACTAAGAATGCAGAGTTGTTGCAACCTAGATTCGTCTCTGTCTCGTCTGCAGAGGCCGTCAGGTATCGCACCCACAGGCAAAGAAGCTGAACAATCGGCTTGATGGTGGGCGTATCCATGGGCGGCAGATTAGGAATCAGGCCCATGCCTTACTGTCAGTCAGCTGCCCTGCTATCGAATATCGACCTATGCTATTTCAAGTCTTCGGAGAATGTGCTTGCCAGCCACAGAAACGGCAGATTTTGTGGCATCCCTCTTCCGCAATCGTTAGCAGCTCTTCGTCGCTCTGCGACAGGCGATCAAAGGCTTCAGCCTGTCTTCGGGTTGATGCTGCGACGGAAATCGACGCTGCTTCCACATCACGTACATGTCTCCTTAACGCTCCTTACAGAGGCGGGACCTGGTAGACTTGGCCATCTTCTGTGGAAGCAGTTACGCCATGCGCCAAAACGACCTCGATTCGTGCTATGAGGAGGGCAAAGAATGATACTTGCCGACACGCCACAAAAGGAACAGTGGGGATCGGTGCCAGCCAAGATACTGCCCAATATCTCTGCACAAAAGTGGCGACTACCGGCTCGGCAATCGCTTCATTGACTCTCCGGTAGCCCAACAAAACCCCGGCGTAGGCAACCAATTGACGGGCACCTCACGGCAAAAAATCTACGCAGCCAATGCATGTCAGGTGGACCTTCATGGTGAAATCGTGCTGCGCTTGCTATGGCTGCATCTTCGGCGTCTTGGGCGTAACGTGTCCAATTGGGAAATAACACAGCAATGTTCAATCCCGCACCTTCGAAGACCTTCAGGTGCAAGTCCGAGAAAGGCCCTGCATCTTCCACGAAGACGCATGCGTCTCCTAGTACCGATTCCCACGCAGGTCGACCACTCGGAAACTGGTCCTGGGTGGCCATCTCTGCCATCCGACACATTCCAAAGCTTGCGCGGCCTACTGATGTTCTGTCGCGCCTCCACAACCCAACGCACGAAGTCTTCGCAGGCAACCGGCCCTTTGTCAGCCACCCCTGATGCTCGATGCAGGTCCTGAGGGTTATCGAAGCTGTCATTCTTGCAGTCAATGCAGCACCTACGAATCGGAGGCCTTTTCACTGTTGGGGGGTTTGGGACGACTGAGCCACAGCAACCATTTTCTTGGTTGGTGATAAACTTTCTGGCGGAGATTGCGAGCAGGCAAATGAGGAACACCAGAAAGAAACAATTGCGGTTTTACTCCGGACTTTTGCGATCCTCTTATCCTTTGATCTCTGTAAGTGCGAGGGGGGTGTGATGTCTGCTTGGGCCAGCCATGACCAACTTCCACTTTATTCTTGCATGTGTCTTGGCCCATCGACTTGCATTTGCTTCCGCGTTTCACTGTGTCTTCCGCTTCGTGTCTTGTTCGCGGTTCTCTTCGCTCGCACTTGTCCCTGACTTTGCATACTTGTCTCGCCCTTTTTCTGCACTTGCTTATGATCATACAAACGCAATGGCTCTGGACGAATGCCCCTCGCAAATGTACTAGAATTAATGAAAGTTTTTTGAGCGGCCTTATGCAACTGCAGACAATGTTGAATCACGTTCCTGCATGTTCCTGCGAAGGAAAACTTCAGAATGGTTGGACTTCAGGAGTCTATGCGCGGGGGAGGCGAGAGCATTGTGCGCATGAACTTTCTGCCGGTAAAGCACCTAAATAGCCACAGGCCATGCTCATCAACACAGAGCCCACTTAGGTCCTGAAGCACGGTCGGTGTCAATCTGTATACGATGCGATCACCTGGCATAAACGAATCTGTGCGAAATCTGTGGCAAAAGTGAATTGGTGCAGCGTCTCGAGCTGCAAGAACGAACGCGGTCGAGTGGCAAACGGAGCTGGGAAAGCGCCATTCCTGTTGGATGTACCTTGTGCACGTTTGGCATACAAAATTCGCCTCGGCTTCCTGCCGAGAAGCGTCTGGAACAAGCAGACCCGGATCGGGCCTCCTTCCCCCTAACCCAACCCTTCCCCCCCCGTGCCGCAACCCCCCCCCCCCCCCCCCCCCGCCCTGTGGGACCCCCCCCAATCCCTTGGAGGAGCTGCAAACCGATGCCGTGGAGGGTGGCCGCTTGTCGGTGGCTCCTTACAGGGGGGAGTGCCTCAAAAAAAAACCCCCCCAAACCCACCCCCACCCCCCCCCCAACCCCCCCCCCCCCACCACCCCCCCCCCCCCCCCACCCCCCCCCCCCCCCCCCCCCCCCCCCCCCCCCCCCCCCCCCCCACCCCCCCCCCCCCAACCCCCCCCCCCCCCCCCCCACCCGGGCCGGCCCGGCTGCCGAGGCGGTGCGCGCAAGCGTTTACAATTAGGTAAACACATGCATGGGCGGTCCGTCGATCACATGATCTGCGTGGCTGCGACCAAAGCACTGCACGAGCTCATCGCCACCACTCTTCTGCGCTAGCAAAGCCACTGCAGAGGCACAGCGCTCTCCATTCCGCGGCACTGCATCGCAGCTGAGCCTTGAGGCGCCACTCTAAGAATGTACCACCAGGCATGTACGAGATGGAGGAGTGCCAATTGAAAAGCGACAATTCCGAACATGTTTCGAAGGCACACGGCCACAGGGGGAGCGCCACGCTTCCGCCGCAGTGCGGCAGCTGCGACAAGGTAAGCAGGCGCCGTCTTCAGCGGCACAGCCGATGACGGTTGAGCTGCATCTGCGCACGCAAGCATGCCTACAGCGCAGGAAGATGAGGCGAAGCAACAGCTAAACACCGAACTAAAAATCGCAACTTCTGAGTGCGCAAAGCTAGATTGACAGTCTGCAAGCTAAGCTTGGCATTCTTGTCACTTTAGAGGTCCATGAAGATGTTCATGACACACTGCAAAGGTCAAAATGCACAACAAGCTTCTTTTCAAGGCTTGCAGGTCTGACTGGACATCTTCCGATGAATCATCCAGAGCTTCGGCGTCCAGGGCATCACTGTCTTTCATACACAGGCTAATGATTTTTGTGGTGTCTGCCTGCAGCCTCGGGTCCGGACTCATGAAAAGCAGGTGCACCTTCACACAGCCTTCTCCTCCAGTTGCTGACAAGAAGCCGATCAAGTATGGCCGTGTGCTGCTCCGGTGCTGAGAGATACTCACAATACGCTCCGATGATGCGCGCTCTGGGCTCCTGCAAAAAACAGTTCGTTTTTTCCACCAGACTCTGTGGCAGGGGGATGGATTCAGGGGGATCCCCATACGAGAGCAGCTCTACCAAAGCTATACCAAAGCAGCTCTCCTGCGCATTTCGTGTACACAAGACATACATGCCGCTTTGCTCCTTCATCCTTATTGCATCTTGGTGCCGAGCCCATGCTATGAGATACTGTCAGATCACACAGTATCATTGTGCGCTGACCAGCAAAACAAGATGCTTAAAGGTTTGATTTCCAAGTCGGCCGAATCTCGCATGGTGCAGGTGCAGATCGTCAGGAAGGCTGACGCCTGAGATGCCCCAAGAAAGGCAGTCGACCTGTCAATCGCCGAGCAATCACAGGACTGAGCCGCTACTGCACTACACTCACTACACTCACTACACATGACAAGAAGCCTGGCCTGTCCAGATGACAGGATCTCATCAACGAAATGGGCTTGATGAGCGCGGTGAGACTCTGCCAAGCCAATGTGCACAATCCCTGGAGTGACTGCCTGGCACAACACAGATTGACAGCTGCAAGCCCACTACACGTACACGCGCACACTCAGGGAGGAAACCAGAAAAAAACACACGCACACACACACACACACACACACACACACAACGAACACAAACGAACAAACACGCGAACAAAGACGCAAACAAACAAGCAAACAAAACATACCAAAACAAAACAAAACAAAGCAAAGCAAAACTAGTAACATAACAAAGCAAAGAAAAAAACACAGCAAACAAACACAACCACACCAAAGCCACCGAAACACCACACAAACACCACACAAACACCACACAAACACCACACAAACAACACACAAACAACACACAAACAACACACAAACAACACACAAACCCACAAACACACAAAGAGACCAACAGAAACACACACACACACACACAAACACAAACGCACAAACACAAGCACGCAAACACACGAGCACACAGAACACACAAGCACACAAGCACACAAACGCACAAACGCACAAACGCACAAACGCACAAACGCACAAACGCACAAACGCACAAACGCACAAACGCACAAACGCACAAACGCACAAACGCACAAACGCACAAACGCACAAACGCACAAACGCACAAACGCACAAACGCACAAACGCACAAACACAAACACAACACGACATAACACTACACAACACAAAACACAACAACAAAAAAACACAACACACAACAACACGATACAATACAATTCAATACAACACAACACAACACAACGCAACACGACGCGACACAACGCAACACAACACATGTCACAACACACACACACACAACGCAACACAAAACTTAACACAAACCAACACAAATCAGCACGTAACACAAAACAGCATACAACACACAACACCACGCAACACACAACACCACGCAACACACAAAACGGACAACAACACGCAACACACAACCACACACAACGCACAACAACACTCAACGCACAACCACACACAACGCACAACAACACGCAACGCACAGCCACATGCACAACACACAACAACATGCAACGCACGACAACACACAAACAACACACAAACAACACACAAACAACACACAAACAACACACAAACAACACACAAACAACACACAAACAACACGCAAACAACACACGACAACACACAAACAACACACAACAACACACAACAAACACACAACAACACTCAACAACACACAACAACACACAACAACACACAACAACACACACAACAACACACAACAACACACAACAACACACAACAACACACAACAACACACGACGCTAACACAACACCACACAACACCACACAACGCCACACAACGCCGCACAACGCTGCACAACGCCACACAACAACACACGACGCTACACAACGACACACAACGCAGGACGCACAACACACAACGCACAACGCACAACAAACAACGCACAAGACACGACACACAACACCACACACAACACAACACAACACACAACACCACGCACGCACGCACATTGATTGTAGCCAGCAACGCTCGGCCGCTCGGCTTGCAATATCTTGCAATGCAGAAACCGCAAACACGCTACGCCGCCTTGCGGTCATACGACGGTCCATGGACAAGTCCACCCCATGGTGGACAGTGCCAGTTGAGAGTATCGACAGATAGGGACACCGCCATGGCTGCTAAAAGTTGTCACAGCATGGGGTCTGGAAAGTATGTTTGCTCACCTCCTGCGTTGTGATGCATTGTGGGATCTGCGCAGCCTCTAGGATTCATCACTTGGGACAAAGTCAGTACAGTCAATACAACTACTTGTGGCCTGATTCAGCCACTCCTGTGTGTGGAAGGTTGATGGCTTCGTGCTACTTTCAGCTTCGTGGTGCCTCCATGTAGTCTTAAATTAAAAAACTCGAGCAGCTGTGTTGAGGACATTTGCCCGTGTCACGCTGATGCAAAAGCATAAGGACAGGATACTCCCACCAAGCAAGTAAGCCCTCAATAAGACCCTCACTATTATTCATAATCTGAATTCATGTGAGTATATGCGGGCCCCTTATACATCCCCGTCCCTGAGGCTTTCCTTAGACCCTCCCCTGTTCCTTGTGACAGTCTTGGCAAGCATAGTAAGAAATTGGCTCATTCTCGCAAACAAAACAAGTAAACAGCCCCACCCTCTGGGGACAGTCGATGGTTCATATCCTCTGTCCTGCAGGCTGAAATTCAGAAACAGCGCGGCTCTATGCACGGCTCATGATCCCCCAACGCAGCATCACACACGAATGCGCAGCACAAAACGAAGAGGACCAGCAGTCGACATGCAATCAACATGCAAGAACGTCATAGAACTCCCCATAGGACTCCTCGGGGTCATTTGAGCGGCAACCCCGCGCCAGCATCTGATGCTGCAGGTCTGCGCCTGTCTCCTTGTGACAGAAGGCAACTGTGGAGGATCTCTTATGAAGACAGCCATCTCTCCTCGTGCTGCAGCTCCTGAAGCAAGTCTGCAGCTTGCAAGGTCCGAAACAGAAAGTGAGCCGGCACCTTGCCTGGATGAGGAGGTCAGAGCGCGAATTCTGTTGTACTGCATCTGGTGTCTTCATGTTTTTCAATGGAGATGCACCTCCCAGGGCCCGTTCTAGAAAAGCCCGCAAGAAGCTGCAAGCGGCTGAACACCACCCAAAATCTCAACACCTGAGAAGCACATGTTTTTGCATTACATTTGGCAGGAACCCGCGCGCGCGATTTCAACGTGCACAAGGCTCGAGACTGCTTGGCAGTCTCCAACCATGCGGCTTATGTGCAGCACATGGATCCATGAAATATGGGGACACTGAGAGAACACCCCGAAGGCCTTCACGTAGGCCTCATGCTGCATGAGACATGCTACCCTCTTCCCCGAGATCCTCGGCCAGACTGCCCCTTGCCACGTCCGGCACCGTGACCTCCGTGACCTGAGTGACCGCCACCTCGCCCACCTTGGCCTCGGCCTCGGCCCCCTCGGCCCTCGGCCTTTCCTCCTTTTCCATCCTTGCCGCTGCCTTTTCTCCGCTCCCAGAACCGCTGCTTGCTCTCTTTCAGCTTCTGGTTCGCCTCGTAGATGTCAGTTTCGGCCTCAAGAAGTTCTGGCAACTCAGTGGCAACTTTGATCGTGTTGCCCTTCCAGAGCGTGGCCTCGAGAATCATGGGCACAATGTTGTCCGGAGCGTCAAAGATACACAGCCTCTCATCTTTACAGCGCTTGCATCCACGGCAGGCATCGGCCAACTCCCGCGGCAGCATTTGACGCAGCAGATACCATCCTTTCGAGTCTGTCTCGATGACACGTTCTGATTGCAGGAGAAGTGCTGTTTGACCGTCGTACGAAGAGAGGAGAGAGCGGCCCTTGAGCTCACGGAAATGTCCTGTAAGCGCAGCCATTGACGCGGCCAGTGCGACCTCAGCACCCCGTTCTTCGATCAGCTCCCGTGCTTTGTCCGTAAATGCCTCGACACTTGCCTGATGGACTGTATCAATCTGGCGTACAGCATCCTCGGCAGCCGCGGCCACGACATCTCTAGCTTGAGGTGGGCCCACCCTTTGCATCTTTATCCCCTTCTTGTGTTCGATGAGCTTGACAAGGTATTCCTCATTCCTGGAATAGAACGTGACAGATGTACCTTTCCTGCCAGCTCTACCAGTGCGTCCCGAGCGATGCACATATGCTTCGAAGTCTTGAGGGGGCCGCGTCTGAACAACCAGATCAACAGCAGGAACATCTATGCCCCGTGCGGCCACATCTGTGGCGACCAAGCATCGAATCTTACCTGATCGAAACCCATCCATGGTCTTTTCTCGAGCATGCTGAGGAATGTCACCATGTAAAACGCCGGCACCAATTGCCTGCAGCTTGTCATTCCCTGCAAGTTCATCGCATTCCTTCTTCGTGTTCACGAACACGATGGTCTTGCCGAATGCGCCAGCATGAATTTTGCACAGGTCGCCAATGCAGTCACCCTTCAATGCTGGTGCACACTGCACACATTGATGTTTGATCAAGTCGTTGGTTTTATTGCCTTGCGGATCATGCGCCACATCAATCCATGTTGGATTGGTCAGGTGCTTCTCAACAATTGCATTGACCCATTTTGGCAAGGTAGCGGAAAAAAGCAACTTCTGACAGTTGGTTTTGGGCAGTTCATCCAGAACGGCCTCTATGTCTTCCTGGAAGCCCATGGACAACATCTCGTCAGCTTCGTCGAGAATTAAGGTTTTGCAATTGGATAAAGCCACACTGCTGCGGCGAACGTGGTCTAGCAGCCGTCCAGGTGTGCAAACCAAGACGTGAACGCCGTTGCGGAGATCTTCGCATTGTGGACCAAAAGGGGTTCCTCAGACATGCGAAACCAAAAGCCGAATCACTGTCGTTATCACATGTTATCACTATTTGAACCTCTCCATCCCTTCACCCGTCAACCATGTTGCTGACAAGTTTCCACCGTAGAAGCACTTCACAACCAGACCAGATGCATTGCCGAGAAGCTCGAAGTCGTTGAAGATTTGTCTTGCAAGTTCGCGAGTTGGCGCAATAGTTGTGCAAAGCGGGGCTTTCTTGCAGGCAAGTTTGGCAGAATCACGGAGCCGTTCCACGACAGGCAAAACAAAAGCCAAAGTCTTGCCGCATCCTGTTTTTGCTCGGCCAACCACATCCAAGCCTTTGAAGCAAGGGCTGAACGCCTTCTGCTGTATCTCAAACAACATCGTAATGTTTTTGGTGAGCAGTGCTTCGCGGCTGGCATCTGATATGTCTTTGATATCAGAGACTTTACAGACTGCAAGTGACCCGGAGGTATCATGGCTGTCCTCAGTCGCTTGCTTCTTTCGCACTGATGTTGCTGCAGCTGCTTTGTCGACGTCAGCTTTTCTCTTCTTCGGGTTGGCTTTGGGACCGAGCTTCGGAGATGCTTTGGGACCGAGCTTCGGAGATGCTTTGGGCTTCAGCGTTGGTGAAGATTTGGCTGCAAGCTTCGGCGATTGCACCTTTTTCTTCTTGATGTCTTTGGGCGGCATTGCTGAGGCAGCTGAGCTATGGTGAACAGATCCAAGAATACATTCGTGCGCTGTGTGCTCTTGTGCTGTCTGCTAGCCCATGTTGCAACATCATGTGGCGCGTGAACTTGGCAGCTTGAGCAACATTTGGAAGGCTGCTGAAGACAAGGCCCCTGGCAACTGACTCATCACTGACGTGCGAAATCACGCAGCCCTGGCATGCCCTGGCCGACCTGGCATGGAAGGCACAGCTGCCATCTGCGCCTCAGGTTGACCCGTAGTCCCCTGCGCTCACCTAGCTTGAGCGGAGGCTGAGGCTGGCACACTTGACACCATGCGCACGGCTGAGCCATTCCGAGCCATTGGAGAAGCCATGTTCATCGCTAATTCCGAAACCCTACACCCTGTTTGACTGCTGCATTTCTGCTACAACCTGCCCAACCAGCAAAAACAACCCAGTGCTTTGACTACGGGGCCGCAGAAAAGCCATGCTCATCCTTAGCGTTTTATGCTTTTTTGCCCTTTCTTGCATCACGGACCATGGAAGCGCTTACGTGATGCTAACACGCTGCGGGCCAACAGCAAGGGCCATATTTTCGACAAGAAGCAAGAATGCCAAGCATCAGCCATCAAGAGATTGACAAGAACTGCAAAAAAAGAACCAACAAATTGTCGATCCGACTGTGAAAGTCACGGTGCCTGATCACTTGCAAGATGGTTTATGTTGCATATGTTGCTACAGGGCTTCTAATGCGCGGCTTGGGGTGGGACAACTTTTGCAGGACGTGCTTTTGTTGCTAGAAGACCCGGGTATGAGCCATCCCTTCACCAGAGATGATTCAGTTGGAGTCACGGACAAAGGCCAAGCGAACTTCGTTTGATGCGTGGGCCAGGAAAGGTACTACCTCGTCAGGAACTTTGGATGGCATCGAGGCGTTTCGCCGGCTCAGGGCACAATCATGAGCATGCTACGAGGACAGGGCTTGATGTGTGAAGCTTTTCTCTTAACCCTCCACATGCCATTCCTGATGCTTACTTGAAACCTTCCTCTTTCCTCACACTTCTCGCCCCACTTTAAGTTTACTTAGTACCGTGTGTAAAATTAACACCAAAACCCCATTCAAGATTGTGAAGGCCTTCAAATTAACACCAAAACCCCTTTCCTGATTGTCAAGGCCTGCTTTCTTACAACAGGGAGAGGGCCGACTGTAGGGGGTCTAGGGTTTCTGGTTTGTGCGCCAGAAAAGGGGAACTGAGAACAGGATGTCTGAGACGCAGGGGCTTGACGAGGTGCCGGGAAGGGCTGGCGCAAGGTGCAAGCAGCGCTTTGACATCTGGGTCTATAACCGGAAAAAATAACCGATACACAAGAGCCCAAGGGACACATACTGCAGCAAGCAAGTTTACTTGCTCGAGCTTTCCGTCGCATCCATCTCGGCTTGCTGCCCCAAAACTGAAGTGTAGCCAGTGTAGCTGTGACACGAGCCATACGCAAAGCACAGCCAAAGTTGAATTAAGATTGCAAGTCTTTACACAGGCTTCAGCTCAAAAGATCCTACTTGACCATCCTGGTCAAGCTGAAGCATGCTGAAGCCTTTGATGGTGAATTTCGGGGGATTGTCAGAGGATGCCAACCTTTGCGGAGTCCAGCTTCCTCAGATCGGAAGCTTTTGGCCAGTGCAAGAAATGATCAGTGCATCTGTCCCGTAGAATCGCCCTCATGGGTAGACCGGAGCTTCTGCCGAGGCCACAGGCGAACAGGAGCATCGGGAAAAGAATGCCTCCGCCAGCGACTGCACCCGCTCCGCCGAGTAGGTCGTGCCATTCAAGGTGTAGGTGGAGCCGGGGGGGCAGGCAACGATTGCGGAACAAGCAGGACGCTCGCAGGAGCTCGGGCATCCGATCTCACGAGGGCAGTTCGCGTAGGCTGCCTCCACGGCTTCTTGGCAAGTACCTGCACCCATCACTGCTTTCACGCAGCTCAGAGCCCACGCAAGGAAGAAGATGCGCGACATGGCCATACTTTGCGAGCCGGGATGTTGGCAGCACTGAGACAGCAGCTTTTGAGCCGAAAACTATGGGTGCTTCCCACTGGCCCTGCGTCAGCTTCAAACATCGCCCTGCGAAACCCGAAGGCACGCTGAGCACAACCATCATGACTACGATTGTCATGGTGTTGCTTTTCGACCGCTTCCGTTACTTGTTTTTTTTTTTTTTTCCTTCGCACCTTTTTCCTTTTTCCGCGCGCAAGGTCGATGCCGTCCGTCGTAGGGGCGGGGGGTAGGGGTGAAGGGCCGGCTCACCGCATCCCCAACCTACTGGGCGGCGCTTCTGGGGCCTGCGCCTTTTTTGTTTCTGCTACTTTTCGTGCGCCAATCATGCCACGGTCGTCCTCACAACAACCAAGCCCGAAGTGGAAAAAAATAGCTTTCATGCAATTTTGGCGCACTGCTCAACGGCCCAACACCTAAAAAACACCTGAATCATGCACACGTTTTGCACCCAATTATACACCCAGGCTAGCGCAAGGCAAGAAGGCAACCCCTCCACTGCGTCAGCAGCGCCGCCATCCGATCGGCAACACACGGAGACCCAAAGCGAGCAGTGCCGTCATCTGCTTTGCACCACACTGTGGACGCACCGTGAGAAGCACAGCATGACATGACACCACTCAGCCATGGCAGCACTGCCGACGCCATGGACGCGGCATCCGTTGTAGCAGCAGCAACATCAAGCCATCGCTTGCCGTCATCTACATTGCCCCACATTGAAAACGCACAGTGAGCATATCGTGCCGTCATCTGCTTTGAGCATGTTGCGCATGAACATGGGGTCGAGAAACAAGTATGGCGTTGCCACTTTCTTTTTTCTCACGCCTATTCTGGGCCTGCGCGACTGCAGTCTGGTCGGCACGACAGCTGCTCCGCCAGCAGGTCGCCGACTGGCACTTCGGCACCGTCACCGGCGTCGACGGGGCACACCGGCAGCTCCAACAACGTTGGGCTCTCAGCGCCGCCAGCGAAGCGAGACCCGTCCAACGGTGAGCCAACGCACGCCCCGCTGCACCCGAGCTCCACGCAACGTGTGTCGGGCTTCATGCCCGTGCCAAACACCGTATCAAACCGAGTGCCCTTTTTTTTTTTTTTTTTTTCGCGCACCTTTTTTCCACCAGCTCCGCGCACGTCCCGGTTCAGGGCTGTTGGTTATAGGGGTCAGCCTCCCCGGTTCGAGCCGGCATGCGGCTCGCGAGAGGCGGGGCCTCGGAGTAGCGGGCCTCTGCGAGGACCTCGATGACATCGGGCGCGGGCCCGTCGACGTTGTCGGTGCAGGCGACGGGCAGCGCGAGGAGGGTGGCCGCGAAGGTCCGGGCTGCGGAAATGGCGAGAAGCGAAGGCGCTGGTGGCCTAGGCCCGGAATGCTGCCGGGACCGCCCGAGCCCGACATCGAGCGAACAAGCGCACGAATCGCGCTGCTTCGGGGCTCCAGCGGCCTCCAACCTCGATGGCCAGGACGACGAGCCGACAGCGAGCCGACCAGACGAGCTCGGTGTAGGCGTGCTTTTTGGAGAGGCGCGCAAGTCGGAGCGCCGCGCCCTCCTCGCGGCGCTGGTGGCGCCGCGGTCGGCCGCGCGAGTCGACGGCAAACACGAGCGTTGTATCGACCGCGAGCTGCGCCCCGTTCCACAGCGGCAGACCATTGGCGATGACGGCAATACGACGCTCATCGTTCCGGTAGCCGCCGTTGGTGAGGTCCCGGCGCGGCTGCGCAGTAGCCCGGATCGCGGACACGCCGCCCTGTGATCCCCAACCTGGTCCAGCCGTCTGCGGCACCGACAGTGGGCGGCGTCGAGCGGGAGGGGCAAGCGCAACCTGTGGAGGAGGAGAACCCGAACGAGGCGGAGTCCAGCACGAACTCCGGGGCTGTGGGCATAGCCGTGAATACCCGGGACGCGAATGGCCCGGCTTGCGACTGCAGCAGGGCGGGAGCCCGGGTCGCTAGCCTCGGTGTGGCACCGTGCGGCGGCCTGGTCGACTGCTTGGGCGGCGCGCCGTTGCCATCCGCGTGTGAGGTCGGCCGCCGGGTCCGTGAGGGGCTCTGCCAGCATGGGCCCCGGTGCTTCAAACCCCGCATCACTCAAGCTCCGCGCAGCCTGTAGGAAGGACCGGCACGCGTTTTTTTCTCTCCTCTTTTTGCCACGAGCTCCGCGCAGGTCCCGGTGCAGGGCTGTTGGTTGTAGGGGCCAGCCTCCCCGTTCAAGCCGGTATGCGGCTCGCAAGAGGCGGGGCCTCAGAGTAGCGGGCCTCTGCAAGGACCTCGCTGACGTCGGACGCGGGTCCGTCGACGTTGTCGGTGGAGGCGACGGGCAGCGCGAGGAGGGTGGCCGCGAAGGTCCGGGCTGCGGAAATGGCGAGAAGCGCAGGCGCTGGTGGCCTGGGCCCAGAATGCTGCCGGGACCGCCCGAGCCCGACATCGAGCGAGCAAACGCACGAATCGCGCTGTTTCGGGGCTCTAACCTCGATGGCGAGGACCATGAAGCGAGCCGACCGGACGAGCTCGTGGCAGGCGCGCTCCTTGGAGAGGCGCGCAAGTCGGAGCGCCGCGCCCTCCTCGTGGCGCTGGTGGCGTCGTGGTCGGCCGCTCGAGTCGACGGCAGACACGAGCGTTGTATCGACCGCGAGCCCAGCGGCGGACCATTGGCGACGACGGCAACACGACGCTCATCGTTCCGGGAGCCGCCGTTGGTGAGGTTGAGGTCCCGGAGAAGCGCGTGGGTGACAACGCGAGCCCCGGCCTCGCGGCAAACCCGAGCAGCTGCGCGCTCTAGCGGACACCCGCGGCTGCGCAGTAACCCGGATCGCAGACACACCGCCCTGTGATCCCCAACCTGGTCCAGCCGTCTGCGGCACCGACAGTGGGCGGCGTCGAGCGGGAGGGGCAAGCGCAACCTGCGGAGGAGGACGAAGTCCGGGGCTGTGGGCATAGCGAAGACAGCCTCGGTGTGGCGCCGTGCGGCGGCCTGGTCGATTGCTTGGGCGGCGCGCCGTTGCCATGCGCGTGTGAGGTGGGCCGCCGGGTCCTTGAGGGGCTCTGCCAGCGTGGGCCCCGCTGCCTCAAACCCCGCATCACTCAAGCTCCGCGCAGCCTGTATAGGAAGGACCGGCACGCGCCTGGGGCGGCCTTTTTTCTCTCCTCTTTTTGCCACGAGCTCCGCGCAGGTCCCGGTGCAGGGCTGTTGGTTGTCGGAGCAAGCCTCCCCGTTCAAGCCGGCACGCGGCTCACAAGAGTCGGGGCCTCAGAGTAGCGGGCCTCTGCAAGGTCCTCGCTGACGTCGGGTGCGAACCCGTCCACGTTGTCGGTGGAGGCCACGGGCAGCGCGAGGAGGGTGGCCGCGAAGGTCCGGGCTGCGGAAATGGCGAGCAGCGCGGACCAGAGGTGGCCTGGGCCCGGAACGCTGCCGGGACCGCCCGAGCCCGACATCGAGCGAGCAAGCGCACGAATCGCGCTGCTTCGGGGCTCCAGCGGCCTCCGACCTCGATGGCGAGGACGATGAAGCGAGCCGACCGGACGAGCTCAAGTCGGAGCGTCGCGCCCTCCTCGAGGCGCTGGCGGCGTCGTGGTCGGCCGCTCGCGTCGACGGCAGACGCGAGCGTTGTATCGACCGCGAGCTGCGTGCGCCCGGACCACCCGCGCGAGGCCTTGCAAACTGCGCATGCAGATGAGGTCGCTGCGCATCTCGCCCTGCTTTCTCACACGCTTGCCTGGGGCGCCTTTTTCTGTTGCCCCTTCCTGGCCTTTGCTTTGCACGCTTTGCCAAAAAAACTTGGAAAAAAACTTGGGGGTCCGCCCCATCGCGGTCGGGGAGGTTCTACGACGCCTTCTTGGCAAGCTCCTTTGTGAAGCCGTGCGTGAGGAGGCACGCAAATGCCTATGGCCTCAGCAGGCCGGTGTTAACAGCCACGCGCTGGCCGCTGGCATGCCCGCGCTCAAGGCTGCTGGTGCGCCGGGCCAAGGTGGTCCAAACGTCGTGGGTCCGGATCATTCCGGATCGTGGAACAATCGGTCCCAAGGGACAAGCTACCCTCGTCTCGCCCTTTCAACAGCCGCACGCGTCCGGAGATCGCGCGCCGCAGACCTTCCTGTGAGCATTTTTTTTGGTTTTATTTTTTAACACGCCTTTTTCTGTGGGCCACAGTCATGACTCAAGGCCGCTGTTTGGCCACTACGGCGGCGCTGCGAGGAGCTCTCCCAGTGGCGGCTCGCCGCCGTCACCGGCCTCGCAGGGTCGCACCGGCAACTCCAGCAAGCTCTGCGCGTGCGCCCGCAAAGCGGCCAGCGACGCGAGGGCTGTCCAGCAGCGCAGCAGTTTAAGTACTTGGCTCACGTTTTGATGCCTTACATACATGTCATAACATCCGTGAATCAAGAGTGATTGCATATGATTGCATCAGACTTGCTTTGGCAACGCCTTGGCTCAAGTGACCGGGTGAAAAAACGCTTGCTACGTCAGAGCTGTGCTTGATTGAGCTGTGACCAACACAGGGTTATCAGCCGTAGCTGTAGGTGCCATGGCGACGGACAATGCGACATCAGGACGCATCTACATTAAAGATCTGCCAGAGACTGGTTCTGATTATGACGGGTGGCGCTTCACTTTGAAGAGTCACATCTTGCGTGTAGCGCCGGACCCAGTGGCAGCCATGGCTTACGTCAGAGAGCTTGATGATGAAGCGGTTTCCTTTGGCGATTTGGCGTCAAACTTGTCAGTAGACATGAACAAAACAGACGTGAATGTTTTCGCAACGGTGGTTGACGTGAATGTTTTCGCAACGGTGGTTGCCGCATGTCAGAACGGCAAGAAAGGACTGGAGATCCTCAAGCTGATACAATCACGTGCACAGTTTGTTTTTTTTTTTCTCTCGGCTCTTTTCCCGCAAGCGATTCGTTATGTTTGGTTGTGGTCGTCAGGCTGTCCGCATCGTTGATCAGCGGCACTTGCATGAGTCAACGCATTTAGCCACGGAGGCTAACACCAAGATCCAAGAGCTCAGTTGTTCTTTTTTTTTGCGCGCCTTTTTCCGTCAGCCAGGAAGTTGTTCTGGATTGTCGGAGCTTGACAGCTACATGGCATCTTTCTCGTTGTTTCGTCACCAGATGGGTTCCGGCGAGCATAGGCTCACGAATGCTGGGGGCATTGCGCTTCTGAAGCGCAAACTCAAAGACATCAAAGAACTGGATGCAACTTGTGCCGTTTTCTATGCCAGCAATTCTGTGGATTTAGACGCCTTGATCTATGCCATCAACGGATTGATTGCACATCACTCGGAAGAGATAGAAAGGCGAAAAACGCAGAAAAAGGCTGCAGCAGCCAAGGTCGCTGCTGCCGCGGCGGCTGGCGGCAAGTCTCAGGGAGGCAAGGGCAAGCACAAGCGCAAGAAAGGCAGTGACAAACCGTGTGAACATTGCCACAAGCCCGGACACACAGCGCAAACGTGCTGGTTGAATCCAAAAAGTTCCGCTTACAGGCCGGACTTCGCGGCCAAAATTAATGGCAGCAGTGCCTCTTCGTCCAATGGTGGGCGGTCTGCGCCGCCTGGTTTGGGAGCTGCGTCCATTGGGGCTCGGACTGGGCCTGCAGTTCCGACAGATGTCCTCACCAAGGCGTTCTCGGAGTTCCTCACCAAGCGGTTCGGTGGTTCCGCATGGCTTGCCGATATCGGGCCGAACGCACTTCAGCAGTTTGCGGGCGCAGCTTGGGCTCTGGATTCTGGGGCCACTCAATTCTGCATCATGGGCGAAAATGCCGATGATGCCATGTGGGAAACCGTGCAAAGTGCAGACTGTGATCTCGACACAGGGGCTGGGACGGCTCGGCCAACAGCAATGGTAGACGCCATGGTTGGTCCGCTTCTCTCACTGTTCCGGGCGGCGTGCCACAGCAAACTTGCTGTTCGGGGTCGCGTCCGCGTTGGCCCTCTTTGCTCCGCACCGCTCGCCCGAGCCTCCGAGCGTGAAGATGGGCCGGAGCCGGAGCACCGTGGTCGCGACCCACGCCTTGACGAAGCCATCGCCATTGTGTTGGCGGCCATAAGGGCCGTGGCTGAGGCCGCGGCAAGGGCCCCGGCAAGGGCTCCGGCAATTGGCAAAGCAGCCGCCGCTGGGGATGAGCCATGGCGTCTGACGAGGCCTTCTGCCGGCAGCCAACCTGAGCCGTGCCAGACAGTAGCAGGTTTTCAATGCGCTGACCTTTTTTTGCGTGGCCGGCAAAAGCGTGACCTAGGCTCTCGAGTTCAGGAGGGCTGCGGGTCGGGGAGGGACGCCAACGTAGAGTGCCGTGTCCTTGGGCGGGCGTGCGCGTCGGAAGCGAGCCACCCGGGCCCACCGGATGAGACTGCACAGGTAGGCAGGCAGCGTGAGCGGGCGTGGCGGGCCTTACAGGCCGTCGTGACAGGAGAAGAACCCCCAGGTCCAGATGGGAACACCGGAGTTCGCCACGCCCACCGGCTCGCCCCTAGGCTCGCCCCGCGTGCCTGGCCCCGACGCAACAAGTGCATGGCAAAGTCGGGGGGCGCCAACCACCCACGGGCAAGGCACACTGTCCAGTTACTACGTGCCGCTTTTGCTTCATGCCGCGGGGCTACTGGAGGGCGAAGCAGCCCGAGCGTGGGAGTCGTTTGGTTTCGTGCCAGCCGGGCTGCCTTGGGGAACCGCCCGCGGATGCCACTCCAGGAGCTGGAAGAAGCTGTGGCCCAGCAGGCGCGGGCAGGTGCCAGCGCCACAGAGAGGCAGAGGCATTCCGTAGGCTCCGCTCAGCGGCGCCGTCGGCGGGCGTCCCCCTTCAGGTCGCCGTTGCCGCACTCGCTTCCCCGGACTCCTATTTGCCAGCAAGCGCGCAAGAGGCTCTCCTTGTGTGCTATGCGGGGAGGGGGGGGCCGCGGCGATGGCGCATGGGGCCGCGGCCTTCCCGCGGCCTGTTGGCGTGACAGACGACGGTGGTCTGGCTGGGCGCGACGTGGATGCCTTGATTGCCGGAGTCGCCGCCCGCGCGGCGCAGATGCGAAGACGGGGAAAACGCGGTCGGGAGGCCGTGGGAGGGGACGGCGGAGTATAACCCCGCGGCCGCTACGGCTACGGCGGCGGTCGCCCCCTCGCAAATCGTGACCTACCCACCGCGCCGCAGCCCACGCCGAGGACTTGGGCCGCCGAGTCGCCCTCCCAGCGCTGCTCCCGCGGCTGCGTGATGTCGATCTCGAGGAGGAGGTTACCCGCCCAGCGTTTACATTCCAAGCCCCGCCCCGGCAGCTCCGGGGCGTTTTGCGGAACGCGATGCGTGTCGCACTCGAGGCAGTGCGGGACGCAGAGGGCGCGGGGGAAATGGATGGGTGGCCTGCGGGGCACGCTACTTTGGAAGGCCTCCTTCCGTTCGCGGCACTCTTCTATGGGCAAGCCAGCTGCTACGTGTTTTATGACGAAGGGGGCGGGGCACGACGTGTGGGGAGCAGGGTGACCCCCTGTTGCCGGGGCTGTATGCGTTGGGACAGCACTCGGCCCTGCTCTCCATCCACGCCCAACTGCTGCCCACGGAGAGGCTACACGCATTCCTCGACGATGTGTACATCACGAGTAACCCGGAAAGGACGGTCCCCGCGTTACACATTGCTCGGGAAGCTCTTGGCACGCGGGCAAATGTTCAAGTCCACCTTGGCAAGACCAGGGCTTGGAACGCGGCCGGGGAGGAACCGCCGGGGCTGGTGGAGGCTGTGCCCGTAGCTGCGCACGAACCCCTTGCTGGACCGGCAACTGGGCACTGCCGCCGGCCCAGCAAGGCCTCATCGTTCTCGGCAGCCCCTTCGGTAGCCGCGAGTTCCTTCGCTGGCAGAAAGGCATTTCAAGCATGACGAGCTCCTGGCCCGTCTCCCTGCCATGCAGGACATGCAGTCCTGCTACTCCTGCTGTACGCGGCCCCGCAAAGCCAGTACCCCCTCCGCACGGTGCCGCCGAGCGTCACGTACACGTTCGCCACCGAACCCGACTCAGCAGCCCTGCCGCTGCGCATTGGTGGCCTCAGCCTTGCCTCCGCGGCGGAGCATCGGCATGCGGCTTACTGGGCATCCTGGGCGGACACTGCGGACACATTGGCCGAGTTGATGCGGCCGATGGTGGCGGAGGAGGCGCCCGATGTCGCGCCCAGCGCCAGGGAGGCCCAGCAGGCGGCCAAGCTGTTGCGAACGCTTGGCCTCGACGTGCCGACATGGGCCGTGTTGTGCGAGGGAGCGCCCAAGCGGCCGGCCCACCGGCCCGTAAGGGGTGGCAGCGGTACGCCAGCGCCTCTGTCGACCAGCGCGGTTTCGAAACGCTTTTCAGTGACCTTGATCCTGCGTCTCGTGCGCTGCTGCTGTCGCAGGGGGGGGATGGGGCCCACTCGAGCGGGCAGCGGCGCGCATCTGCCGAGAGGCCGGAGCACGCGTGGCGGCCAGCGTCGCCCTCCGCGATCTCAACGTCGACGTCCCTGCCACAGACGAGCGCCGCATCGAGGTCGTGGCCAACGGCCTGCCCCTGTGGCGCGGCGCCCAGATCGCGGTCGACACGACGCTCGTCAGCCCACTGCAGAGGTGCGGAGAGCCCCGTCCAGGGGCCGACGTTGAGCCCGGTTGCGCGCTTCGCCACGCCGAGGCGCGCAAACATCGCACGTACCCGGAGCTGCAGGCTGGCGGGCAAGGGCGTTGTCGGTTGGTCGTCTTCGGCATGGAAGTCGGAGGACGATTCAGCCCCAACGCCCTGGCCTTCATCCGCCGCCTGGCGTGGGCACGTGGACAGGCGCGTGCGCCGTGGAATGCGGCCGCGGCCGGCCGGGCGCTCACCCGGCGGTGGCATTGCCTTGCGTCAGTGGCGGCACTGCGCGCACGCGCGCAAACGCTGCTTGAGCTGCCGGTGCAGTCGTGCGACGCGGGGGATGACCAGGAGCTGCCGCTGGGAGAGTTGCTCGCCGAGCCCCCAGGGCAGCCGGACTGTGAGCCCTGACGGTAGCCCCGACCCTTGAACCCAGGACAGCGGGTGCAAAAAGGAGCGAGAAAAAAAATCAACATGGCATCGATGGGCGAAACTTGTGCTGAGATGGGGTATCATTTTTACTGGCCGGCTTGGTCGGAACAGCCGCATTTCTGGCGTGATGGTGGTTCCAACGAGGTGCCGCTCACCATGGTCAATCGAGTCCCATTCTTGTTACGACCTTACTCGTGGATGGCAGCGCCTGGCGGCCCGGGCCGTGGATGACTTCTGCCACCGTGCACTCCTGCGTGAGCTCGACCCGTCCTCCATCGCCTTGCTTGAGTCACAGGCCGGCCCATTTGCTGCCAGGGTACTCACAGCGCGCCCCACATCCCCGGAGTTGACGCTCGACTCCCCGTAACATGTAGCCCCAGTCTTCCGTTCGACGAGGCTTCATCACACAAGAACAGTCTGTAACTTCGCGAGAAGAGCGCGGTCGAATCTGCATGCAATCAGAGGCACGCTTACTGGTCCGTCATCCCGAACGTTGTTGGATCTCAGAGCGTCGGGTCCATCAGTTCCTACTTGCGGAGTTCGTCGTCACCACTTTCAGTTGGATTCTGATTGTGATCTGTGGCAAGAAATGCGAGTCTGGGGAGTTGGGTTAGAAGACCGTGCTTCTGATGGGAAAAGTGGGTTCTCCTGAAATTCGACAGTGTGAGAGACAATTCGTAAGCCAGACGCTGGTAGTGCTCCGTTACACGACTCCTGCCGAAACATCATGCAACCAGGTTCCCATGCCCATTTTGCTTTCGTGCTTGCCGGATCCACATGTGATGGGGGTATCTCGGCTTTGCTTCCTCTGCTGCGTTGCTCAGCGAGTTGGCTGACTAGCCACACCGCACGCGCCGGTCATGGCCTTGGCGAAGCATGCCAGAATTCTGAAAGCGTGGAGTCGTTGCTCCTCCCCACACAAATACCACATCTGCTGCCATTGATGCCATGGCGGTGATGGGTGACGCTTCAGTGGTTCGGCGCCGCACTTTCACTGCCCTGCTCCACGGTATTTGCTCTGGGTGTCCCAACATGAGCGAATGGGCAGATTTCAGACAACCCGACCTCTCTTTGATGGTGCTGCCATGTCTCTACTGTATTTGCCATTGGCTTGCCCGCGTATCTGCTCCCCGACCCTCAGTGGGGAAGGGTTGATGCAGCACACCGCGGCATGCTGTTTTGACTGACTTGGCATCGACGGACACTCAAACCCTAGGATCCTCAATAGGCACACAGACAGCCCCTCTGCGGGGACCTAGCTTTCGTCCGCCCTGCTCTGAAGTTACAGCTCACGCAAGGGTGATAGCGACGGCCACGATTCCAATGGACTGCGTCGTTGATCTTGCAATTTCGAACCATGGCAATGGGCATGTTGCCGTCGAAGTCAGCATGGTGAACACAGCCACGAAACACGCCACGGTTTCCGTCGTGTAAGTTTTTGCTGCTACATGCTAGAGTACGGGGCCAAGAGCATGCGACAAAGAAGCCGTGGTCATTTGCCGAATAACTCGTCAAAGCATGTAGCGACTCCTTTTTTTCCGCCAAAAGGAGAAGTGAATGCGGGTGAGAAGCTCCGAGCTCCGTGTGTTTCGGGCATCAGCAACACAGAAAGTTCAAGTCTTGCGCAAGCCGACACAGCTTCTTCGATTCGTGTGACATCATGGCACTAAGCCTGTCCACTTCTTGACGAAATGTGATTCTCGGACGATTGGTGCAAGCGAGCAGAATCCCAAGTAAGGACGCGAGATGAACCTGCAGCTCCACATCCGTCTCGTTAAAGAAGAGACTGAACACTATCTTGATCAAGCGCTCCAGCTGCATCCGCCCCAAAGCGCGGTAAGACTGTCGAATCAGATCGCACGCGAAGTACTTGCGAAACTTGTCGCTGTTGGGCCCCGATTCCGATGCCATCAAGTTGACCATGGCCTCGCCGACCAGGCATCGAACCGCTGGGAAGGAAACGGAGCATTCAAGAAGAGCCAGGTGCGTGTGCATGTAGATGTCAGGGTCTGCGTCGTTGCAGTGGGCGAGAAGTAGCTTGGCAATGCAAACGGCATCACCCTCGCAGAGGTATCGGGACCGGAGACCGCGGCCCATCTCCACCAAGCACCAGGTGAAACCTAGCAGCACGCACCAACGTAAGCCAACACAAGCCAAAATTAAGCCAACACCAAAATGTGGGAACCCGAACTGGTCACCTCTCTGCGTCTTGTGCTGAGGGGCTGTCTCGCACCTTCAGGTCCGGAGCTCTCATCCCGCTGTATCTGCTGTGCGCTCCGGCGTTCATCCAGTGAAACCAGGCGACCACGGTCCAAGACCTGCCGGGGGAGTGTCTAGGCAAGCCGGGTAGCGTCTGTCTTGGACAGACTGGTCTTTGCACAACTGACAGCCATGGCACTGGTCAAACAGGGCGCTGTCGACCAGATGCTTCACCACAGCCTGCCGCCGGGGAACTACAACGAATGCCACAAAGTCATGTTGCAGATTCGATGAAAGGTCTGGACTAATTTAATGGATTCTTGTTGCTTGTGGTGTTTGTTGTCGGGTTTTGCGAATTGTCTTTCCGTGGCTCTTGCTCGTATGCGGCACCCTCGTGGGTCTAAAAGCGTGAACTGCCTAAGGCCCTCCCAGGTCTCCGGATTCTTCGGGTTCTTTGTCGGTCAAAACCTACGCCATTTGTCTAAAGGTCGAGCACGTTTGTGGCAACAGGCCGTGCCTGGGTGAATTATGTTGCACCAGGGTCCGGCACGTTTAACATGAACATGTCCGGATGAAGGCAGTTGCGCGGCGTTTTGGGCTGTCAAGGCTCGGGGAACAGGAGCAAGGCGAGGCTTTTCTGTGTTTTTTGTTCTCTTTCAGTATGAATACCGTTCTTTCGTTTATCTTTACACTTTGCCTCTTCTTCTTCTCCCTCTTGGCCCTTTCCGTGCAGAACTGTCCTTCTTCTTATTGCGATCATGTTTTTTCGTTTTCTTTCTTGCTTATTCTTCTTATTGTTTTTGCTATTCCTCTCGTGCTTCTTCTGCTTCTTTGTATTCTTCTTCTTCTTCTTCTTCTTCTTCTTCTTCTTCTTCTTCTTCTTCTTCTTCTTCTTCTTCTTCTTCTTCTTCTTCTTCTTCTTCTTCTTCTTCTTCTTCTTCTTCTTCTTCTTCTTCTTCTTCTTCTTCTTCTTCTTCTTCTTCTTCTTCTTCTTCTTATTCTTCTTCTTCTGCCTTCTTCTTCTTCTGCACTCCTTTGACCCTCACATCGAACATGGAGATTGGGGCCTATCTTTATGGAGATTCGCTGTCTGTCTCGTTGCCTTCTTTTCTTATTCGTTCTTGGGTGTCTCCATTGCACCATTTGCAGCAGACGGTAGCGCCCGGTAGGGCCAAGGGCAGCCCCACTCGCGCACCTTCTTGAGGTGGCGCATCTGCTGAGACGTTTGAAGCAAATTGAGCAGCTCCTGCACCTCATTTCTGCGGTGCGCTTCTTACGTTTCTGGCTCTCACGCCCGAGCGCAGATTTTCAGGCCCCAGGAGCAACGGAGGAGTCTGAAGTTTCTCCAAGGGGCATGCAGGCACTCGTACAAGAAAGGCCTGGACCACGCCATAACTCGTTCGTAACCCATCTCAGCGTAGACATCCTTTACTTACAAAACTTTGCATCAAGCTAAGCCAGGCGACCAGGGCCAGTAAAGAAGGTGCGGACATCCATCACGGGCCTCCCGCGACCCCCGCGTACACAGACATCTGCAAAGAGAATCAAAAACCAGGGTAACCAGAGGGCGGACCCGGTGACCCCGCCTGAGGCTCAGCGTTCGGTAGGTCGGGCACCAGCCTGGTGGCCCAGTCCACAAGTGCCGCTTACAAACAGCTCGCAAGTTCCGATTTCGCTGGTCATTACTTTTTTGGTCCTCGGTTAAGGCACGCCCAGGGCACGCCTCTTCCCAGGGTCATGTATCTTGTCGCCGATGCCAGGCAAAAGCGAGGAGAGGGTCGAGACCGCCAGTTCAATCGCAGCTGTTTGAGATTCGATTTGAAGTCGCACCTCCCGCAAACGCTGATGGGCGTGCTGGAGGTTGCAGGGCGTTGGCTCGTACTGGCAAGATGCCGCCATCGCGCTGTCTTGCTTGGGATGGTGCACACAAAGAGTGGAGAGCCCAAGCCGCGATCTCAGCTTCAAAGCCCCGCAATGCTACAAACGTCCGGGCGCAGTGAGTAGTCGAGTAGTCTGCACGCTGCATGGCAAGGCTAAGGAGCCTTTCCTGGCAGATGTGAAACCCCGAGCTTTCATGTTCTTTCCTCTGAGAAGCGGCTGCGAGAAAGCACGGCCAATGACTTCCATCCAGTTCAGATGAGCAGAGGTGCAGGTTCCACAGAGCACGAACATGCACATGATTCCGTAGCAAATTTTGCTCAAACGGTTTACTTGTGTGTTGGTTCTTTAAAGCTAGCTCTGAAGGGTAGTACAGAGCCTATCAATCTCTCTTGTCAGCCACATGGACACCCAGAACACACGTGAAGCTCTCTTCACCTCGCTTCCGCATATGTGCTGAGCAAGGTTCCACGGCAGCACTGCGTTCGATCATCCCTGTGGCCCGCCATGGCGGGTTCAGGCTCACCGGCTCGCCGTACTCTCCGCGCAACGTCAAGCTCGCCATCCTGGGAGGCCTGCCTTCACGTGCAATGTAAAACCTGAAGCTTAGGATCGTCTCATTAGTCAGGAGCCTGCACCTGCATCAGCATGTACTCGAACTGACCTTGCTACCCGCACATCATTTGGCCGCATGCTCTGGTACAACGACAACAGAACCGTCTGAGTTCCGTGCATCGGACTCCACGGAACGTGTTAAAGCGAAACCGTCCCCTGCAGCAGAAACGCTTGAAAACTCCATCGGCTCCACATGGTAGACAAGTGAACTTAAGTAGTAACTTCCGAAAGAAAAGCCTCCTCTGCCAGATAGCTTAGCTTCTCTTGAAGCCTGCAGTACAGGCAAGACATGGTGAGCCTGCAGCTACGTGCAGCAATCAGTTTCGTGCCTGAAGAACGCGGGCGTGAAGTCACTTCCTGGCACTTCAAAACGACAAGACAAACATTCTCCGCACATCTCCGCAAGACTTTGATGAAGATCAGCCGAGGGACCCTCGCCGTAAAGTGGTGGTGCATGTGCCGCCGGAGCTGATGCCGAGGCACTCGGCGCTTGGAACTGTCACGGGTCTTCAGAATGGCACAGCAAGGATGCCAAGAATGCCACTGTGAATGCCACAATGGATGCCACTGGCACATGAGTGCTGCGAAATGCTGCGACACAAGATGTGCGAGCATCTTCGGCATCTTGCGGCGCCTGCGCAGTGGAGGGCCCCGGTGCGGGTCGGCGCCACCGCCGCCGCTGGCTCTCCGCACGAAGTGCTAATGCCTGCGCCGCGCGCAACTCCCATCTACTCCCAGAAACTCCCATGGATCGTAATGGGTAACATATTTATTTAACCCCCCCACATATTTTTCCCACCCCCCGACATATTTTTTTAACCCCCCCACATACCTTCTCAACCCCCCAACGTACCTTCTTAACCCCCAACATACCTTCCTAACCCCCCCACATACCTTCTTAACCCCCCCACATACCTTCCGACCTGCCTGACTCCGAGCAGGAGCCAGGAGCAAGGAAGACTCGCCGCCGTGCACTGAACAACTTCGACTTTACGAGGCAGGGCTTAAGGCTGGGGCATTAGACTGGAAGTGTTAAGGTGTCTGGTTTATTTATCCTTAGCCGATTTTTTTCTCTTTAAGCAGAAGTCATGGATTTAATGCCCGTATCGATGGAGCCGCGGGACGAAGACGCGGCACTGCCCGTCCACTTCTCCGCTCCTCTACGTAGGGTCCTCCCACACGCAGCATCCAGGCAAGCCAACTCTCTCCCATCGCGCACTGCAAGCAGATGGGAGAGAGTTGGCTTGCCTGGATGCTGCGTGTGGGAGGACCCTACGTAGAGGAGCGGAGAAGTGGACGGGCAGTGCCGCGTCTTCGTCCCGCGGCTCCATCGATATGGGCATTAAATCCATGACTTCTGCTTAAAGAGAAAAAAATCGGCTAAGGATAAATAAACCAGACACCTTAACACTTCAAGTCTAATGCCCCAGCCTTAAGCCCTGCCTCGTAAAGTCGAAGCTGTTCAGTGCACGCCGGCGAGTCTTCCTTGCTCCTGGCTCCTGCTCGGAGTCAGGCAGGTCGGAAGGTATGTGGGGGGGTTAAAAAGGTATGTGGGGGGGTTAGGAAGGTATGTTGGGGGTTAAGAAGGTACGTTGGGGGGTTGAGAAGGTATGTGGGGGGGTTTAAAAAATATGTCGGGGGTGGGAAAAATATGTGGGTGGGTGGGGACGGGGGGACGAGGAGAGGGGGGGAGAGGAGGGGAGGGCAGAGGAAGGGGGGGGGGGGGGTCGAAGAAACATGTGGGGGGGTCAAAAAAACATGAGGGGGGGTCGGAAAAGTGTGTAAGGGGGGTCAAATGAAGATGTGGGGGGGTGGAAAAAAATATGTGGGGGGGGGTTAAAAAAGCGTGTGGGGGGTCAGAGAGGCCACGGGGGGGTTAAAAAAATATGCCAGGGGTGGGAAAAATATGTGGGGGGGTCAAAAAAATATGGGGCCCGATCGTAATGGCATGCCAGGAGCCACAGAAGATGTTCCAAGAAAATGCCCCCGACGTGGCGGACCTCGCCGACCGCTCGAGCCGGGGGCCTGCCATCAATGTGGTGATACGGGAACCCTGGGAACCCGAATACCATGTCACATCCGGCTCCTGTCCGACAACAGCTCTGGAGCTGGAGCTCGATACGTTCGACCCAATGACCTTGGTGATCGGTCCCGAAATGAAAGCCATGCTGGCATGATGCACACCATCTTTCGCGCCCTGAGCCAGAGACCCTCGACCTGTCAGGCCCGCTAGGCATGGTGCCTTAAAGACCTTGTGGTTGCAACATGCTGCCAACTGGCTCATAGTGGCTCTACCTAAACCAAAGCTCTTGCACGTTGGGCGCCCACATCTGAAGATTGACATGGACTGGCAGTGATGACAGCAATGCTGCTTTGCCTGGACAACACATGCGATGACTCCTGTGTCACGTTTTACACACTCGACTCAACGTCACTCTCGGTGCTGGACCTTGCCGGTGGCTTTTGTGATGCTTGACCAAGAAAGCCCGGAAGTGTGCGCTGTCGCAACATGGGAGAAGCCGGTATGTCCACGATTGCCTAGGCCAGACAATGCACCGCAACACACGCAATCGCTCAATATGGCAGATTGGCAGATTTCCGCTGCTTCTCGCTTCGGCCGGATGTCTGGCAAGTTGCATGAGACGCATCAGTCCTCAAGCCCTGTACAAATCCAGCCGTTCGCGGTGTCGGAGAACCGACAGAGCTTTCACGAGGGGGTGGACGCGAGTAGACATGGAGGTCCTGCATTTTGAAAGGGAATGGAAGGGATACCATGCGATACCTGACGGCTGTGCTTGGGAGCGCTGGTAAGTCGATGCTAGCAGCGATTGTTACTGAAAGATGCGGCCTGGACGCTGATGCCTAAACATATGCCTTACTGGAATGTCCAAAAGAAGCTGGAATGTCCAAAAGAGGTAGACACGTCTGTCCGTTCTCCTCTCGAACCGTTCCATCTGCAATAGTCACCTCGCGGGAAACCGGCACCACCTCGTGTGAAAGAGATGGCACCCGCTCCTGCAGGGGCGCTCCCTATTTCAATGGACTTCAAGTGCCACGACATGTCGCTCTGTCCTGCGGCTGTGCTACCCGGACAAAGCGCTGTACTGGACGTACGGCAGCCTCTGGTGGCACAGCGGACACCTTCACAACAAAAGAGCGATTTGCATTTCTCTCGCCGCATGTCGCCAACAGGCGTTTCCTTCGGCAAGACGCGCCTTAGGAACTGGCACCGGGATGAAGCCACTTGGCCGCCCGGGCGTATAAGAAACGAAGCTCGTTGTGCCTGTCATGGGAAACTCATACTTGGACTCCCAGACCTACACATCTACATGTGAATGTTCTCAAGATTTCTCGACAGAGGCGCCAGCCTGGACTCAGGCGTGGGGAGACCAGCACACGCCGTGGAGTGTACCGCGGGGTGTAAACCGTAGAACCACAAGTTCCTCCAAGCTGACCTTCACCTTCACAACGATTGGCAAAAATCTTAAGAACTCAATCACACAAATTTGAAGAATCCCACCTGGAGTTCTTCGCGGAGATGTCAGCACGTGCCGGGGAGGATATCCAGTTGATCCCAAAGGGCCCCCGAGACGGCCATCACCTCTCAAGCGTTGATAAGCTCAACTCACCGAACCAAGTTGTCCTAGCAGAGCCAGCCCACTCCTACATCCTGATTACGATGCCTCTGCAAGCAAGGGCTGGATAAGCGTATGAGAAGCTCGCGAATGGCCTGCAACACAAGCGATGGGGGTTCAAGCCTGTCCTGAGAACCCAGCAAGCCCCAAGCAGCAGGACAAAGAAGGGAATCTCAATTCTGTGCTGCTGATCAAGGTGCGCATTTGGCGTCGATTTTGCCAAGGCTGGTGACGAGCTTCCGCTCATGGCCCCATCTGAAACCTACTTTTCCTATGTTTGGACATCTTGGCAGTTGTTGTCAGTCGGAGCACTCGTCTGGAAGGTGCCATCGCTGGTAAACCTACTCACCTGGGTAATACCTAGTACGATCATTGCCGAGGTTGGAGCACCTAACTCTGTGTCAAAAGCCGCGACAACTCAATCGGTTCAGTCCTTCGCATGAACGCAAGCTGGGACGGAATGGGACATATAACTTGAACACTGGTCGGCATGCGGTCGGCACAATGGAGAAACATGCGAAGCCCGTTCACACAGCCAAGCTGTCAAAAAACACCATCATATACCATCACTCCCTCCTGCAAGAGGGCTTCTCTTTTTCCTGGCCCCGGAATGTCTTTTTTCCGACCCCGCGACCTTTTTCAACCCCGGAAAGTCTTTTTTTTGGCCTCGGTCTTTTTCCAGGCCTCGTTACGGGGCCCAAAAAAAACAAATGTCTTTTTGACGACCCTGTTCGCAGCCGTCAAAGAAGGAACGACCGTCTTTTTCTCAACCCCGCAGCGTCTTGTGACCGACCCCGCTTCTTTTTCCGGACCCCGGAATGTTTTTTTTCAGCCTTTGCCGAACACACAAAGCTTCAAAAAGGAGGTGTAAAATGTTGCTGTAGCATTGCAAGCGAACAGGTGCAGTTCACAACTCTAAACTCTAAACCCTAAATCCCAAAACCCTAAACTCTGAATCCCTAAACCCCAAACTTTAAAACCTTAACCCCCAAAAGCTCCAAACGCTAAAGTTGAAGTTCGACCTAAACCCGAAATTGAGAACTAGGGGCTGGTTCCCTGGACAGGTAGGGGGGGCCGGCTTGTGATACAAGCACAGTCCCCCCAACCCCTGCTCATCTGCGAAATCTATCATACAAGCAGGGTCCGCCCAACCGCCCTGCTTGTCTGGAAACCTGTCAAACAAGCACAGCCCCTCTGCCTTTTGCGAAACCCGTCCCCCTACCTGTCACACAAGCACAGCCACCCCAGCCCCGCTGCTTATCTGCAACGCTTGTGAAACCTCTCATACAAGCACAGCCCCCTCAACCCCCAACCTGCCCCTCTGCCTATTTGGAAACCCGTCCCCCTACCTGTCACACAAGCACAGTCCTCTCAATTCCCTTGCTTATCTGCAACGCCTGTGAAACTTCTCATACAAGCACAGTCCCCTCAACCCCCCTGCTTATCTGGGGATATACAAGCACAGCCCCTCTGCCTTTTGCGAAACCCGTCCCCCTACCTGTCACACAAGCACAGTCCCCCCAACCCCCCTACTTATCTGCAACGCCTGTGAAACCTTTCATACAAGCACAGCCACCTCAACCCCCCTGCTTATCTGCAAAACCTGCCCCTTTGCGTCCCCCTACCTGTCACACAAGCACAGTCCTCTCAATTCCCTTGCTTATCTGCAACGCCTGTGAAACTTCTCATACAAGCACAGTCCCCTCAACCCCCCTGCTTATCTGGGGATATACAAGCACAGCCCCTCTGCCTTTTGCGAAACCCGTCCCCCTACCTGTCACACAAGCACAGTCCCCCCAACCCCCCTGCTTATCTGCAACGCCTGTGAAACCTTTCATACAAGCACCGCCACCTCAACCCCCCTGCTTATCTGCAAAACCTGCCCCTTTGCGTCCCCCTACCTGTCACACAAGCACAGTCCTCTCAATTCCCTGGCTTATCTGCAACGCCTGTGAAACTTCTCATACAAGCACAGTCCCCTCAACCCCCCTGCTTATCTGCAAAACCTGTCGCACTGCTTATCTGCGAAACCCGTCCCCCTACTTGTCACACAAGCACAGTCCTCTCAATTCCCTTGCTCATCTGCAACGCCTGTGAAACCTCTCATACAAGCACAGCCCCCTCAACCCCCCTGCTTATCTGCAAAACCAGTCGCACTGCTTATCTGCGAAACCCGTCCCCCTACCTGTCACACAAGCACAGTCCTCTCAATTCCCTTGCTCATCTGCAACGCCTGTGAAACTTCTCATACAAGCACAGTCCCCTCAACCCCCCTGCTTATCTGCAAAACCTGTCGCACTGCTTATCTGCGAAACCCGTGAGTTGCAACGCCCCTCGCCACATTCACTCACTTTAGAGGCGGCATCTTTTCGCATACTATGTTTGCAAGCGGGGGGGGCTGCGCGCCCCCCCCAGACCCCCCCCCTGGCAAAAGCCTCCCAACAAAAATCTTGAAGGGGGGCTTCAGGCTTCAACAAAGCTTCAAGGGGCTTTTGTGTTTATTTAGGGTTTGGGGTTCAGGGTTTAGGTTTCAGGTAAATATAACTTCTCCGCTACGACAACAAGAAACAAGGAGTTGAATTTAAAATGATTTTCTTCACTTCTCTGCCAAGGGGGTGAAATTTAGAACAATTTTCACCTTTTTGCCATGACAACCAGAAACAAGGGTGTGAAATTTACAAAAATTCTTCTCTGCCATGACAACAAGAAACAAACGGGTAAAATTTAGAATAATTGTCACTTCTCTGCCATGTTCTATAACTCCGATTCTCGAAGACTGAAACACTTAAGCAAAAAGAGGGCGGGTGGAATTTAGAGGAAACACGGGGAAAAACAAGAAACGAGGGGGGTGGAATTTGGAATAATTCTCTCTACCCCCACTTCTCCGACTTGATTCAGCAGTGTAAGAGGCGTAATACTTCCTGGCCCTTCTGTGGAGGGTTTTAGGCAGCACTTTAAGAGGCAAACACAAGCATTTGAATCCACTCAAACCCATGACGCGAGCAACGTGTTTGCCCCAACCCCCGGGCTTTTTTACCCAACCCTCCCGCTATTTTAAGCCGGGCAAGTTTGCGTGGAAGCATATGAATCATCTCCAAAACAAAACAAAACATGGGTTCTCGGCTTAGCCCCGCGCCACGTCACTGCACAAAGGAGTCGTCGGGCACGTGCAGGCCGCAGCCGCTTCCCCTAGCCTCACCTTGACCAAAGGCCCTCCTTGTTGTAAGCCGGGCAGGTTTGCTTCAAAGCATAGGAATGCTGGTTAAGCCCATAATGCAAGCATCGTGTTTGCGAATGGGGGGGGCTGCGCCCCCCCCAACCCCCCCGCTTTTTTAAGCCGGGCAAGATTGAAATGTATGTTTAGAGTTTCACTTCTCTGGTTTCGAATAGTGAAATCCAAAAAACAAATACAAAAACATAACAAGATTCGAGGGGGGTGGAATTTAGAATAAATTCCCTTCTCTCTCTTCTTAAAGGGAAGTTCATGTTTAGAGTCTCACTTCTCTGGTTTCGAAAAAAGAAGTCCAAAAAACAAAACAAGATTCGAGGGGGGTGGAATTTAGAATAAATCCCTCTCTCTCATCTTCAAGATAAATTACTGTTTAGAGTCTCACTTCTCTGGCCTCGAATAATGAAACCAAAAAACAGCAAGGTTTCAGGGGGGTGGAAGTTAGAATAAATCCCTTCTCTCTTTTCTTAAAGAATAAAATTAAACCAAAAGGGCGTCTCAACACCTTCAACACCCTTTAAGCTCCTCTCCTGAAGCCCCCCCCCCCCAAGCCCCCCCCTTAAGGCCCCCTTTAAGCCCCCCTTTAACCCCCCTTAAGCCCCCCCGTTAAACCCCACCGTTAAGCCCCCCCTTTAAGCCCCCCCTTAAGCCCCCCTTAAGCCCTTAAGCCCCCCTTAAGCTCCCCCTTAAGCCCCCCTTAAGCCCCCCCCCTTAAGCCCCCCCTTAAGCCCCCCCTGAAGCCCCCCCTGAAGCCCCTTCAGGATAACAAGAAACCAAGGGGGTGGAATAAAAAATTCTCGACTCTTCTCTTCTTCCAATAAGCCCTCCTTCACGCTCCCAAAAAAGCAATGACCTTTTTTCGGGGGAGGCAAAGGGTCAAACCCTTTAAGCCCCCCCCCTCAGCTCCCCCTTAAGCCCCCCTGAAGCCTCCCTTAAGCCCCTTAACTCCCCCTTAGAAGCGCCTTCAAAGGGTCTGGCTCCAAAGCCACCCCTTAAACCCCTTAAGCCTCGCAAGAAAAGAGCCTGCAAACATTGGTAAATTGCAAACACACCTGTGCGCGCCTTGCGGCGCGAGGGGGGTGGAATTTAAAAAAAAACTCCCTTCTCTCTCTTCTTGAAGGGAAGTTAATGTTTAGCGTCTCACTTTTCTGGTTTCGAAAAATGAAATCCAAAAAACAAAACAAGATTCGAGGGGGGGAGTTTAGAAGAAACCCCCTCTCTCATCTTCAAGATAAATTACTGTTTAGAGTCTCACTTCTCTGGCCTTGAAGAATGAAAAGGTTTCAGAGGGGTGGAATTTAGAATAAATCCCTTCTCTCTTTTCTTAAAGAATATAATTAAACCAAAAGGGCGTCTCAACACCTTCAACACCCTTTAAGCTCCTCTCCTGAAGCCCCCCCAAAGCCCCCCCCCTTAAGCCCCCCTTTAAGCCCTCAGCTCCCCCTTAAGCCCCCTTCAGCCTTCCTTAAAGCCCTTAAAAAGTTTTTTTGGTTGCGCCTTCACTCCCAAAGCCTTGAAGCCTGCAAACATGGTAAATTACAACACACCTGTGTGTACCTGGAAATACTTTTCTTCGAAGTGCAGAAGCTAAAAAAATTTCCAGAGATGTGTCCACTGCGCGGGCACAGAATCGCGAGAATTCTGGAAACTTTCATCAGACTTGATCTGAAGCTGAAGCGGCACAAGTGCTCGTAAAGAGCGGCACAATGTCGCAGAGCTTCAAAAAAACATAAAACAAAAACATCTCTTTCGAAAGTTTCCAAAACAGAAATTCTTAGACGACTGAGCGGCAAAATGCTCGCCGACGGCACAAGTGCTCGCTGAAGCGGCACAAGTGCTCGTCAAAGAGCGGCACAATGCTTGCAGAGGAGTTAAAAAGCACAAAAAAAACCAAAACACTCAACAAAAAACAAAATGCAAAGCGGCATAACAAGCTTAAAGACGGGTGTCTCGCGAAAAAAAACATCTCTTTTGCAAGTTGCAGAGTGCTCGCCACGGCACAAGTGCTCGCTGAAGCG